TGCTCAGGACACAAAAACACGTATGGATTTGGGAGGACTTACACCTGAAAATCACTTCAGCAAGTCTGAACTGACAATTAGCGTCTCACACAAAGCAGAGCCAGCCTGTGTGTACGCTACATTTCATTTCCCTCACTGCTTAAATGCAGAGCACAACATCAGTGATGTTTGCCTCCAGATAAAACAAGCCTTCCCGCATTGCTCTTACGAAACGACCTGTTTAGAGCCCTGTTTAGCCAAGCTTTCGCATGTTAATACTTTCAGTAAATCCACACCTTTCAGAGGCCTTCTCCTCTCATGTCATGTAGCAGCCAACTTTACTCACCTGACTTGACACACTTAGAAAATGACTGGGGTGATGTCACACACTTTCTCTTTACTGACACTCACTGGACAACTGCGGTAATGACAGGAAAGTTCAGGAACTCACTGGAAGTAAAACAGGCTTCTTTATAAAGCCTGAGCAGCTCACAGCGCTCAGGTCAAATCAAAGAGAGCTGCTACGCTATCTGACAGAGCAATCAAGAGTCAACACAACCGTAGAAGAGAATGTTGAGTCTGTACGGCTTACAGCCTTCATTCAGCCCATTCATGGACATTCCCTGGCCTGTGCGCAGTCTGTGGCCTGAGGTTGTTCCTCTTTACCATCACAGAGATGCACTGCTGAAAAACATGCAGGGCATAGAGACTACTTTGAAGCTTTTGGAGAAACTTCAGCACGAGATCTTTCAGAAAGTCTCCCAGACCGCCGCCTCTGACGTGGTCCAGCCGCTCTCCTACGCAGTGGAGAAAGAGGGAGGTGGTTTTGCCTTGACCCTGGATGCTAAAGGCTTCTCCCCCGAGGAACTGTCCGTCAAACAGGTGGGAAGGAAGCTGCGCGTCTGCGGGAAGACAGAGAAGAGAGAGGAAGATGGGAAAGGATCTTACTCACACAGAGTCCAGGAGTTCAGGCGGGAGTTTGTCTTGCCGGAAGGAGTGAATCCAGAGGCGCTGAGCTGCTCCCTGGCTGATGGAAAACTATTCATTCAGGCACCAAACACACAGCAGTCTGAAAAACCTGACAGAGTGCTAACCATCGACAGCAGTCAAGCTGGTGAGATAGCTCGGTCAGAAACCACACAGACCCAGGACAGCACCACTGAAACACAGAGAGCAGCGGAGCAAAAGCTTGGCTGAAGAGAGCGAGAACGTCTGTAGCAGAATTGTACGGCTCCGCGTGTAGGGCCAGTGCGGCAACTTTTTTATCTGTCCATTGGAAATATAATGACGTAGATATACTGTTTTTAAGCCTCTTATAATGTCTACTTCTCCTGTGCTTCGTTTCTTTGTTTGTACAATTTTGTTATGCAATTTGTACTAGAGTTGTAAAAAAGTCTTCAAAAATAAAGACAATTTCATTTCGCTACTCCAGATGTGACTGTGTTTGTCTGTTCCACAATTAACAAACAACAACAGAAAGAACTAGAAGACTGGTTAAGCTGAAAGCGCAGCACATGTAGCTTGTTCAGATTTATCACCAAGCATTTCAAGTGAGCTCACAACACAGCACACGGGCAAGAAATGTGAGAAAACTGGACACGTTTTAGCAGAGGATGGTTTCGATCCATCGACCTCTGGGTTATGGGCCCAGCACGCTTCCGCTGCGCCACTCTGCTGACGTGAGGCTGTCAGGCGCCCGGAACTCCGGACCAAAATCCTTGCCCTTTGGGGTACCTGGACAATTTGACTACGCTGAAGCTGAGAAAAACAATGGGGCACTTTTTTTTGTAGTTTGTTTTTACACTGGGGTCATCACATATTCAGAACAGTGCAAGAGCACATGAGCTGCTAACAGCAAAGCTCCATTCCAAGAGTTTGCCTTTGAGTCACTGCACATAGCGTGGGCTTCCTCACACCATGGCCACAATATAGATGGTTCCTAGCAGAGGATGGTTTCGATCCATCGACCTCTGGGTTATGGGCCCAGCACGCTTCCGCTGCGCCACTCTGCTAGCACTACACCCCAGATGGGACTCGAACCCACAATCCCTGGCTTAGGAGGCCAGTGCCTTATCCATTAGGCCACTGGGGCTCTGGCACCACAACAACAGGCCTCTCTCACAGCTTTTTAAAAGCTAGGCCTTTCGTCTCTCATGCTCAGGACACAAAAACACGTATGGATTTGGGAGGACTTACACCTGAAAATCACTTCAGCAAGTCTGAACTGACAATTAGCGTCTCACACAAAGCAGAGCCAGCCTGTGTGTACGCTACATTTCATTTCCCTCACTGCTTAAATGCAGAGCACAACATCAGTGATGTTTGCCTCCAGATAAAACAAGCCTTCCCGCATTGCTCTTACGAAACGACCTGTTTAGAGCCCTGTTTAGCCAAGCTTTCGCATGTTAATACTTTCAGTAAATCCACACCTTTCAGAGGCCTTCTCCTCTCATGTCATGTAGCAGCCAACTTTACTCACCTGACTTGACACACTTAGAAAATGACTGGGGTGATGTCACACACTTTCTCTTTACTGACACTCACTGGACAACTGCGGTAATGACAGGAAAGTTCAGGAACTCACTGGAAGTAAAACAGGCTTCTTTATAAAGCCTGAGCAGCTCACAGCGCTCAGGTCAAATCAAAGAGAGCTGCTACGCTATCTGACAGAGCAATCAAGAGTCAACACAACCGTAGAAGAGAATGTTGAGTCTGTACGGCTTACAGCCTTCATTCAGCCCATTCATGGACATTCCCTGGCCTGTGCGCAGTCTGTGGCCTGAGGTTGTTCCTCTTTACCATCACAGAGATGCACTGCTGAAAAACATGCAGGGCATAGAGACTACTTTGAAGCTTTTGGAGAAACTTCAGCACGAGATCTTTCAGAAAGTCTCCCAGACCGCCGCCTCTGACGTGGTCCAGCCGCTCTCCTACGCAGTGGAGAAAGAGGGAGGTGGTTTTGCCTTGACCCTGGATGCTAAAGGCTTCTCCCCCGAGGAACTGTCCGTCAAACAGGTGGGAAGGAAGCTGCGCGTCTGCGGGAAGACAGAGAAGAGAGAGGAAGATGGGAAAGGATCTTACTCACACAGAGTCCAGGAGTTCAGGCGGGAGTTTGTCTTGCCGGAAGGAGTGAATCCAGAGGCGCTGAGCTGCTCCCTGGCTGATGGAAAACTATTCATTCAGGCACCAAACACACAGCAGTCTGAAAAACCTGACAGAGTGCTAACCATCGACAGCAGTCAAGCTGGTGAGATAGCTCGGTCAGAAACCACACAGACCCAGGACAGCACCACTGAAACACAGAGAGCAGCGGAGCAAAAGCTTGGCTGAAGAGAGCGAGAACGTCTGTAGCAGAATTGTACGGCTCCGCGTGTAGGGCCAGTGCGGCAACTTTTTTATCTGTCCATTGGAAATATAATGACGTAGATATACTGTTTTTAAGCCTCTTATAATGTCTACTTCTCCTGTGCTTCGTTTCTTTGTTTGTACAATTTTGTTATGCAATTTGTACTAGAGTTGTAAAAAAAGTCTTCAAAAATAAAGACAATTTCATTTCGCTACTCCAGATGTGACTGTGTTTGTCTGTTCCACAATTAACAAACAACAACAGAAAGAACTAGAAGACTGGTTAAGCTGAAAGCGCAGCACATGTAGCTTGTTCAGATTTATCACCAAGCATTTCAAGTGAGCTCACAACACAGCACACGGGCAAGAAATGTGAGAAAACTGGACACGTTTTAGCAGAGGATGGTTTCGATCCATCGACCTCTGGGTTATGGGCCCAGCACGCTTCCGCTGCGCCACTCTGCTGACGTGAGGCTGTCAGGCGCCCGGAACTCCGGACCAAAATCCTTGCCCTTTGGGGTACCTGGACAATTTGACTACGCTGAAGCTGAGAAAAACAATGGGGCACTTTTTTTTGTAGTTTGTTTTTACACTGGGGTCATCACATATTCAGAACAGTGCAAGAGCACATGAGCTGCTAACAGCAAAGCTCCATTCCAAGAGTTTGCCTTTGAGTCACTGCACATAGCGTGGGCTTCCTCACACCATGGCCACAATATAGATGGTTCCTAGCAGAGGATGGTTTCGATCCATCGACCTCTGGGTTATGGGCCCAGCACGCTTCCGCTGCGCCACTCTGCTAGCACTACACCCCAGATGGGACTCGAACCCACAATCCCTGGCTTAGGAGGCCAGTGCCTTATCCATTAGGCCACTGGGGCTCTGGCACCACAACAACAGGCCTCTCTCACAGCTTTTTAAAAGCTAGGCCTTTCGTCTCTCATGCTCAGGACACAAAAACACGTATGGATTTGGGAGGACTTACACCTGAAAATCACTTCAGCAAGTCTGAACTGACAATTAGCGTCTCACACAAAGCAGAGCCAGCCTGTGTGTACGCTACATTTCATTTCCCTCACTGCTTAAATGCAGAGCACAACATCAGTGATGTTTGCCTCCAGATAAAACAAGCCTTCCCGCATTGCTCTTACGAAACGACCTGTTTAGAGCCCTGTTTAGCCAAGCTTTCGCATGTTAATACTTTCAGTAAATCCACACCTTTCAGAGGCCTTCTCCTCTCATGTCATGTAGCAGCCAACTTTACTCACCTGACTTGACACACTTAGAAAATGACTGGGGTGATGTCACACACTTTCTCTTTACTGACACTCACTGGACAACTGCGGTAATGACAGGAAAGTTCAGGAACTCACTGGAAGTAAAACAGGCTTCTTTATAAAGCCTGAGCAGCTCACAGCGCTCAGGTCAAATCAAAGAGAGCTGCTACGCTATCTGACAGAGCAATCAAGAGTCAACACAACCGTAGAAGAGAATGTTGAGTCTGTACGGCTTACAGCCTTCATTCAGCCCATTCATGGACATTCCCTGGCCTGTGCGCAGTCTGTGGCCTGAGGTTGTTCCTCTTTACCATCACAGAGATGCACTGCTGAAAAACATGCAGGGCATAGAGACTACTTTGAAGCTTTTGGAGAAACTTCAGCACGAGATCTTTCAGAAAGTCTCCCAGACCGCCGCCTCTGACGTGGTCCAGCCGCTCTCCTACGCAGTGGAGAAAGAGGGAGGTGGTTTTGCCTTGACCCTGGATGCTAAAGGCTTCTCCCCCGAGGAACTGTCCGTCAAACAGGTGGGAAGGAAGCTGCGCGTCTGCGGGAAGACAGAGAAGAGAGAGGAAGATGGGAAAGGATCTTACTCACACAGAGTCCAGGAGTTCAGGCGGGAGTTTGTCTTGCCGGAAGGAGTGAATCCAGAGGCGCTGAGCTGCTCCCTGGCTGATGGAAAACTATTCATTCAGGCACCAAACACACAGCAGTCTGAAAAACCTGACAGAGTGCTAACCATCGACAGCAGTCAAGCTGGTGAGATAGCTCGGTCAGAAACCACACAGACCCAGGACAGCACCACTGAAACACAGAGAGCAGCGGAGCAAAAGCTTGGCTGAAGAGAGCGAGAACGTCTGTAGCAGAATTGTACGGCTCCGCGTGTAGGGCCAGTGCGGCAACTTTTTTATCTGTCCATTGGAAATATAATGACGTAGATATACTGTTTTTAAGCCTCTTATAATGTCTACTTCTCCTGTGCTTCGTTTCTTTGTTTGTACAATTTTGTTATGCAATTTGTACTAGAGTTGTAAAAAAAGTCTTCAAAAATAAAGACAATTTCATTTCGCTACTCCAGATGTGACTGTGTTTGTCTGTTCCACAATTAACAAACAACAACAGAAAGAACTAGAAGACTGGTTAAGCTGAAAGCGCAGCACATGTAGCTTGTTCAGATTTATCACCAAGCATTTCAAGTGAGCTCACAACACAGCACACGGGCAAGAAATGTGAGAAAACTGGACACGTTTTAGCAGAGGATGGTTTCGATCCATCGACCTCTGGGTTATGGGCCCAGCACGCTTCCGCTGCGCCACTCTGCTGACGTGAGGCTGTCAGGCGCCCGGAACTCCGGACCAAAATCCTTGCCCTTTGGGGTACCTGGACAATTTGACTACGCTGAAGCTGAGAAAAACAATGGGGCACTTTTTTTTGTAGTTTGTTTTTACACTGGGGTCATCACATATTCAGAACAGTGCAAGAGCACATGAGCTGCTAACAGCAAAGCTCCATTCCAAGAGTTTGCCTTTGAGTCACTGCACATAGCGTGGGCTTCCTCACACCATGGCCACAATATAGATGGTTCCTAGCAGAGGATGGTTTCGATCCATCGACCTCTGGGTTATGGGCCCAGCACGCTTCCGCTGCGCCACTCTGCTAGCACTACACCCCAGATGGGACTCGAACCCACAATCCCTGGCTTAGGAGGCCAGTGCCTTATCCATTAGGCCACTGGGGCTCTGGCACCACAACAACAGGCCTCTCTCACAGCTTTTTAAAAGCTAGGCCTTTCGTCTCTCATGCTCAGGACACAAAAACACGTATGGATTTGGGAGGACTTACACCTGAAAATCACTTCAGCAAGTCTGAACTGACAATTAGCGTCTCACACAAAGCAGAGCCAGCCTGTGTGTACGCTACATTTCATTTCCCTCACTGCTTAAATGCAGAGCACAACATCAGTGATGTTTGCCTCCAGATAAAACAAGCCTTCCCGCATTGCTCTTACGAAACGACCTGTTTAGAGCCCTGTTTAGCCAAGCTTTCGCATGTTAATACTTTCAGTAAATCCACACCTTTCAGAGGCCTTCTCCTCTCATGTCATGTAGCAGCCAACTTTACTCACCTGACTTGACACACTTAGAAAATGACTGGGGTGATGTCACACACTTTCTCTTTACTGACACTCACTGGACAACTGCGGTAATGACAGGAAAGTTCAGGAACTCACTGGAAGTAAAACAGGCTTCTTTATAAAGCCTGAGCAGCTCACAGCGCTCAGGTCAAATCAAAGAGAGCTGCTACGCTATCTGACAGAGCAATCAAGAGTCAACACAACCGTAGAAGAGAATGTTGAGTCTGTACGGCTTACAGCCTTCATTCAGCCCATTCATGGACATTCCCTGGCCTGTGCGCAGTCTGTGGCCTGAGGTTGTTCCTCTTTACCATCACAGAGATGCACTGCTGAAAAACATGCAGGGCATAGAGACTACTTTGAAGCTTTTGGAGAAACTTCAGCACGAGATCTTTCAGAAAGTCTCCCAGACCGCCGCCTCTGACGTGGTCCAGCCGCTCTCCTACGCAGTGGAGAAAGAGGGAGGTGGTTTTGCCTTGACCCTGGATGCTAAAGGCTTCTCCCCCGAGGAACTGTCCGTCAAACAGGTGGGAAGGAAGCTGCGCGTCTGCGGGAAGACAGAGAAGAGAGAGGAAGATGGGAAAGGATCTTACTCACACAGAGTCCAGGAGCTCAGGCGGGAGTTTGTCTTGCCGGAAGGAGTGAATCCAGAGGCGCTGAGCTGCTCCCTGGCTGATGGAAAACTATTCATTCAGGCACCAAACACACAGCAGTCTGAAAAACCTGACAGAGTGCTAACCATCGACAGCAGTCAAGCTGGTGAGATAGCTCGGTCAGAAACCACACAGACCCAGGACAGCACCACTGAAACACAGAGAGCAGCGGAGCAAAAGCTTGGCTGAAGAGAGCGAGAACGTCTGTAGCAGAATTGTACGGCTCCGCGTGTAGGGCCAGTGCGGCAACTTTTTTATCTGTCCATTGGAAATATAATGACGTAGATATACTGTTTTTAAGCCTCTTATAATGTCTACTTCTCCTGTGCTTCGTTTCTTTGTTTGTACAATTTTGTTATGCAATTTGTACTAGAGTTGTAAAAAAAGTCTTCAAAAATAAAGACAATTTCATTTCGCTACTCCAGATGTGACTGTGTTTGTCTGTTCCACAATTAACAAACAACAACAGAAAGAACTAGAAGACTGGTTAAGCTGAAAGCGCAGCACATGTAGCTTGTTCAGATTTATCACCAAGCATTTCAAGTGAGCTCACAACACAGCACACGGGCAAGAAATGTGAGAAAACTGGACACGTTTTAGCAGAGGATGGTTTCGATCCATCGACCTCTGGGTTATGGGCCCAGCACGCTTCCGCTGCGCCACTCTGCTGACGTGAGGCTGTCAGGCGCCCGGAACTCCGGACCAAAATCCTTGCCCTTTGGGGTACCTGGACAATTTGACTACGCTGAAGCTGAGAAAAACAATGGGGCACTTTTTTTTGTAGTTTGTTTTTACACTGGGGTCATCACATATTCAGAACAGTGCAAGAGCACATGAGCTGCTAACAGCAAAGCTCCATTCCAAGAGTTTGCCTTTGAGTCACTGCACATAGCGTGGGCTTCCTCACACCATGGCCACAATATAGATGGTTCCTAGCAGAGGATGGTTTCGATCCATCGACCTCTGGGTTATGGGCCCAGCACGCTTCCGCTGCGCCACTCTGCTAGCACTACACCCCAGATGGGACTCGAACCCACAATCCCTGGCTTAGGAGGCCAGTGCCTTATCCATTAGGCCACTGGGGCTCTGGCACCACAACAACAGGCCTCTCTCACAGCTTTTTAAAAGCTAGGCCTTTCGTCTCTCATGCTCAGGACACAAAAACACGTATGGATTTGGGAGGACTTACACCTGAAAATCACTTCAGCAAGTCTGAACTGACAATTAGCGTCTCACACAAAGCAGAGCCAGCCTGTGTGTACGCTACATTTCATTTCCCTCACTGCTTAAATGCAGAGCACAACATCAGTGATGTTTGCCTCCAGATAAAACAAGCCTTCCCGCATTGCTCTTACGAAACGACCTGTTTAGAGCCCTGTTTAGCCAAGCTTTCGCATGTTAATACTTTCAGTAAATCCACACCTTTCAGAGGCCTTCTCCTCTCATGTCATGTAGCAGCCAACTTTACTCACCTGACTTGACACACTTAGAAAATGACTGGGGTGATGTCACACACTTTCTCTTTACTGACACTCACTGGACAACTGCGGTAATGACAGGAAAGTTCAGGAACTCACTGGAAGTAAAACAGGCTTCTTTATAAAGCCTGAGCAGCTCACAGCGCTCAGGTCAAATCAAAGAGAGCTGCTACGCTATCTGACAGAGCAATCAAGAGTCAACACAACCGTAGAAGAGAATGTTGAGTCTGTACGGCTTACAGCCTTCATTCAGCCCATTCATGGACATTCCCTGGCCTGTGCGCAGTCTGTGGCCTGAGGTTGTTCCTCTTTACCATCACAGAGATGCACTGCTGAAAAACATGCAGGGCATAGAGACTACTTTGAAGCTTTTGGAGAAACTTCAGCACGAGATCTTTCAGAAAGTCTCCCAGACCGCCGCCTCTGACGTGGTCCAGCCGCTCTCCTACGCAGTGGAGAAAGAGGGAGGTGGTTTTGCCTTGACCCTGGATGCTAAAGGCTTCTCCCCCGAGGAACTGTCCGTCAAACAGGTGGGAAGGAAGCTGCGCGTCTGCGGGAAGACAGAGAAGAGAGAGGAAGATGGGAAAGGATCTTACTCACACAGAGTCCAGGAGTTCAGGCGGGAGTTTGTCTTGCCGGAAGGAGTGAATCCAGAGGCGCTGAGCTGCTCCCTGGCTGATGGAAAACTATTCATTCAGGCACCAAACACACAGCAGTCTGAAAAACCTGACAGAGTGCTAACCATCGACAGCAGTCAAGCTGGTGAGATAGCTCGGTCAGAAACCACACAGACCCAGGACAGCACCACTGAAACACAGAGAGCAGCGGAGCAAAAGCTTGGCTGAAGAGAGCGAGAACGTCTGTAGCAGAATTGTACGGCTCCGCGTGTAGGGCCAGTGCGGCAACTTTTTTATCTGTCCATTGGAAATATAATGACGTAGATATACTGTTTTTAAGCCTCTTATAATGTCTACTTCTCCTGTGCTTCGTTTCTTTGTTTGTACAATTTTGTTATGCAATTTGTACTAGAGTTGTAAAAAAAGTCTTCAAAAATAAAGACAATTTCATTTCGCTACTCCAGATGTGACTGTGTTTGTCTGTTCCACAATTAACAAACAACAACAGAAAGAACTAGAAGACTGGTTAAGCTGAAAGCGCAGCACATGTAGCTTGTTCAGATTTATCACCAAGCATTTCAAGTGAGCTCACAACACAGCACACGGGCAAGAAATGTGAGAAAACTGGACACGTTTTAGCAGAGGATGGTTTCGATCCATCGACCTCTGGGTTATGGGCCCAGCACGCTTCCGCTGCGCCACTCTGCTAGCACTACACCCCAGATGGGACTCGAACCCACAATCCCTGGCTTAGGAGGCCAGTGCCTTATCCATTAGGCCACTGGGGCTCTGGCACCACAACAACAGGCCTCTCTCACAGCTTTTTAAAAGCTAGGCCTTTCGTCTCTCATGCTCAGGACACAAAAACACGTATGGATTTGGGAGGACTTACACCTGAAAATCACTTCAGCAAGTCTGAACTGACAATTAGCGTCTCACACAAAGCAGAGCCAGCCTGTGTGTACGCTACATTTCATTTCCCTCACTGCTTAAATGCAGAGCACAACATCAGTGATGTTTGCCTCCAGATAAAACAAGCCTTCCCGCATTGCTCTTACGAAACGACCTGTTTAGAGCCCTGTTTAGCCAAGCTTTCGCATGTTAATACTTTCAGTAAATCCACACCTTTCAGAGGCCTTCTCCTCTCATGTCATGTAGCAGCCAACTTTACTCACCTGACTTGACACACTTAGAAAATGACTGGGGTGATGTCACACACTTTCTCTTTACTGACACTCACTGGACAACTGCGGTAATGACAGGAAAGTTCAGGAACTCACTGGAAGTAAAACAGGCTTCTTTATAAAGCCTGAGCAGCTCACAGCGCTCAGGTCAAATCAAAGAGAGCTGCTACGCTATCTGACAGAGCAATCAAGAGTCAACACAACCGTAGAAGAGAATGTTGAGTCTGTACGGCTTACAGCCTTCATTCAGCCCATTCATGGACATTCCCTGGCCTGTGCGCAGTCTGTGGCCTGAGGTTGTTCCTCTTTACCATCACAGAGATGCACTGCTGAAAAACATGCAGGGCATAGAGACTACTTTGAAGCTTTTGGAGAAACTTCAGCACGAGATCTTTCAGAAAGTCTCCCAGACCGCCGCCTCTGACGTGGTCCAGCCGCTCTCCTACGCAGTGGAGAAAGAGGGAGGTGGTTTTGCCTTGACCCTGGATGCTAAAGGCTTCTCCCCCGAGGAACTGTCCGTCAAACAGGTGGGAAGGAAGCTGCGCGTCTGCGGGAAGACAGAGAAGAGAGAGGAAGATGGGAAAGGATCTTACTCACACAGAGTCCAGGAGTTCAGGCGGGAGTTTGTCTTGCCGGAAGGAGTGAATCCAGAGGCGCTGAGCTGCTCCCTGGCTGATGGAAAACTATTCATTCAGGCACCAAACACACAGCAGTCTGAAAAACCTGACAGAGTGCTAACCATCGACGGCAGTCAAGCTGGTGAGATAGCTCGGTCAGAAACCACACAGACCCAGGACAGCACCACTGAAACACAGAGAGCAGCGGAGCAAAAGCTTGGCTGAAGAGAGCGAGAACGTCTGTAGCAGAATTGTACGGCTCCGCGTGTAGGGCCAGTGCGGCAACTTTTTTATCTGTCCATTGGAAATATAATGACGTAGATATACTGTTTTTAAGCCTCTTATAATGTCTACTTCTCCTGTGCTTCGTTTCTTTGTTTGTACAATTTTGTTATGCAATTTGTACTAGAGTTGTAAAAAAAGTCTTCAAAAATAAAGACAATTTCATTTCGCTACTCCAGATGTGACTGTGTTTGTCTGTTCCACAATTAACAAACAACAACAGAAAGAACTAGAAGACTGGTTAAGCTGAAAGCGCAGCACATGTAGCTTGTTCAGATTTATCACCAAGCATTTCAAGTGAGCTCACAACACAGCACACGGGCAAGAAATGTGAGAAAACTGGACACGTTTTAGCAGAGGATGGTTTCGATCCATCGACCTCTGGGTTATGGGCCCAGCACGCTTCCGCTGCGCCACTCTGCTGACGTGAGGCTGTCAGGCGCCCGGAACTCCGGACCAAAATCCTTGCCCTTTGGGGTACCTGGACAATTTGACTACGCTGAAGCTGAGAAAAACAATGGGGCACTTTTTTTTGTAGTTTGTTTTTACACTGGGGTCATCACATATTCAGAACAGTGCAAGAGCACATGAGCTGCTAACAGCAAAGCTCCATTCCAAGAGTTTGCCTTTGAGTCACTGCACATAGCGTGGGCTTCCTCACACCATGGCCACAATATAGATGGTTCCTAGCAGAGGATGGTTTCGATCCATCGACCTCTGGGTTATGGGCCCAGCACGCTTCCGCTGCGCCACTCTGCTAGCACTACACCCCAGATGGGACTCGAACCCACAATCCCTGGCTTAGGAGGCCAGTGCCTTATCCATTAGGCCACTGGGGCTCTGGCACCACAACAACAGGCCTCTCTCACAGCTTTTTAAAAGCTAGGCCTTTCGTCTCTCATGCTCAGGACACAAAAACACGTATGGATTTGGGAGGACTTACACCTGAAAATCACTTCAGCAAGTCTGAACTGACAATTAGCGTCTCACACAAAGCAGAGCCAGCCTGTGTGTACGCTACATTTCATTTCCCTCACTGCTTAAATGCAGAGCACAACATCAGTGATGTTTGCCTCCAGATAAAACAAGCCTTCCCGCATTGCTCTTACGAAACGACCTGTTTAGAGCCCTGTTTAGCCAAGCTTTCGCATGTTAATACTTTCAGTAAATCCACACCTTTCAGAGGCCTTCTCCTCTCATGTCATGTAGCAGCCAACTTTACTCACCTGACTTGACACACTTAGAAAATGACTGGGGTGATGTCACACACTTTCTCTTTACTGACACTCACTGGACAACTGCGGTAATGACAGGAAAGTTCAGGAACTCACTGGAAGTAAAACAGGCTTCTTTATAAAGCCTGAGCAGCTCACAGCGCTCAGGTCAAATCAAAGAGAGCTGCTACGCTATCTGACAGAGCAATCAAGAGTCAACACAACCGTAGAAGAGAATGTTGAGTCTGTACGGCTTACAGCCTTCATTCAGCCCATTCATGGACATTCCCTGGCCTGTGCGCAGTCTGTGGCCTGAGGTTGTTCCTCTTTACCATCACAGAGATGCACTGCTGAAAAACATGCAGGGCATAGAGACTACTTTGAAGCTTTTGGAGAAACTTCAGCACGAGATCTTTCAGAAAGTCTCCCAGACCGCCGCCTCTGACGTGGTCCAGCCGCTCTCCTACGCAGTGGAGAAAGAGGGAGGTGGTTTTGCCTTGACCCTGGATGCTAAAGGCTTCTCCCCCGAGGAACTGTCCGTCAAACAGGTGGGAAGGAAGCTGCGCGTCTGCGGGAAGACAGAGAAGAGAGAGGAAGATGGGAAAGGATCTTACTCACACAGAGTCCAGGAGTTCAGGCGGGAGTTTGTCTTGCCGGAAGGAGTGAATCCAGAGGCGCTGAGCTGCTCCCTGGCTGATGGAAAACTATTCATTCAGGCACCAAACACACAGCAGTCTGAAAAACCTGACAGAGTGCTAACCATCGACAGCAGTCAAGCTGGTGAGATAGCTCGGTCAGAAACCACACAGACCCAGGACAGCACCACTGAAACACAGAGAGCAGCGGAGCAAAAGCTTGGCTGAAGAGAGCGAGAACGTCTGTAGCAGAATTGTACGGCTCCGCGTGTAGGGCCAGTGCGGCAACTTTTTTATCTGTCCATTGGAAATATAATGACGTAGATATACTGTTTTTAAGCCTCTTATAATGTCTACTTCTCCTGTGCTTCGTTTCTTTGTTTGTACAATTTTGTTATGCAATTTGTACTAGAGTTGTAAAAAAAGTCTTCAAAAATAAAGACAATTTCATTTCGCTACTCCAGATGTGACTGTGTTTGTCTGTTCCACAATTAACAAACAACAACAGAAAGAACTAGAAGACTGGTTAAGCTGAAAGCGCAGCACATGTAGCTTGTTCAGATTTATCACCAAGCATTTCAAGTGAGCTCACAACACAGCACACGGGCAAGAAATGTGAGAAAACTGGACACGTTTTAGCAGAGGATGGTTTCGATCCATCGACCTCTGGGTTATGGGCCCAGCACGCTTCCGCTGCGCCACTCTGCTGACGTGAGGCTGTCAGGCGCCCGGAACTCCGGACCAAAATCCTTGCCCTTTGGGGTACCTGGACAATTTGACTACGCTGAAGCTGAGAAAAACAATGGGGCACTTTTTTTTGTAGTTTGTTTTTACACTGGGGTCATCACATATTCAGAACAGTGCAAGAGCACATGAGCTGCTAACAGCAAAGCTCCATTCCAAGAGTTTGCCTTTGAGTCACTGCACATAGCGTGGGCTTCCTCACACCATGGCCACAATATAGATGGTTCCTAGCAGAGGATGGTTTCGATCCATCGACCTCTGGGTTATGGGCCCAGCACGCTTCCGCTGCGCCACTCTGCTAGCACTACACCCCAGATGGGACTCGAACCCACAATCCCTGGCTTAGGAGGCCAGTGCCTTATCCATTAGGCCACTGGGGCTCTGGCACCACAACAACAGGCCTCTCTCACAGCTTTTTAAAAGCTAGGCCTTTCGTCTCTCATGCTCAGGACACAAAAACACGTATGGATTTGGGAGGACTTACACCTGAAAATCACTTCAGCAAGTCTGAACTGACAATTAGCGTCTCACACAAAGCAGAGCCAGCCTGTGTGTACGCTACATTTCATTTCCCTCACTGCTTAAATGCAGAGCACAACATCAGTGATGTTTGCCTCCAGATAAAACAAGCCTTCCCGCATTGCTCTTACGAAACGACCTGTTTAGAGCCCTGTTTAGCCAAGCTTTCGCATGTTAATACTTTCAGTAAATCCACACCTTTCAGAGGCCTTCTCCTCTCATGTCATGTAGCAGCCAACTTTACTCACCTGACTTGACACACTTAGAAAATGACTGGGGTGATGTCACACACTTTCTCTTTACTGACACTCACTGGACAACTGCGGTAATGACAGGAAAGTTCAGGAACTCACTGGAAGTAAAACAGGCTTCTTTATAAAGCCTGAGCAGCTCACAGCGCTCAGGTCAAATCAAAGAGAGCTGCTACGCTATCTGACAGAGCAATCAAGAGTCAACACAACCGTAGAAGAGAATGTTGAGTCTGTACGGCTTACAGCCTTCATTCAGCCCATTCATGGACATTCCCTGGCCTGTGCGCAGTCTGTGGCCTGAGGTTGTTCCTCTTTACCATCACAGAGATGCACTGCTGAAAAACATGCAGGGCATAGAGACTACTTTGAAGCTTTTGGAGAAACTTCAGCACGAGATCTTTCAGAAAGTCTCCCAGACCGCCGCCTCTGACGTGGTCCAGCCGCTCTCCTACGCAGTGGAGAAAGAGGGAGGTGGTTTTGCCTTGACCCTGGATGCTAAAGGCTTCTCCCCCGAGGAACTGTCCGTCAAACAGGTGGGAAGGAAGCTGCGCGTCTGCGGGAAGACAGAGAAGAGAGAGGAAGATGGGAAAGGATCTTACTCACACAGAGTCCAGGAGTTCAGGCGGGAGTTTGTCTTGCCGGAAGGAGTGAATCCAGAGGCGCTGAGCTGCTCCCTGGCTGATGGAAAACTATTCATTCAGGCACCAAACACACAGCAGTCTGAAAAACCTGACAGAGTGCTAACCATCGACAGCAGTCAAGCTGGTGAGATAGCTCGGTCAGAAACCACACAGACCCAGGACAGCACCACTGAAACACAGAGAGCAGCGGAGCAAAAGCTTGGCTGAAGAGAGCGAGAACGTCTGTAGCAGAATTGTACGGCTCCGCGTGTAGGGCCAGTGCGGCAACTTTTTTATCTGTCCATTGGAAATATAATGACGTAGATATACTGTTTTTAAGCCTCTTATAATGTCTACTTCTCCTGTGCTTCGTTTCTTTGTTTGTACAATTTTGTTATGCAATTTGTACTAGAGTTGTAAAAAAAGTCTTCAAAAATAAAGACAATTTCATTTCGCTACTCCAGATGTGACTGTGTTTGTCTGTTCCACAATTAACAAACAACAACAGAAAGAACTAGAAGACTGGTTAAGCTGAAAGCGCAGCACATGTAGCTTGTTCAGATTTATCACCAAGCATTTCAAGTGAGCTCACAACACAGCACACGGGCAAGAAATGTGAGAAAACTGGACACGTTTTAGCAGAGGATGGTTTCGATCCATCGACCTCTGGGTTATGGGCCCAGCACGCTTCCGCTGCGCCACTCTGCTGACGTGAGGCTGTCAGGCGCCCGGAACTCCGGACCAAAATCCTTGCCCTTTGGGGTACCTGGACAATTTGACTACGCTGAAGCTGAGAAAAACAATGGGGCACTTTTTTTTGTAGTTTGTTTTTACACTGGGGTCATCACATATTCAGAACAGTGCAAGAGCACATGAGCTGCTAACAGCAAAGCTCCATTCCAAGAGTTTGCCTTTGAGTCACTGCACATAGCGTGGGCTTCCTCACACCATGGCCACAATATAGATGGTTCCTAGCAGAGGATGGTTTCGATCCATCGACCTCTGGGTTATGGGCCCAGCACGCTTCCGCTGCGCCACTCTGCTAGCACTACACCCCAGATGGGACTCGAACCCACAATCCCTGGCTTAGGAGGCCAGTGCCTTATCCATTAGGCCACTGGGGCTCTGGCACCACAACAACAGGCCTCTCTCACAGCTTTTTAAAAGCTAGGCCTTTCGTCTCTCATGCTCAGGACACAAAAACACGTATGGATTTGGGAGGACTTACACCTGAAAATCACTTCAGCAAGTCTGAACTGACAATTAGCGTCTCACACAAAGCAGAGCCAGCCTGTGTGTACGCTACATTTCATTTCCCTCACTGCTTAAATGCAGAGCACAACATCAGTGATGTTTGCCTCCAGATAAAACAAGCCTTCCCGCATTGCTCTTACGAAACGACCTGTTTAGAGCCCTGTTTAGCCAAGCTTTCGCATGTTAATACTTTCAGTAAATCCACACCTTTCAGAGGCCTTCTCCTCTCATGTCATGTAGCAGCCAACTTTACTCACCTGACTTGACACACTTAGAAAATGACTGGGGTGATGTCACACACTTTCTCTTTACTGACACTCACTGGACAACTGCGGTAATGACAGGAAAGTTCAGGAACTCACTGGAAGTAAAACAGGCTTCTTTATAAAGCCTGAGCAGCTCACAGCGCTCAGGTCAAATCAAAGAGAGCTGCTACGCTATCTGACAGAGCAATCAAGAGTCAACACAACCGTAGAAGAGAATGTTGAGTCTGTACGGCTTACAGCCTTCATTCAGCCCATTCATGGACATTCCCTGGCCTGTGCGCAGTCTGTGGCCTGAGGTTGTTCCTCTTTACCATCACAGAGATGCACTGCTGAAAAACATGCAGGGCATAGAGACTACTTTGAAGCTTTTGGAGAAACTTCAGCACGAGATCTTTCAGAAAGTCTCCCAGACCGCCGCCTCTGACGTGGTCCAGCCGCTCTCCTACGCAGTGGAGAAAGAGGGAGGTGGTTTTGCCTTGACCCTGGATGCTAAAGGCTTCTCCCCCGAGGAACTGTCCGTCAAACAGGTGGGAAGGAAGCTGCGCGTCTGCGGGAAGACAGAGAAGAGAGAGGAAGATGGGAAAGGATCTTACTCACACAGAGTCCAGGAGTTCAGGCGGGAGTTTGTCTTGCCGGAAGGAGTGAATCCAGAGGCGCTGAGCTGCTCCCTGGCTGATGGAAAACTATTCATTCAGGCACCAAACACACAGCAGTCTGAAAAACCTGACAGAGTGCTAACCATCGACAGCAGTCAAGCTGGTGAGATAGCTCGGTCAGAAACCACACAGACCCAGGACAGCACCACTGAAACACAGAGAGCAGCGGAGCAAAAGCTTGGCTGAAGAGAGCGAGAACGTCTGTAGCAGAATTGTACGGCTCCGCGTGTAGGGCCAGTGCGGCAACTTTTTTATCTGTCCATTGGAAATATAATGACGTAGATATACTGTTTTTAAGCCTCTTATAATGTCTACTTCTCCTGTGCTTCGTTTCTTTGTTTGTACAATTTTGTTATGCAATTTGTACTAGAGTTGTAAAAAAAGTCTTCAAAAATAAAGACAATTTCATTTCGCTACTCCAGATGTGACTGTGTTTGTCTGTTCCACAATTAACAAACAACAACAGAAAGAACTAGAAGACTGGTTAAGCTGAAAGCGCAGCACATGTAGCTTGTTCAGATTTATCACCAAGCATTTCAAGTGAGCTCACAACACAGCACACGGGCAAGAAATGTGAGAAAACTGGACACGTTTTAGCAGAGGATGGTTTCGATCCATCGACCTCTGGGTTATGGGCCCAGCACGCTTCCGCTGCGCCACTCTGCTGACGTGAGGCTGTCAGGCGCCCGGAACTCCGGACCAAAATCCTTGCCCTTTGGGGTACCTGGACAATTTGACTACGCTGAAGCTGAGAAAAACAATGGGGCACTTTTTTTTGTAGTTTGTTTTTACACTGGGGTCATCACATATTCAGAACAGTGCAAGAGCACATGAGCTGCTAACAGCAAAGCTCCATTCCAAGAGTTTGCCTTTGAGTCACTGCACATAGCGTGGGCTTCCTCACACCATGGCCACAATATAGATGGTTCCTAGCAGAGGATGGTTTCGATCCATCGACCTCTGGGTTATGGGCCCAGCACGCTTCCGCTGCGCCACTCTGCTAGCACTACACCCCAGATGGGACTCGAACCCACAATCCCTGGCTTAGGAGGCCAGTGCCTTATCCATTAGGCCACTGGGGCTCTGGCACCACAACAACAGGCCTCTCTCACAGCTTTTTAAAAGCTAGGCCTTTCGTCTCTCATGCTCAGGACACAAAAACACGTATGGATTTGGGAGGACTTACACCTGAAAATCACTTCAGCAAGTCTGAACTGACAATTAGCGTCTCACACAAAGCAGAGCCAGCCTGTGTGTACGCTACATTTCATTTCCCTCACTGCTTAAATGCAGAGCACAACATCAGTGATGTTTGCCTCCAGATAAAACAAGCCTTCCCGCATTGCTCTTACGAAACGACCTGTTTAGAGCCCTGTTTAGCCAAGCTTTCGCATGTTAATACTTTCAGTAAATCCACACCTTTCAGAGGCCTTCTCCTCTCATGTCATGTAGCAGCCAACTTTACTCACCTGACTTGACACACTTAGAAAATGACTGGGGTGATGTCACACACTTTCTCTTTACTGACACTCACTGGACAACTGCGGTAATGACAGGAAAGTTCAGGAACTCACTGGAAGTAAAACAGGCTTCTTTATAAAGCCTGAGCAGCTCACAGCGCTCAGGTCAAATCAAAGAGAGCTGCTACGCTATCTGACAGAGCAATCAAGAGTCAACACAACCGTAGAAGAGAATGTTGAGTCTGTACGGCTTACAGCCTTCATTCAGCCCATTCATGGACATTCCCTGGCCTGTGCGCAGTCTGTGGCCTGAGGTTGTTCCTCTTTACCATCACAGAGATGCACTGCTGAAAAACATGCAGGGCATAGAGACTACTTTGAAGCTTTTGGAGAAACTTCAGCACGAGATCTTTCAGAAAGTCTCCCAGACCGCCGCCTCTGACGTGGTCCAGCCGCTCTCCTACGCAGTGGAGAAAGAGGGAGGTGGTTTTGCCTTGACCCTGGATGCTAAAGGCTTCTCCCCCGAGGAACTGTCCGTCAAACAGGTGGGAAGGAAGCTGCGCGTCTGCGGGAAGACAGAGAAGAGAGAGGAAGATGGGAAAGGATCTTACTCACACAGAGTCCAGGAGTTCAGGCGGGAGTTTGTCTTGCCGGAAGGAGTGAATCCAGAGGCGCTGAGCTGCTCCCTGGCTGATGGAAAACTATTCATTCAGGCACCAAACACACAGCAGTCTGAAAAACCTGACAGAGTGCTAACCATCGACAGCAGTCAAGCTGGTGAGATAGCTCGGTCAGAAACCACACAGACCCAGGACAGCACCACTGAAACACAGAGAGCAGCGGAGCAAAAGCTTGGCTGAAGAGAGCGAGAACGTCTGTAGCAGAATTGTACGGCTCCGCGTGTAGGGCCAGTGCGGCAACTTTTTTATCTGTCCATTGGAAATATAATGACGTAGATATACTGTTTTTAAGCCTCTTATAATGTCTACTTCTCCTGTGCTTCGTTTCTTTGTTTGTACAATTTTGTTATGCAATTTGTACTAGAGTTGTAAAAAAAGTCTTCAAAAATAAAGACAATTTCATTTCGCTACTCCAGATGTGACTGTGTTTGTCTGTTCCACAATTAACAAACAACAACAGAAAGAACTAGAAGACTGGTTAAGCTGAAAGCGCAGCACATGTAGCTTGTTCAGATTTATCACCAAGCATTTCAAGTGAGCTCACAACACAGCACACGGGCAAGAAATGTGAGAAAACTGGACACGTTTTAGCAGAGGATGGTTTCGATCCATCGACCTCTGGGTTATGGGCCCAGCACGCTTCCGCTGCGCCACTCTGCTGACGTGAGGCTGTCAGGCGCCCGGAACTCCGGACCAAAATCCTTGCCCTTTGGGGTACCTGGACAATTTGACTACGCTGAAGCTGAGAAAAACAATGGGGCACTTTTTTTTGTAGTTTGTTTTTACACTGGGGTCATCACATATTCAGAACAGTGCAAGAGCACATGAGCTGCTAACAGCAAAGCTCCATTCCAAGAGTTTGCCTTTGAGTCACTGCACATAGCGTGGGCTTCCTCACACCATGGCCACAATATAGATGGTTCCTAGCAGAGGATGGTTTCGATCCATCGACCTCTGGGTTATGGGCCCAGCACGCTTCCGCTGCGCCACTCTGCTAGCACTACACCCCAGATGGGACTCGAACCCACAATCCCTGGCTTAGGAGGCCAGTGCCTTATCCATTAGGCCACTGGGGCTCTGGCACCACAACAACAGGCCTCTCTCACAGCTTTTTAAAAGCTAGGCCTTTCGTCTCTCATGCTCAGGACACAAAAACACGTATGGATTTGGGAGGACTTACACCTGAAAATCACTTCAGCAAGTCTGAACTGACAATTAGCGTCTCACACAAAGCAGAGCCAGCCTGTGTGTACGCTACATTTCATTTCCCTCACTGCTTAAATGCAGAGCACAACATCAGTGATGTTTGCCTCCAGATAAAACAAGCCTTCCCGCATTGCTCTTACGAAACGACCTGTTTAGAGCCCTGTTTAGCCAAGCTTTCGCATGTTAATACTTTCAGTAAATCCACACCTTTCAGAGGCCTTCTCCTCTCATGTCATGTAGCAGCCAACTTTACTCACCTGACTTGACACACTTAGAAAATGACTGGGGTGATGTCACACACTTTCTCTTTACTGACACTCACTGGACAACTGCGGTAATGACAGGAAAGTTCAGGAACTCACTGGAAGTAAAACAGGCTTCTTTATAAAGCCTGAGCAGCTCACAGCGCTCAGGTCAAATCAAAGAGAGCTGCTACGCTATCTGACAGAGCAATCAAGAGTCAACACAACCGTAGAAGAGAATGTTGAGTCTGTACGGCTTACAGCCTTCATTCAGCCCATTCATGGACATTCCCTGGCCTGTGCGCAGTCTGTGGCCTGAGGTTGTTCCTCTTTACCATCACAGAGATGCACTGCTGAAAAACATGCAGGGCATAGAGACTACTTTGAAGCTTTTGGAGAAACTTCAGCACGAGATCTTTCAGAAAGTCTCCCAGACCGCCGCCTCTGACGTGGTCCAGCCGCTCTCCTACGCAGTGGAGAAAGAGGGAGGTGGTTTTGCCTTGACCCTGGATGCTAAAGGCTTCTCCCCCGAGGAACTGTCCGTCAAACAGGTGGGAAGGAAGCTGCGCGTCTGCGGGAAGACAGAGAAGAGAGAGGAAGATGGGAAAGGATCTTACTCACACAGAGTCCAGGAGTTCAGGCGGGAGTTTGTCTTGCCGGAAGGAGTGAATCCAGAGGCGCTGAGCTGCTCCCTGGCTGATGGAAAACTATTCATTCAGGCACCAAACACACAGCAGTCTGAAAAACCTGACAGAGTGCTAACCATCGACAGCAGTCAAGCTGGTGAGATAGCTCGGTCAGAAACCACACAGACCCAGGACAGCACCACTGAAACACAGAGAGCAGCGGAGCAAAAGCTTGGCTGAAGAGAGCGAGAACGTCTGTAGCAGAATTGTACGGCTCCGCGTGTAGGGCCAGTGCGGCAACTTTTTTATCTGTCCATTGGAAATATAATGACGTAGATATACTGTTTTTAAGCCTCTTATAATGTCTACTTCTCCTGTGCTTCGTTTCTTTGTTTGTACAATTTTGTTATGCAATTTGTACTAGAGTTGTAAAAAAAGTCTTCAAAAATAAAGACAATTTCATTTCGCTACTCCAGATGTGACTGTGTTTGTCTGTTCCACAATTAACAAACAACAACAGAAAGAACTAGAAGACTGGTTAAGCTGAAAGCGCAGCACATGTAGCTTGTTCAGATTTATCACCAAGCATTTCAAGTGAGCTCACAACACAGCACACGGGCAAGAAATGTGAGAAAACTGGACACGTTTTAGCAGAGGATGGTTTCGATCCATCGACCTCTGGGTTATGGGCCCAGCACGCTTCCGCTGCGCCACTCTGCTAGCACTACACCCCAGATGGGACTCGAACCCACAATCCCTGGCTTAGGAGGCCAGTGCCTTATCCATTAGGCCACTGGGGCTCTGGCACCACAACAACAGGCCTCTCTCACAGCTTTTTAAAAGCTAGGCCTTTCGTCTCTCATGCTCAGGACACAAAAACACGTATGGATTTGGGAGGACTTACACCTGAAAATCACTTCAGCAAGTCTGAACTGACAATTAGCGTCTCACACAAAGCAGAGCCAGCCTGTGTGTACGCTACATTTCATTTCCCTCACTGCTTAAATGCAGAGCACAACATCAGTGATGTTTGCCTCCAGATAAAACAAGCCTTCCCGCATTGCTCTTACGAAACGACCTGTTTAGAGCCCTGTTTAGCCAAGCTTTCGCATGTTAATACTTTCAGTAAATCCACACCTTTCAGAGGCCTTCTCCTCTCATGTCATGTAGCAGCCAACTTTACTCACCTGACTTGACACACTTAGAAAATGACTGGGGTGATGTCACACACTTTCTCTTTACTGACACTCACTGGACAACTGCGGTAATGACAGGAAAGTTCAGGAACTCACTGGAAGTAAAACAGGCTTCTTTATAAAGCCTGAGCAGCTCACAGCGCTCAGGTCAAATCAAAGAGAGCTGCTACGCTATCTGACAGAGCAATCAAGAGTCAACACAACCGTAGAAGAGAATGTTGAGTCTGTACGGCTTACAGCCTTCATTCAGCCCATTCATGGACATTCCCTGGCCTGTGCGCAGTCTGTGGCCTGAGGTTGTTCCTCTTTACCATCACAGAGATGCACTGCTGAAAAACATGCAGGGCATAGAGACTACTTTGAAGCTTTTGGAGAAACTTCAGCACGAGATCTTTCAGAAAGTCTCCCAGACCGCCGCCTCTGACGTGGTCCAGCCGCTCTCCTACGCAGTGGAGAAAGAGGGAGGTGGTTTTGCCTTGACCCTGGATGCTAAAGGCTTCTCCCCCGAGGAACTGTCCGTCAAACAGGTGGGAAGGAAGCTGCGCGTCTGCGGGAAGACAGAGAAGAGAGAGGAAGATGGGAAAGGATCTTACTCACACAGAGTCCAGGAGTTCAGGCGGGAGTTTGTCTTGCCGGAAGGAGTGAATCCAGAGGCGCTGAGCTGCTCCCTGGCTGATGGAAAACTATTCATTCAGGCACCAAACACACAGCAGTCTGAAAAACCTGACAGAGTGCTAACCATCGACAGCAGTCAAGCTGGTGAGATAGCTCGGTCAGAAACCACACAGACCCAGGACAGCACCACTGAAACACAGAGAGCAGCGGAGCAAAAGCTTGGCTGAAGAGAGCGAGAACGTCTGTAGCAGAATTGTACGGCTCCGCGTGTAGGGCCAGTGCGGCAACTTTTTTATCTGTCCATTGGAAATATAATGACGTAGATATACTGTTTTTAAGCCTCTTATAATGTCTACTTCTCCTGTGCTTCGTTTCTTTGTTTGTACAATTTTGTTATGCAATTTGTACTAGAGTTGTAAAAAAAGTCTTCAAAAATAAAGACAATTTCATTTCGCTACTCCAGATGTGACTGTGTTTGTCTGTTCCACAATTAACAAACAACAACAGAAAGAACTAGAAGACTGGTTAAGCTGAAAGCGCAGCACATGTAGCTTGTTCAGATTTATCACCAAGCATTTCAAGTGAGCTCACAACACAGCACACGGGCAAGAAATGTGAGAAAACTGGACACGTTTTAGCAGAGGATGGTTTCGATCCATCGACCTCTGGGTTATGGGCCCAGCACGCTTCCGCTGCGCCACTCTGCTGACGTGAGGCTGTCAGGCGCCCGGAACTCCGGACCAAAATCCTTGCCCTTTGGGGTACCTGGACAATTTGACTACGCTGAAGCTGAGAAAAACAATGGGGCACTTTTTTTTGTAGTTTGTTTTTACACTGGGGTCATCACATATTCAGAACAGTGCAAGAGCACATGAGCTGCTAACAGCAAAGCTCCATTCCAAGAGTTTGCCTTTGAGTCACTGCACATAGCGTGGGCTTCCTCACACCATGGCCACAATATAGATGGTTCCTAGCAGAGGATGGTTTCGATCCATCGACCTCTGGGTTATGGGCCCAGCACGCTTCCGCTGCGCCACTCTGCTAGCACTACACCCCAGATGGGACTCGAACCCACAATCCCTGGCTTAGGAGGCCAGTGCCTTATCCATTAGGCCACTGGGGCTCTGGCACCACAACAACAGGCCTCTCTCACAGCTTTTTAAAAGCTAGGCCTTTCGTCTCTCATGCTCAGGACACAAAAACACGTATGGATTTGGGAGGACTTACACCTGAAAATCACTTCAGCAAGTCTGAACTGACAATTAGCGTCTCACACAAAGCAGAGCCAGCCTGTGTGTACGCTACATTTCATTTCCCTCACTGCTTAAATGCAGAGCACAACATCAGTGATGTTTGCCTCCAGATAAAACAAGCCTTCCCGCATTGCTCTTACGAAACGACCTGTTTAGAGCCCTGTTTAGCCAAGCTTTCGCATGTTAATACTTTCAGTAAATCCACACCTTTCAGAGGCCTTCTCCTCTCATGTCATGTAGCAGCCAACTTTACTCACCTGACTTGACACACTTAGAAAATGACTGGGGTGATGTCACACACTTTCTCTTTACTGACACTCACTGGACAACTGCGGTAATGACAGGAAAGTTCAGGAACTCACTGGAAGTAAAACAGGCTTCTTTATAAAGCCTGAGCAGCTCACAGCGCTCAGGTCAAATCAAAGAGAGCTGCTACGCTATCTGACAGAGCAATCAAGAGTCAACACAACCGTAGAAGAGAATGTTGAGTCTGTACGGCTTACAGCCTTCATTCAGCCCATTCATGGACATTCCCTGGCCTGTGCGCAGTCTGTGGCCTGAGGTTGTTCCTCTTTACCATCACAGAGATGCACTGCTGAAAAACATGCAGGGCATAGAGACTACTTTGAAGCTTTTGGAGAAACTTCAGCACGAGATCTTTCAGAAAGTCTCCCAGACCGCCGCCTCTGACGTGGTCCAGCCGCTCTCCTACGCAGTGGAGAAAGAGGGAGGTGGTTTTGCCTTGACCCTGGATGCTAAAGGCTTCTCCCCCGAGGAACTGTCCGTCAAACAGGTGGGAAGGAAGCTGCGCGTCTGCGGGAAGACAGAGAAGAGAGAGGAAGATGGGAAAGGATCTTACTCACACAGAGTCCAGGAGTTCAGGCGGGAGTTTGTCTTGCCGGAAGGAGTGAATCCAGAGGCGCTGAGCTGCTCCCTGGCTGATGGAAAACTATTCATTCAGGCACCAAACACACAGCAGTCTGAAAAACCTGACAGAGTGCTAACCATCGACAGCAGTCAAGCTGGTGAGATAGCTCGGTCAGAAACCACACAGACCCAGGACAGCACCACTGAAACACAGAGAGCAGCGGAGCAAAAGCTTGGCTGAAGAGAGCGAGAACGTCTGTAGCAGAATTGTACGGCTCCGCGTGTAGGGCCAGTGCGGCAACTTTTTTATCTGTCCATTGGAAATATAATGACGTAGATATACTGTTTTTAAGCCTCTTATAATGTCTACTTCTCCTGTGCTTCGTTTCTTTGTTTGTACAATTTTGTTATGCAATTTGTACTAGAGTTGTAAAAAAAGTCTTCAAAAATAAAGACAATTTCATTTCGCTACTCCAGATGTGACTGTGTTTGTCTGTTCCACAATTAACAAACAACAACAGAAAGAACTAGAAGACTGGTTAAGCTGAAAGCGCAGCACATGTAGCTTGTTCAGATTTATCACCAAGCATTTCAAGTGAGCTCACAACACAGCACACGGGCAAGAAATGTGAGAAAACTGGACACGTTTTAGCAGAGGATGGTTTCGATCCATCGACCTCTGGGTTATGGGCCCAGCACGCTTCCGCTGCGCCACTCTGCTGACGTGAGGCTGTCAGGCGCCCGGAACTCCGGACCAAAATCCTTGCCCTTTGGGGTACCTGGACAATTTGACTACGCTGAAGCTGAGAAAAACAATGGGGCACTTTTTTTTGTAGTTTGTTTTTACACTGGGGTCATCACATATTCAGAACAGTGCAAGAGCACATGAGCTGCTAACAGCAAAGCTCCATTCCAAGAGTTTGCCTTTGAGTCACTGCACATAGCGTGGGCTTCCTCACACCATGGCCACAATATAGATGGTTCCTAGCAGAGGATGGTTTCGATCCATCGACCTCTGGGTTATGGGCCCAGCACGCTTCCGCTGCGCCACTCTGCTAGCACTACACCCCAGATGGGACTCGAACCCACAATCCCTGGCTTAGGAGGCCAGTGCCTTATCCATTAGGCCACTGGGGCTCTGGCACCACAACAACAGGCCTCTCTCACAGCTTTTTAAAAGCTAGGCCTTTCGTCTCTCATGCTCAGGACACAAAAACACGTATGGATTTGGGAGGACTTACACCTGAAAATCACTTCAGCAAGTCTGAACTGACAATTAGCGTCTCACACAAAGCAGAGCCAGCCTGTGTGTACGCTACATTTCATTTCCCTCACTGCTTAAATGCAGAGCACAACATCAGTGATGTTTGCCTCCAGATAAAACAAGCCTTCCCGCATTGCTCTTACGAAACGACCTGTTTAGAGCCCTGTTTAGCCAAGCTTTCGCATGTTAATACTTTCAGTAAATCCACACCTTTCAGAGGCCTTCTCCTCTCATGTCATGTAGCAGCCAACTTTACTCACCTGACTTGACACACTTAGAAAATGACTGGGGTGATGTCACACACTTTCTCTTTACTGACACTCACTGGACAACTGCGGTAATGACAGGAAAGTTCAGGAACTCACTGGAAGTAAAACAGGCTTCTTTATAAAGCCTGAGCAGCTCACAGCGCTCAGGTCAAATCAAAGAGAGCTGCTACGCTATCTGACAGAGCAATCAAGAGTCAACACAACCGTAGAAGAGAATGTTGAGTCTGTACGGCTTACAGCCTTCATTCAGCCCATTCATGGACATTCCCTGGCCTGTGCGCAGTCTGTGGCCTGAGGTTGTTCCTCTTTACCATCACAGAGATGCACTGCTGAAAAACATGCAGGGCATAGAGACTACTTTGAAGCTTTTGGAGAAACTTCAGCACGAGATCTTTCAGAAAGTCTCCCAGACCGCCGCCTCTGACGTGGTCCAGCCGCTCTCCTACGCAGTGGAGAAAGAGGGAGGTGGTTTTGCCTTGACCCTGGATGCTAAAGGCTTCTCCCCCGAGGAACTGTCCGTCAAACAGGTGGGAAGGAAGCTGCGCGTCTGCGGGAAGACAGAGAAGAGAGAGGAAGATGGGAAAGGATCTTACTCACACAGAGTCCAGGAGTTCAGGCGGGAGTTTGTCTTGCCGGAAGGAGTGAATCCAGAGGCGCTGAGCTGCTCCCTGGCTGATGGAAAACTATTCATTCAGGCACCAAACACACAGCAGTCTGAAAAACCTGACAGAGTGCTAACCATCGACAGCAGTCAAGCTGGTGAGATAGCTCGGTCAGAAACCACACAGACCCAGGACAGCACCACTGAAACACAGAGAGCAGCGGAGCAAAAGCTTGGCTGAAGAGAGCGAGAACGTCTGTAGCAGAATTGTACGGCTCCGCGTGTAGGGCCAGTGCGGCAACTTTTTTATCTGTCCATTGGAAATATAATGACGTAGATATACTGTTTTTAAGCCTCTTATAATGTCTACTTCTCCTGTGCTTCGTTTCTTTGTTTGTACAATTTTGTTATGCAATTTGTACTAGAGTTGTAAAAAAAGTCTTCAAAAATAAAGACAATTTCATTTCGCTACTCCAGATGTGACTGTGTTTGTCTGTTCCACAATTAACAAACAACAACAGAAAGAACTAGAAGACTGGTTAAGCTGAAAGCGCAGCACATGTAGCTTGTTCAGATTTATCACCAAGCATTTCAAGTGAGCTCACAACACAGCACACGGGCAAGAAATGTGAGAAAACTGGACACGTTTTAGCAGAGGATGGTTTCGATCCATCGACCTCTGGGTTATGGGCCCAGCACGCTTCCGCTGCGCCACTCTGCTGACGTGAGGCTGTCAGGCGCCCGGAACTCCGGACCAAAATCCTTGCCCTTTGGGGTACCTGGACAATTTGACTACGCTGAAGCTGAGAAAAACAATGGGGCACTTTTTTTTGTAGTTTGTTTTTACACTGGGGTCATCACATATTCAGAACAGTGCAAGAGCACATGAGCTGCTAACAGCAAAGCTCCATTCCAAGAGTTTGCCTTTGAGTCACTGCACATAGCGTGGGCTTCCTCACACCATGGCCACAATATAGATGGTTCCTAGCAGAGGATGGTTTCGATCCATCGACCTCTGGGTTATGGGCCCAGCACGCTTCCGCTGCGCCACTCTGCTAGCACTACACCCCAGATGGGACTCGAACCCACAATCCCTGGCTTAGGAGGCCAGTGCCTTATCCATTAGGCCACTGGGGCTCTGGCACCACAACAACAGGCCTCTCTCACAGCTTTTTAAAAGCTAGGCCTTTCGTCTCTCATGCTCAGGACACAAAAACACGTATGGATTTGGGAGGACTTACACCTGAAAATCACTTCAGCAAGTCTGAACTGACAATTAGCGTCTCACACAAAGCAGAGCCAGCCTGTGTGTACGCTACATTTCATTTCCCTCACTGCTTAAATGCAGAGCACAACATCAGTGATGTTTGCCTCCAGATAAAACAAGCCTTCCCGCATTGCTCTTACGAAACGACCTGTTTAGAGCCCTGTTTAGCCAAGCTTTCGCATGTTAATACTTTCAGTAAATCCACACCTTTCAGAGGCCTTCTCCTCTCATGTCATGTAGCAGCCAACTTTACTCACCTGACTTGACACACTTAGAAAATGACTGGGGTGATGTCACACACTTTCTCTTTACTGACACTCACTGGACAACTGCGGTAATGACAGGAAAGTTCAGGAACTCACTGGAAGTAAAACAGGCTTCTTTATAAAGCCTGAGCAGCTCACAGCGCTCAGGTCAAATCAAAGAGAGCTGCTACGCTATCTGACAGAGCAATCAAGAGTCAACACAACCGTAGAAGAGAATGTTGAGTCTGTACGGCTTACAGCCTTCATTCAGCCCATTCATGGACATTCCCTGGCCTGTGCGCAGTCTGTGGCCTGAGGTTGTTCCTCTTTACCATCACAGAGATGCACTGCTGAAAAACATGCAGGGCATAGAGACTACTTTGAAGCTTTTGGAGAAACTTCAGCACGAGATCTTTCAGAAAGTCTCCCAGACCGCCGCCTCTGACGTGGTCCAGCCGCTCTCCTACGCAGTGGAGAAAGAGGGAGGTGGTTTTGCCTTGACCCTGGATGCTAAAGGCTTCTCCCCCGAGGAACTGTCCGTCAAACAGGTGGGAAGGAAGCTGCGCGTCTGCGGGAAGACAGAGAAGAGAGAGGAAGATGGGAAAGGATCTTACTCACACAGAGTCCAGGAGTTCAGGCGGGAGTTTGTCTTGCCGGAAGGAGTGAATCCAGAGGCGCTGAGCTGCTCCCTGGCTGATGGAAAACTATTCATTCAGGCACCAAACACACAGCAGTCTGAAAAACCTGACAGAGTGCTAACCATCGACAGCAGTCAAGCTGGTGAGATAGCTCGGTCAGAAACCACACAGACCCAGGACAGCACCACTGAAACACAGAGAGCAGCGGAGCAAAAGCTTGGCTGAAGAGAGCGAGAACGTCTGTAGCAGAATTGTACGGCTCCGCGTGTAGGGCCAGTGCGGCAACTTTTTTATCTGTCCATTGGAAATATAATGACGTAGATATACTGTTTTTAAGCCTCTTATAATGTCTACTTCTCCTGTGCTTCGTTTCTTTGTTTGTACAATTTTGTTATGCAATTTGTACTAGAGTTGTAAAAAAAGTCTTCAAAAATAAAGACAATTTCATTTCGCTACTCCAGATGTGACTGTGTTTGTCTGTTCCACAATTAACAAACAACAACAGAAAGAACTAGAAGACTGGTTAAGCTGAAAGCGCAGCACATGTAGCTTGTTCAGATTTATCACCAAGCATTTCAAGTGAGCTCACAACACAGCACACGGGCAAGAAATGTGAGAAAACTGGACACGTTTTAGCAGAGGATGGTTTCGATCCATCGACCTCTGGGTTATGGGCCCAGCACGCTTCCGCTGCGCCACTCTGCTGACGTGAGGCTGTCAGGCGCCCGGAACTCCGGACCAAAATCCTTGCCCTTTGGGGTACCTGGACAATTTGACTACGCTGAAGCTGAGAAAAACAATGGGGCACTTTTTTTTGTAGTTTGTTTTTACACTGGGGTCATCACATATTCAGAACAGTGCAAGAGCACATGAGCTGCTAACAGCAAAGCTCCATTCCAAGAGTTTGCCTTTGAGTCACTGCACATAGCGTGGGCTTCCTCACACCATGGCCACAATATAGATGGTTCCTAGCAGAGGATGGTTTCGATCCATCGACCTCTGGGTTATGGGCCCAGCACGCTTCCGCTGCGCCACTCTGCTAGCACTACACCCCAGATGGGACTCGAACCCACAATCCCTGGCTTAGGAGGCCAGTGCCTTATCCATTAGGCCACTGGGGCTCTGGCACCACAACAACAGGCCTCTCTCACAGCTTTTTAAAAGCTAGGCCTTTCGTCTCTCATGCTCAGGACACAAAAACACGTATGGATTTGGGAGGACTTACACCTGAAAATCACTTCAGCAAGTCTGAACTGACAATTAGCGTCTCACACAAAGCAGAGCCAGCCTGTGTGTACGCTACATTTCATTTCCCTCACTGCTTAAATGCAGAGCACAACATCAGTGATGTTTGCCTCCAGATAAAACAAGCCTTCCCGCATTGCTCTTACGAAACGACCTGTTTAGAGCCCTGTTTAGCCAAGCTTTCGCATGTTAATACTTTCAGTAAATCCACACCTTTCAGAGGCCTTCTCCTCTCATGTCATGTAGCAGCCAACTTTACTCACCTGACTTGACACACTTAGAAAATGACTGGGGTGATGTCACACACTTTCTCTTTACTGACACTCACTGGACAACTGCGGTAATGACAGGAAAGTTCAGGAACTCACTGGAAGTAAAACAGGCTTCTTTATAAAGCCTGAGCAGCTCACAGCGCTCAGGTCAAATCAAAGAGAGCTGCTACGCTATCTGACAGAGCAATCAAGAGTCAACACAACCGTAGAAGAGAATGTTGAGTCTGTACGGCTTACAGCCTTCATTCAGCCCATTCATGGACATTCCCTGGCCTGTGCGCAGTCTGTGGCCTGAGGTTGTTCCTCTTTACCATCACAGAGATGCACTGCTGAAAAACATGCAGGGCATAGAGACTACTTTGAAGCTTTTGGAGAAACTTCAGCACGAGATCTTTCAGAAAGTCTCCCAGACCGCCGCCTCTGACGTGGTCCAGCCGCTCTCCTACGCAGTGGAGAAAGAGGGAGGTGGTTTTGCCTTGACCCTGGATGCTAAAGGCTTCTCCCCCGAGGAACTGTCCGTCAAACAGGTGGGAAGGAAGCTGCGCGTCTGCGGGAAGACAGAGAAGAGAGAGGAAGATGGGAAAGGATCTTACTCACACAGAGTCCAGGAGTTCAGGCGGGAGTTTGTCTTGCCGGAAGGAGTGAATCCAGAGGCGCTGAGCTGCTCCCTGGCTGATGGAAAACTATTCGTTCAGGCACCAAACACACAGCAGTCTGAAAAACCTGACAGAGTGCTAACCATCGACGGCAGTCAAGCCGGTGAGATAGCTCGGTCAGAAACCACACAGACCCAGGACAGCACCACTGAAACACAGAGAGCAGCGGAGCAAAAGCTTGGCTGAAGAGAGCGAGAACGTCTGTAGCAGAATTGTACGGCTCCGCGTGTAGGGCCAGTGCGGCAACTTTTTTATCTGTCCATTGGAAATATAATGACGTAGATATACTGTTTTTAAGCCTCTTATAATGTCTACTTCTCCTGTGCTTCGTTTCTTTGTTTGTACAATTTTGTTATGCAATTTGTACTAGAGTTGTAAAAAAAGTCTTCAAAAATAAAGACAATTTCATTTCGCTACTCCAGATGTGACTGTGTTTGTCTGTTCCACAATTAACAAACAACAACAGAAAGAACTAGAAGACTGGTTAAGCTGAAAGCGCAGCACATGTAGCTTGTTCAGATTTATCACCAAGCATTTCAAGTGAGCTCACAACACAGCACACGGGCAAGAAATGTGAGAAAACTGGACACGTTTTAGCAGAGGATGGTTTCGATCCATCGACCTCTGGGTTATGGGCCCAGCACGCTTCCGCTGCGCCACTCTGCTGACGTGAGGCTGTCAGGCGCCCGGAACTCCGGACCAAAATCCTTGCCCTTTGGGGTACCTGGACAATTTGACTACGCTGAAGCTGAGAAAAACAATGGGGCACTTTTTTTTGTAGTTTGTTTTTACACTGGGGTCATCACATATTCAGAACAGTGCAAGAGCACATGAGCTGCTAACAGCAAAGCTCCATTCCAAGAGTTTGCCTTTGAGTCACTGCACATAGCGTGGGCTTCCTCACACCATGGCCACAATATAGATGGTTCCTAGCAGAGGATGGTTTCGATCCATCGACCTCTGGGTTATGGGCCCAGCACGCTTCCGCTGCGCCACTCTGCTAGCACTACACCCCAGATGGGACTCGAACCCACAATCCCTGGCTTAGGAGGCCAGTGCCTTATCCATTAGGCCACTGGGGCTCTGGCACCACAACAACAGGCCTCTCTCACAGCTTTTTAAAAGCTAGGCCTTTCGTCTCTCATGCTCAGGACACAAAAACACGTATGGATTTGGGAGGACTTACACCTGAAAATCACTTCAGCAAGTCTGAACTGACAATTAGCGTCTCACACAAAGCAGAGCCAGCCTGTGTGTACACTACATTTCATTTCCCTCACTGCTTAAATGCAGAGCACAACATCAGTGATGTTCGCCTCCAAATAAAACAAGCCTTCCCGCATTGCTCTTACGAAACAACCTGTTTAGAGCCCTGTTTAGCCAAGCTTTCGCATGTTAATACTTTCAGTAAATCCACACCTTTCAGAGGCCTTCTCCTCTCATGTCATGTAGCAGCCAACTTTACTTACCTGACTTGACACACTTAGAAAATGACTGGGGTGATGTCACACACTTTCTCTTTACTGACACTCACTGGACAACTGCGGTAATGACAGGAAAGTTCAGGAACTCACTGGAAGTAAAACAGGCTTCTTTATAAAGCCTGAGCAGCTCACAGCGCTCAGGTCAAATCAAAGAGAGCTGCTACGCTATCTGACAGAGCAATCAAGAGTCAACACAACCGTAGAAGAGAATGTTGAGTCTGTACGGCTTACAGCCTTCATTCAGCCCATTCATGGACATTCCCTGGCCTGTGCGCAGTCTGTGGCCTGAGGTTGTTCCTCTTTACCATCACAGAGATGCACTGCTGAAAAACATGCAGGGCATAGAGACTACTTTGAAGCTTTTGGAGAAACTTCAGCACGAGATCTTTCAGAAAGTCTCCCAGACCGCCGCCTCTGACGTGGTCCAGCCGCTCTCCTACGCAGTGGAGAAAGAGGGAGGTGGTTTTGCCTTGACCCTGGATGCTAAAGGCTTCTCCCCCGAGGAACTGTCCGTCAAACAGGTGGGAAGGAAGCTGCGCGTCTGCGGGAAGACAGAGAAGAGAGAGGAAGATGGGAAAGGATCTTACTCACACAGAGTCCAGGAGTTCAGGCGGGAGTTTGTCTTGCCGGAAGGAGTGAATCCAGAGGCGCTGAGCTGCTCCCTGGCTGATGGAAAACTATTCGTTCAGGCACCAAACACACAGCAGTCTGAAAAACCTGACAGAGTGCTAACCATCGACGGCAGTCAAGCCGGTGAGATAGCTCGGTCAGAAACCACACAGACCCAGGACAGCACCACTGAAACACAGAGAGCAGCGGAGCAAAAGCTTGGCTGAAGAGAGCGAGAACGTCTGTAGCAGAATTGTACGGCTCCGCGTGTAGGGCCAGTGCGGCAACTGTTTTATCTGTCCATTGGAAATATAATGACGTAGATATACTGTTTTTAAGCCTCTTATAATGTCTACTTCTCCTGTGCTTCGTTTCTTTGTTTGTACAATTTTGTTATGCAATTTGTACTAGAGTTGTAAAAAAAGTCTTCAAAAATAAAGACAATTTCATTTCGCTACTCCAGATGTGACTGTGTTTGTCTGTTCCACAATTAACAAACAACAACAGAAAGAACTAGAAGACTGGTTAAGCTGAAAGCGCAGCACATGTAGCTTGTTCAGATTTATCACCAAGCATTTCAAGTGAGCTCACAATACAGCACACGTGCAAGAAATGTGAGAAAATTGGACACGTTTTAGCAGAGGATGGTTTCGATCCATCGACCTCTGGGTTATGGGCCCAGCACGCTTCCGCTGCGCCACTCTGCTGACGTGAGGCTGTCAGGCGCCCGGAACTCCGGACCAAAATCCTTGCCCTTTGGGGTACCTGGACAATTTGACTACGCTGAAGCTGAGAAAAACAATGGGGCACTTTTTTTTGTAGTTTGTTTTTACACTGGGGTCATCACATATTCAGAACAGTGCAAGAGCACATGAGCTGCTAACAGCAAAGCTCCATTCCAAGAGTTTGCCTTTGAGTCACTGCACATAGCGTGGGCTTCCTCACACCATGGCCACAATATAGATGGTTCCTAGCAGAGGATGGTTTCGATCCATCGACCTCTGGGTTATGGGCCCAGCACGCTTCCGCTGCGCCACTCTGCTAGCACTACACCCCAGATGAGACTCGAACCCACAATCCCTGGCTTAGGAGGCCAGTGCCTTATCCATTAGGCCACTAGGGCTCTGGCACCACAACAACAGGCCTCTCTCACAGCATTTTAAAAGCTAGGCCTTTCGTCTCTCATGCTCAGGACACAGAAACACGTATGGATTTGGGAGGACTTACACCTGAAAATCACTTCAGCAAGTCTGAACTGACAATTAGCGTCTCACACAAAGCAGAGCCAGCCTGTGTGTACGCTACATTTCATTTCCCTCACTGCTTAAATGCAGAGCACAACATCAGTGATGTTTGCCTCCAAATAAAACAAGCCTTCCCGCATTGCTCTTACGAAACGACCTGTTTAGAGCCCTGTTTAGCCAAGCTTTCGCACGTTAATACTTTCAGTAAATCCACACGTTTCAGAGGCCTTCTCCTCTCATGTTATGTAGCAGCCAACTTTACTTACCTGACTTGACACACTTAGAAAATGACTGGGGTGATGTCACACACTTTCTCTTTACTGACACTCACTGGACAATTGGGGTAATGACAGGAAAGTTCAGGAACTCACTGGAGGCAAAACCTTAGACTTCCATTCATTCTAGCTCATGACACAAACACACGTATGGATTTTGGAAAACTTACAGTACAAGTTACTGGGGTGATGTCACAGGCATTCTTCTTACTGAGAAACCCTACATAGACTCCCAATCTCACCAGTATTTAATCAGACAAATTGGACCCAGCCTGTATGTACAATTATTGTTCTCCTGTGCCTAAATGCAGGGAAAAAACATTAGTAATGTTTTCCTCCCCCTGGGCTACTTTAACCTGTTTTGTGGCCCTGAGTTTAAAAGCTGATGTGGGTGTTATGGGTCTAGTCACACACAACGCTAAAAACCTTCGGTTTTTCCACTTACAGCATTGCTATGCATCATCCTAAACACTTAAACAAAGCTTAAGTTAGCTTCTTATCCGCCATATTCTTTGCTGAATTTTCTATTCCACCTTTAAAGGTGCTGCATTTCCATATCGGTACCTGTAGCTGCTGCACCATCAAACTTAAACCCAGAACCGAACCTCTAAAAGCCACAGTCAGTCAAGGTTCAAAATTTGCACTGAACTTTAGATTAAGTTCAACTTGAGCTCATATGTGATAGCGTTATCTGCGCTCCTTGCAATCTATCGTGCAATGCATTTCCACATGCGTCGATCCAAAAAACACAACATGACTGAGATAAAACTTAAAATACTAAACCTAATCATTGTAAAGCATACCGCCATGGTGGGCATATAAAATGTGCAATGTGATTCATGTCTTACCTTGGATTGATGTTTGGTTTGACATAAGAGGGGGTTCAGTCCCTGATTGGCATCTGGCAGCAGGAAGTGGCAACTCTGCCATCCAGAAATGGCACGTACTGGTGTGTGCCACTTAGCGAATGCCACCTGTCTTCAATAACTGGTAACAAATGGCACTCACCAGTGGCACCTGCCAAACAGAAATGGCACGTGCCTCTCAAAACAGGTACGTACCAACAGTTCCTGTGACTAAAGCAGTGACTCTGACAGCGGCTACTCAGCTAGGCTAACTAGCAGCACATCATAGCACCACTATCGGCCATCAGAACCTGGGAAAAGTGACGGATGAATGTCAACTTGAAGAATATGTACAGATAGTCTATCATTTTGTTGGTTCACTGGCTGTGCTGTTGGGTGGATGATTCAAGCAAAATGAGATGCTTTAGCCAAAGGCTATGCAACTATAGCAGTACTGCTAACTTGCGGGCCTTTGTTAATTATTTGTGATGTGTTATTCATGTTAAATCTAAATGCTGTAAAGACCATTTCTCAGCATCTTAAACAATACACAAGAAACGCAGGCTTGTGATCTTGTTTTAATTTAGCAATTTGTATAATTTTCAGTGATTCCTCATCTGTGTCTGCAATGGATAGCCAGTGGCACGAAGCCCATTTCAGCCTTCGTTGTAAAAGAGCATTGTAAGATCCCATTTCACAGAAACCTGATGATGATGATGACACTCCTAGAAATCGACAGATTCAATGGGCTGGAATCTCACCCTTACACAGGGCCGGACTGGGACAGTTGTTCAGGCTGAGAATCATGGAAGGACTCAGGCCACACACATACTCACAGCTACAGTATCTGCATGAATGTTTAGTATGGGTTTTTATATGTATGTTTACAGTAATACAAAAATACCCTCCATAACTGCCCACTCTTTAACTACCTGCTTAGTCACCTAAACTATTCCAGATTTTTTGATGCACACATTTCATAATGTAAATAATGCTTTGACCACACAGTACTTGAAATCCTTGGATATATGAAGTTTTATATATATATTTATTCATTTTTTTTCTTATTAGGTAAACCTATTGTAAGCTGTACCTGGGGCTCTCCCTGAACTTACAGGTATCTCATGCTCTCTTTCTCCATCTTTGCAAAGAAAAAATGAAAACACAAAGTTAATTATCAATTTAAATGCACATTTTTTATGAAGTATCTAGCACTATATAGCATCGCCAAACAATGTATGCAATGTACACTATGTGGCTCACGCTTTACATTGCCCCAGGATAGCTAAAAAACTGTGTACAAAATGAATTTCTAGGAACTGCAGAGAAATACAGAAAAAAAGATTATTTGCTTTCAAAGTCAAATCTGAATGTGCAGATGAGTTTCCAGAGACCTTGTTTTATTCCACATGAATATATCATTATTATATTATGCATATATTTTTTCTTCTAAAATTAATGTAAAAGACAGACAGGATGCAGAAATTTACTTTAACAAATTTACAACAAAAAACAGAAATAATCTGAATGTTTTGAAGAGGAACAGCAACTTCCTTTAATTAACATTACCATTAAAACATTAATGTCAAAAAGGCCACAGCAGAGAGCTCAGAGAACATCAGAAAATCCCTTCTGAAAGAGGAACAAAAAAGAAATTGTCTTCAAATAAAGGCAAATTCATTTTCTTTTAATATATTTCCTAAAGTCCATTCTCCAAACAACTGTGGTCATTTACACTACAATCCCACATATGCTTAAAATTCCCCATATTTTGTGCCTCTTCACGTAGATTTGTGCAATCAAGGAAAACAAAAACAGATTTAACAGTGGGCTTGTTTAGCAGAGTCAAAACACTAGTTTCTTTGGTTTTTCCCAGGGAAACTCCTCTCTTCCAAAATGTCCATAGCTGGCAGTTTTCTGGTAGATGGGTCTTTTCAGACCAAGCTCTCTGTGAAAGAATGAGTGGTTACAACATGAATGTTACCATTATTTATTTGAGAATATTATTTATTTATTTAATTTCCAGTCCAAATTATTTTGGCAGCATCAGGGGAAAAAGCAGAAAACATATATTTAACAGAAAATTAAACAGATGCCTGAACAACTACATATTAAATTGTTTCTTCAGTATTTAGTGTGTCTAACCCTTTGACTTCATTACAGCTTTTAGTTTTTAAAGAAATATGCAGGGATATTTTTCCAGCTCCAAAGTTCAGTCACATTCCAAGCAATCCCAAACATATTCAACATCATTGAGGTGTGAAGTCGATCAGTCCAATGTTTTGGGAAGAGCAGCAGTTTTTTTCTAGTTTTGTCTATTTCCTTTTCTCAGTAACAGCTTCTTGACAGCTACACAGCTTTTTAGACCCGCAGCATTGAACCGTCTACTCACAGTGGAAGGATGGACAGAAACACCTTTGGATTTTCTCATATCTGAAGCTGAACCTGAGTGGAGCTTGATTTTTCCTCAAAGATGAAAGCATTAAGCACTGTTTGTCTAATGATGACAGATTTGATGGTCTACCAGGTTTTGCCCAGTTATTAGGAGTCCCATTTTCTCTGTAATTTCTTTTTTTTTAATTAACTCGTTTTGAAAATCTTTTGGAATTTTCCTTTCATATTCCCCTTCTTTATACAAGTGAATTGTTTTATACTTAATCTTCTTAGAAATATCTCATGAAGTTTTAATAATTTGTTCTTAATGGTTGTGACTGGAAATTAAATAAATGAAAAGGTGTCTCCGACCTTTTCACGATACTGAAAATAATCTAAACTTGCTTCTGCTTTGACGTTAACTTACTTGATGATTGCTCCTGGCCTTAGGTCGAAATTCTTCTGAACAATTTCCAGAAGCTCGTCTTCATCTCTTGTTGATGTTCCATAATGAAAAACGGAGACTGACAAAGGATGGCTTATCCCAATGGCATAGGAGATCTATTATTCACATTCATCATTACAGCTGATACAGTATCATAAATCAGAGTTTATTTGCACATCAACTTCAACTCAAAATAAAGGGCATCATAACAGTTGTACTATTTCAGATTTTTACCATCTCTCCATAATTAGTAAAGCATTGTAGTATCAGCCAAGCAACCCCTCAGCTGTTGTTTCCTTGAAGAACATCTACATTAAGAGCTTGTTTTTCAGACTTAGACTACGCCTCACGATTAAAATGTTTTAATGAGGAATCAACTCTTTCGTGTGAAAGACAAATTTATATGTATATGTATTTTATTCATGGTCAGACAAAATAACCCACAGTAAACTTACCTGTACCAGTGCCCTTCTGCATAGTTTGGCTTTGACAAGAGATTTGGCCACCCAGCGAGCCGCATAGGCTCCAGAACGGTCCACTTTAGAGTGATCCTTACCGGAGAAGGCCCCGCCTCCATGGCCTCCCCAGCCACCATATGTGTCAACAATGATCTTTCTCCCAGTAAGGCCTGCATCTCCCTGTTTATAAAGACATAAAATTGGAGGTGCCCAAATTACACTTGTGTTTTTTTTTTTAATAGTAATAACATCAGCTAAGCAAGGAATAAACACTTACGCAGAATCTAAAATACTGATGCAGTTTTGTGACTCACATGACATTCTAGGAAATTAATCGTACATAAACCTCTCCAGAACCATTTCCTGAATTCACAATGCAAACAGCCTGATGCTGATAGTATGACAATGAAAACAGTCTACGTATTTACTTGTGGACCACCCATAAGGAACTTCCCACTAGGCAGTAGGTGATAGATTGTCCTGTCATCCAGGTACTTTGCTGGGATTACTGCCTTGACCACTTTTTCCATCAGAGTCTGTCGGATTTTGGACAATGTGATGTCAGGTTTATGTTGAACGGAGATGACTACTGTGTGGACTCGGAGTGGCTCCATAGCTCCCATGTTATCACGATATTCCACCGTAACCTGTCAAGAACAAAACAAATTACTTCCGGCAAGATTATTTTGTAAAGAGACACCTTCTTACAACCATTTTACCTGGGATTTAGAGTCAGGCAGTATCCATGGGCACTCTCCATTCCCTGACAGTTCTTTCATCTTATAATTGAGCTTATGGGCCAGGAGGATAGTCAGTGGCATGCACTCCTCTGTCTCATCTGTCGCATAGCCAAACATTAAACCCTGCAGGAAAGTTTCATCTAATCAGAACATGGAGCTACTTGATATTTGATACAACTTTGGAGCCACATAATGTGTTGTCTATTCCACTGACAATATATTTATGAATGCTCACATCAGGTCATGTACAGAAAACACAAATATCACTTGATATTAGCTGATCTAGTCAAAAAAAACCCTAAATGTAAAGCATATCTTTAAAAGCCTAGTTTAAAGGCAGTTTCTAACCTGGTCACCAGCGCCAATGTCCTCTTCGTCTCTTCCTTCAAATACACAGTCACTAATCTCGACGCACTGCGGCTGCAAGGCCACAAGCACATTGCAGGTCTTGTAGTCAAAACCTAGAAGGATAGTAGCAACAAAATAATCACATTTGGCTCCACTGTGCCCTTTCCTTCCCATAATGTTGCTCTGTTTCACTAATTAAACAAGAACCAGAAAGTTCAATTCATAATAACTAATTTGTTTTCATAACAATAATACAATTAGCTCATTAAATCTACAAATCTAGTAGTTTTAATTTGCACCCCCAATTACTACATTATTTCAATAATTTTCTGTTGAAAAATAGTATCTTACCCTTGGATGAGTCATCATATCCAATACTCTTCACAGTATCTCTGACCACTTTCTGAAGATCAACTACTGCCCTTGATGTCACTTCTCCACACAGCAGGATCATACCTGTCTTAGCTACGCACTCTGTTCCGAAAAACAACATGCAGGGATGTAAAAAGTACATAAAAACTGTACTTAAAGGGGAACTTACCAATATTTTAAAAATGCATATTTCAATGTTTAAGATGTAAACAAAGTCATTCAGAGTGGTTTGATGTGAAATGCTCTATTCCAGAGAACCTTAAGTCAGAATTGTTTGCATTGTTGTTGATCAGAACCAGATGTCTAAAGAGTTTAATACCTCTGAATGTCTCCTCACAGGAAGTTATTCCATGAAATACAAAGTACACTGCCTGATGCCTGAGACATTGGTTTACGACAGTTTTGGCCTAAAACTTAATTTTAAATGTGGAAAGGTACATGCAGAGAGTTATAAGGCAAAATAATCCCCAAAGATTTTTTTCAGATTTGCCACTATTTCACAATCATCAATATACATATAAAAACTCAAATGAGGTTCACAGCTGTAAAGAAATCGGAGTTGGTATGTTTTGGAGCACTTTATATCGAATACATGCAATTTTATGAAAAAAATCAATGGAATTCCCCATTAAATTAAAGTAGCTTTAACGCTGGGCACAAGCTGATCACATACAGTACAGAACTATATACCACTGAACTATACACTATAGCAGGGGTGTCCGATTTTACCTGCAAAGTTAGGCTGATGTCCAGGTGGGCTGCTTTTTCAGACCGCTACAACATCAAAGGCTGTTCCAAGGATTCTTCAAATATAGCTGAGAAATGCAGCCTACATTCACACAATTTTCAAGGACTCTACTGGAGTATCCTTCACAGCCTTCTGTCACCTGGAAGTCTTTGCATATGCGTCTGACCCAATAAAAGTTCAAGAGGAACGTGGACATATTAAACTAACTACTACATGTAGTTTAAAAAGGCCATTAAAATGTACAGTTAAATATACAGCACACCGAGTATAACAGCTTTTAGCTTTCAGGTCAGGATTTAATTATAAATACATTATAGTGTTGCCTGCCACTTTACATCATTCACATCAGTGTTTTGATTGCCTGCTTACTGTCATTCATATCAACAGTATTTTAGCAAATTTTGTGCCCACGTCTTTCCGGTGACGTGACTGATCGGCCTTGGCAGATTGTTTCATTTTGCTTGATGTAATACTGAGCAGAGGAAGATTCAGGTGAGGCCATTATCCCTCTCTCAAGCCTGAAATGGCAAAAGAAACACAACAATGTGTGTTTCTGTGTGTGCTAGTACTTTAGAGTACTAGCTGTCTAACTAAAATAGTAAAAGACACACGGCAATGATGCTAACCTTTTACTTTCCAGCTGTTCTTCTCTCATTTCTCTTTGTCTTCCCTAGACCAGAGAACCAGAAGCATTTCAATCCTTTTACAGAAACAGAACACAGGCGTGCTCCAACGCCACCACACAATCAGAGAGTGTTCAACAAAATTAAACAGAGTGTGGTGCTGTCAGGAAAAAAAGCATAGTTCTGAAGGTGCTCTGTTGCCAAGGCATCTAAATCGGGGGAAAAAGTTGTAAAATCATGACACTCTTCCTTAAATAAAAGTCATTACTATAACATGGCTATGAACAAAAAAAAAACACATTGAGAGTTTTTTCTTTATGCTTAGTCATGTTATAATAAAGGCATTTATTTAATGAGGCCTGCCATGGTTGTACACTTTCTTCTCTACAGTCAGAGAGCCTTGAGAGAACAGTGCTAATGAAGAACCACCTTTCTCAGCTGCAGCCTAGCTCTTGGAACACAGTTATCAACTGTTTGACATCTAAGGGTTAACTGATTAAAGAAGTGGAACCAGGTGTGTTCCTGCTTGATTGGAACGAAAACCTGAAGCTACATTGCCCGTTTCTCAATAAAACTGGACACCCCTGCTTTATACTAACTGATTTACAACTATTTATTTTGTGGTATATTATTCTGAATTACTTTTTAGTACAGTAGTATTTGGTTTGGGACGCTGCCTTTTTTTTAACCAGATATACAGTCATAAGCAAATCTGATGATTTTTTACTGAAAATTAGATAACATATCCTCTACAGAGAACACACTTGAATACATATCAGGGCACAATTTCTGTTTATTTGCTAAGTTTAACATAATGGCAAAAAATAAACCATAACATACCTAACTGTTTTACTTTGTTCAATATGTTAAATTCAACATATGAACAGTTATTGTACATTAAATAGTGCAGAAGTGTGTTCTCTGTAGAGGATGTGTCAACTTCTTTTCACTTAGAAAATTCAACAAAACATGCCATTTGTCCAGGGGCGCCCAGATTTTTGCTTACGATTGTACATGTTAGGCCTCTAATATGCAAAACTACAGTCTTAATCCTTTGCAACAAAGTTTTTTGCCAAAAACTTTTTGTGTGTTACAGCAACTAATGCGCAGTACCAATCCATGTACGAAGATGAATTAGCATAAACATGGGCAGTTTAATTTTATACTAAGACGAATTCTTTTAACTAATCAAAACGTGCAACTCGACTGCCTTTGACAGTACACTGAAGGTCTAAAAAAGTAAGCAATAAAAATATGCTTTTTCACTTAGAAATGTTATTGAGCAAAAGTACATGTATTCAGTTACAATAGTATGTAAATTAGAAATCTTAAAAAAAAAAATACTTAAGTACAGTAAAACTACAAGGATTTTCCATCTCTGGAATGATGGGTTCCCAAAACAGTACAGCTAAAATAACTGATATCAAATTACATGTCTAGTATGTATAACTATTATGGAGCCCAGCTGGTGACACCCTGTATAAACAAAAACAATGTGAGGCCACGCTGTATTAACGCATGGGAACAAGATACTAATGTGTGACCACGACTACGTAAGGCATGGGAACGAGATAATTAAGTCATGGCCACGACTTAAGACATGCCTTATTGAGCCGTGGCCATGGCTTAATTTTCAAATTCCCACACCTTATTAAGTCACGGCCACGCATTAGGATCTCGTTTCCATGCCTTACTAAGACGTGGCCACAACTTCATTATCTTGTTCCCATGCTTTACTAAGTCATGGCCACGCATTATAATTATTTATACAGTATGTCACCAGCAGGGCTCTGTAAACGATTATAAAAATTCAAAAAGAAATACAATCAGAAGCCTGAGGCTGAAACAGTAGAGGAATATTAAAGCACATACCACACGCCACTTTGGAGTCAGGGTCTTGAGAGAGATATGCATCCAAAACAGCATCACTTATTTGATCACACATTTTATCTGTGAGTCAAAAAGAAAAAATACTTTCATCAGTAACGGTTTTTCACCACTGACTTTGTAAAAAAAAGACAATAGCTTTACAATGGCCATTAAATCAACGTCGCTATCTACAAACACGATTAGATAATCAATAACTGGTGGGAAAGTGCAGCTCGAGTTCATTTGGATAACATGCCTGGACTTGATCGAGCTACACTGCTGTATAGTAAAATATTACTTCAATGAAGTCAATAAAGTCCAGTGTGGGTGTTTAAGAAAGAAATGTATGTAAAGTCTACCCGATAACTCTAATAAAGTCGATAAAGTCCAGTGTGGGTGTTTAAGAAAGAAATGCATGTAAAGTCTACCCGATAACTCTAATAAAGTCGATACAGCACCTCATGTTGATTTCTGTGGCCTGTGCACTTTGTGCCTATGAGAAAAGCAGAGCCTCACCAGAGTGTCCTTCACCGACAGACTCCGAGGTGAAGAGGAATGTCTTTCCTGGTTTGGTGTAGCCGGTACTGTTCATTATGGATACAGAGGACACGAAGACAACAGCAGCAAAACTTAAAAGCCTTCTTCTTCTTCTTCTTCTTCAGCGCTCGCAGAGTCTGTACGGACCTACTGTGGAGAAGCGCTCAACTCGGAGGTCTGAGCAGTGGGCGTGGCTTACTCGGAAGTCGTAACCATGGACACCAATCCAGCGGCGAAGCCTGATTCCGTTCTTTTCCCCTCCTCCTCCTCCTCCTCTTCTTTCTTCTTCTTCTTTTTCTTCTTCTTCTTCTAGTTCCTCATCATCATATGCATACAAAAATATTCATATAACAGTGTACATGATTAAATTTGCTCGGCGGCTTTACGTAACTACATAAAAATCTTTCAGTAAATGCATGTTTTAACACTTCTAATAGCTTTTTGTTTTAAAGAGGGCTGTATTACTTTACTATTTTTACATATTGACAATGCCTGAATAAGTGAATGGCTGTGTCTGGATAGTTAGAATGAACAAATCATTTCAATGTTATGTTTCAATTTTATAAAGTAATTTTTAGCTGGGTAGGTTTAATGACACTTCTTTAACTTAATTAGTAATTCTGTTTGGAATTAGCCAGACTTTCTTCCATTGAATTTCTTAGAGAAACCGATTCCAGTACAAAATAACATGGGGTGGTGTAACAATATCATTTTGGAACAAAGTTCTTATGGATCTATTATTGTTACGAGGCTTTTCTTCTTCTGTTTAACAGAATAACAGCAGGTTACACTGAAGCTCAACATTCGCATATCAAACTTTATTTCTTTGTGAAATATCAACAGAGGAAAAAAAGAATAGATAAAAAAAGAAAAGATGAGGAAAGAAAAAATAAAATAAAAACAAAACAAAAACAAAACAAAACAAAAAAAAAATAAATAAAAACAAAAGAATATCCCATTTGGATTTGAATAGAACTGAAAAGCTTTAGGTTTACAGTATTTCTTGTTTTGCTGCAGAAGTAAATTCACAAATATTTTTGATTTGAAGCATGAATCACATAGATCTGTCACACGTTAAGGCATTTGTCAGACAAATTTCGTCTCATGTATAAAAAATGAAGCTATTATGATTAAATAAAGATAAATGATTAAGTTTATTATGAAACATCAAAAAATACTACAATACTAAAAAATAAAACATTGTGGCTTTTGATGAGAATTTCTTTACCAGCCTTTCTTTTCAAATCTAGAAAATCAACCCAAAAAGAGTAAGAAAATACACAATAGAAAAACAAACGTTCAGTGGATTTCCAGCTGGATTTTGTCTCTTTACAAAAAACATATGCATCACTTGCATGGAAAAATTTACTCAAAGCACCATTAATAGGGTAGCACTATGCAATATATTATAAAGCAGCCCTTTCATTTCAATATTTATGTAAGTAATGCTTCTATTTTTTGAAAAAACATAAAAAACATAGCTTGAATCATTAGGCTAATATTTTCCAAAACATTTGTAAGATTAAATTTGAAAGATTAGGATTTAGATCTTTGACTACCACTTTGATTAACCCATGGAGAATGTGTTATATATGGTTCACTATAGAATAATTTTCAAAAAGTTCTACATAGAACCATCTACAACACATTCTCCATCAATCTGAAGAATCATTTCACCATGCAAAGAATCATTTACGCATGCAAATAGTTCTTTGAGTGTTCATGGTTCTATAAAGAACCACTTTCTTTATCAAAGAACCCTTGAAGAACCATCTTTTTTAAGAGTTTAGCTAGCACCACAGAGGTATTATTTAGCCTCTAGATCAGAAGCTATGCCAGCAGCCAGGTTTTGTCAGAGCTGTGGGAATTTTGAAATGTTGTGTAATGTTTTTGTGTAATGCATTCTGGGTACTGTAGTGAGACAAGATTGACCGATACAAAACCTTAAATCAGGTCAAACCAATGAGGCTGAGTGATGAAATTCTGCCCTACAGAACACTACATAACACATTCAATAATATAATGAATAATAACATTTTAAAAACTTATTTTAGGCCAGAACACCTCTTTAAGCCCACTGGTGACTAGAGTTGCCACAGTGTATGTTCCTCTTTCTTTTTTATTAAAGAAAATGGTAAAGTGTTAACCACTTTACCACAAAATTGTTTTTGACCCTGTCTATACAGGTCACTGGTAGAACATCAATAAGTGTAAAATTCACAGGAAAATTTGGGCACAAATGGGTTAACAATTTATAACTTGCTTCGCAGAGTTGAAGTAAATAGGGTGAATATGTTACTTAAGAAGCCAACAGGTCATGCAGACTCTTTGCATAATCATCTGGATATCTTAGCATGTTTGTAAACAGTGCTTAACAGATTATGTTGCATATCATTTTTTTCTGTTTTAATTTGCAGCTCCAGTCTCCCTTTTTCGACAGTTCAAGTTTACAGGTTTTCATCAAACAACAGGTGTCAATATACCTCAAACTTCTTATATTTCTTAGTTCTACAGTGAACTCCTGTAAAGCAAGAGGCCACATAGTGATGGGAAGAGATGATTTTCAGTTATAAATTTGCAGGTTTTTTTCACCAATATAATCATTAGAGTTAAACATATTGCTTGCTGTAAAATGTTCACTTAAACCCAATCTTGGTTTTGAATATGAATGGTTTCGCTGTTCATTAGTACTGCACCATCAATAAAGGGCAATTTGAGGCAATTTGTGACTTTGTTGGCTTCTGCTTAGTAATTACTTTTTTCCTTAATTATATTTTCTCTTATAGAAAACAACACAAAACAAGTTTAATTAGGCCACACACTGGAGGGCTACTACACAAAAGATCAGTTCTCAAGGAATGGTGAGTTAAATTCCACACTTTCAAATTAATCTAGAAAATGGAATAGGAATAGGAAAACATTTGTCATTTACTTCTAAGTGTTTGCAATTATTTTAGTGTGAGTCCATATCGAATGTCAGTTTGAGATATCATATTCTGTCACAAGATGGCATTACTTACATCTGTGTTACAGAGCCCAGCCTTGATGCCCGGAGGGCCTATGAATTTCTCAATAAGGTAATACATTTTTCACGTGACCTTTGACTAATATCTGTTGTCTTGGCCTTGCGACGACTAACAGTTGTGAAACATCCTGCATTCATGAAAGAAGAGAAATTTTTATATGAAGTGTGTGCCTAAATAGCACTTAAAAGATATGATTGGACTAAGGTTATAAAGGTTCTAAACAGACACTAAGCGATAAGTGATTAAATCCCTGCAACAGAGTTCACATGACTGAATGATGACTCCAGAGTACTTTGGCTTTTCCTGGAAAGAATATTGTGAACAAAAAGTGAGAGGAAGTACTAGCCTACTCAGATGAAAAACTGCTGAAGATACTTTACAATGGTTGTGTAAAAGCAAATTAAGACAAACTCACACAAAAATACTTTTTGACAAAACAGGTGGCGGATGGCCTCATTCTTTTATTGCTTTCCAGTTCTGCAGCACCTTTGTTACCAGTCCTTTGATAAGAACAGTGGCCTTCGCCCAGCTATGAGTACAGTGCAGATCTTCATCAGGTGCTTGCCCAACAGATGGTAGGTCCAGCTTAAATGATTGGCTGACTAGAAGCCAATGGGCAGTCTCCAGTTATCTGGCAGTGGTTAATGTACAAGCCAACTGGGAGGGGCAGCCTTGTGTGCAAATGAGTTCTAAAGCCTTTCTGCCTGTTTATTCAGGCGCATGTTGTAGCTCGCAGCAGCCTCGAGAAACACTGTACACTGTATGTTTTAAGCAATGGTAGAGAGTTTGGTGTGAAACACAGGCTTCGGATTTAGCAAACTGCTGAGAACATAAGGCTTGAATAGGCAACCGGAAAGTACCAACATGGTGAGTGAAACTGCTTTCTCATCCTGTTTGCTTGGTGAGTATACAGTTATTTGCTTAAGGTTAAAACCAACCTGTCAGCTTTGTTGATAGTACAAGTCCTTAAAGGCAGAGTGACATAAATGTACCAGAAGGGGATCAAAGTTTTAAAAAGTATGAAAAACATTTCTTTAAGGTCTTTATTTTATAAAGAGCTGTGAATTCTAAAGCACACTAGAGTTTATGATGTAGCTCTTGACAAGTGGCTGTTAAGGAGGAAGTCAATGGTTCGCAATGGAGGGAAGTAAAGGCAACATGTCAGCAGTGTCAGTAAAGGAATGTCACAGTTTGCAAAAAACGAGGATGTTTTTGCTAGCAAAGGCAGTTACAAGGAATATTGCACAACATTTTTACTCCAGTGTGGTTTCATGTAATGCTGGCTGCCTGTGATGAGCAATATACTGTAACATAGTAAGTGAAACTGGAGTATTGGTAATAACTGTAACTAAATATGTCAATTCGCAACTGAAAATTAATGGGCCCCATTAAAATGAAACAAAAATTTTATACAAAACTGTATGAAGACATGAAGAGACATCATAACAGAGACATCATTTTGAGTGCGTATGTTATGTTTGCGTTCTCTGTGTGCTTCTCTGTGTGCAGGCTGACAACAGTACACAACCTCAAGCTCCCAGTAAGCTCAATCAAGTGCAGGAGCAGGTTAATGATGTCAAAGTTATCCTCAAAGACAACATTAACAAAGTGCTGGAAAGAGGAGAAAGATTAGATGACCTGATTGGAAAAACAGATGATCTGCAGGCAACTGTAAGTTACTTATGCCATTTTTAAAGACATAGCAACACACTGTAATGTAATACTTATGCCTGAATAGTAAATAGAAATTCAACATACTGTTCATTCTAGTTACAGCATTAAAGTTTCGTTTTATTAGTAAGTGGCTGGTCATTCTGAATGATCAGTGGAAAATGTTTGTCACATTGTCACTTACTCCTCTTCTTTAATGCATGCCCTCTCTACCAGGCTGACTCATTTCAAAGGACTTCCACGAGAGTTTCCAGAAAGTTCTGGTGGAAGAATATGAAAATGATGATTATAATTGGAGTGATAGTTCTTGTCATTCTTGTGCTGATCATTCTTTTGGCAACAGGAGTCATTCCCTCATAATGTAATCAGTACCTTCCTGATTCTTTATGAAGTGCAAACATGTGAAGCAGACCCTAATCCGTCTTAAATATTGTTTTTTTTTAACGGTTTTAATTTTGTATTAGTTTCATTTTCACATTTTAAATTTTCAATTGTCTTTTAGCAGATAACGAAATGGTTGTACATATATGTGTGTGTGTGTGTGTGTATATATATAAGACAAATAAGACATTTGTATATCCACTCCAGCTGAAAGGCTTTAGTTTGAGACTAAGCACTGTGAGTTTATATTACTTCTATCTTAGAGATAAATCACAAATCAATGTTTCGTTCTCAAGGTCCATCAAACACTACAAAACTGAAGAATGTTAAAGTTAATTGTTACCTATAGCCTCCTCCAGACCTTTGAAACCTTTATAGCCGTAATTTATTTTTGCAAATGAGTGATTGAATCTGAGTCAGTCTATATGACGGGAAAAGTAGAAAGGTATTCGATTGTATTTTTATTTCTTGACTGTGTTTTATACCATGTATGTTGTGTTCATGTTTAACTTAGAATATGAAAGCTTTTCTTTCTTTACTGTACCCTTTATTGGACAACATGGCAAAATAACGTACACTTTAACCAGACCGATGTTCAACCCAGGAAGTACTGACTGGCATGTAAATACTGCTTATTGTGTAAGAAAACAGATTGCTCGTAATAAAATGAGACTCTGGAATACTCACAAGGAAGAAACCTGATGCAGAGTTTATACACTTTATTTCATCCATTGCATCTTTCAAAGGTTTATGTGATTTTGTAGCAAAAACTTTGCTAGGCCTATAGGAAATGAATATTAAATGGCTAACATTTGTACTCTTTCCTAATTTTAACTAATAAATACTCATCATAGAAAATTACAAATGATTTCATGAAGCTGAAGCACAACACTGGCACAAGAGAGGATTCGACTAAATTATAACTACAAACTTGAACGGAAGTAAGCATATAAATTCAACACAAAACAAGAAAGGTTTTTGACTGGGGCAAAGAGTGTTACACTGTGTCTTAGGGTGAGTTCAATGTAGATCAGAATATCCACCTTCATCAATCATCTGGCAAAAAAACAAGCTCTACTGTACATGACCAGTAGCTGTAGTTGAAATGAAGACTCTCTTTTTGTCCTTTCATTAACACTCCATAATAAACAATTGCCTTGACTCAATGGTATTCTCTTCTGACGTTACCTCCGAACCACACTGCCACCTGAAAGACAGGAAAGAAAAATATGAATCAATTTCTCACAAGCACACAAAAAGGAGATGTCCTCTAAAATGTACAAGAACTCCCAAATCTAAAGTATTTCATTATGCAGAGAAAAACATACTTCATACTTCGAATATGGTACAATAGTCTAGAAATCCCCTTCGAAAAATTCATAATTTGAAAATCTTGAAGTAAGCTTAATTGATAAGATTAAGCCCATACACATAAAGTCTTCAACTGTTTACAATAAAAGAAACATTGCATGCAAATTTCTGGTGACATACACTTTTTCCAAGTTTTGCAATGGTTAAAAAAAGAGAATTTGTTAGATTTGTTAGAATTAACATCGTTTACAAGTGAAACTTTTCCACCGCTGTCAGTAGAACAACACACAATACAAATATGAAAATTAAGCACTTCTCCGACGTGGTGTCCAAGTACAAACCAGGTTTTAGCTCATGGACTACTGGCTATTACTGCTACACGAGCTATAAATAAGGAAAAGCAAGCATTACAGGTAAGATTAGAAGTGCATAATATTAAACACTGGAAAGTCCAGAGAAGGCTGTATCCTTTGAAAAGTAAACAGTTATTATTTTTTAAGACTGTTGTCGTATTTAACCATTACTTGAGGTGCCTGTAAAAAATGCCATTACAAAATTACAGAAATAGACTGTATTACATAAAACAAATCCAATGAAGTTTAAAAAGGAACACAAAAAAGCTGGAGATAAAAGCTGGAAGTATCCGTTTTTTTTTTCTTTCTGTCTTTTTTTGTTTGACAAATATACAGGACCATATACAGGATGTTGGAAGACCATACCAAATGGGAGCATTCGAGAGCGTACGCCTCTCGTACCCTGTCCGCATTGAGCGGGCCTGAGAGAATCGGGAAGTCAGCTCATGGCCTGCAAGGAAGTCCCCGCTGGCAGGTACAAACAAGGTCAGAGTTAGGAGACAACATTCTTCTTTTTTTCTCTTTCGTTGTAAATCCTTATTTTCTGGTACCCATTTAGCAGTACTGTACCTGTTATTTTTTTACTGTTACAAAATGGCAAGAAACAGCCAAAAGCCAGCTGTTACATTATTGCCAAAAGACTGAAGTCTCTATGTTACCACTACAGTAAAGCACTTGAGGGTGCTGTAAAAAACTTAAAAAAACAAACAAAAAATTAAGCAAAGTACATTAAATAGAAAGGTCAATGTAGTATACATTATTTTCTAAGGACAGCTTGTGATAAGTAATGCAATGACATACCTGTATCTACTTTTTGTAGTTTATGTACTAGTATGGCTTGTAACTGTTTTGATGGCCACCTCGCCTTGGAGATTTGCCGTAACCACTCTGCTGGTCTGCAGGTTGAGCAGAGAACAGAGAAAAAAGCATAGCTGCTGTTAAATCAGTGGAAACAGTCAACTGACAGTAACTGAGGGGTCAAAATTAAAAAAAGAAAAATATGATCTCTATGTCAAGATTGCAGCTATTTTCATCTTTCAATATAAACTTAACATTGCACACTTTATTAATGCAAATAAATGTATCTGGTTATATAAAGGAAACCAATATGATAATTATGTGATAACTTATTGGATACTTACTTTAAACTGTATTCAAACATACTTTATTTCAATTATACAGGGAGACAAACACATTTACAGTAAATTGGAGAAATTTTTAAAAATAGTTTATTTTGTTCTAAAAAATGGCCATTGGCTAGTGGTCATTTTCCCATGACCTACAGAAGTACAGTTTGAATTGCTCTTTAAGGGTCTCAAGGCACTTGTGACAAAGTTATGAAGGCAAGACATCCCTTTCCCATCCCATGTATCGTCACATTTCATACAATAAATATGTGTTATACATTAAGTTAAAACAAGATTCCCCTGCAAGACAGAAAAAAACAAATGCATGAATGATCTAGATGTCTATGTTTAAAGCTTAATGCATATAATGCATGAGTGAATTTTGCCTAGGTAATTTAGTGCACAGTTTTCATAGTACAGGTACCAAAATAATCCATGATACGTTATTTCCTTAGAGTTTCTTTCAGTGTTTTCACAAACAGTATTACATACTGCTGTAGTCACCATATCCGTAGTAGTTGTTGTAACCCGAGTAATCATAGCCCCCGTATCCACCATAGCCTTGATTGTTGTAGCCGTAGTTTCCATAATTTCCATAACCTTGATTCCAGTAATTTCCGTAACCCTGGTTCCAATTCTGATTAGGCCCTGAAACAGCAAGTCACAAAATTCATCACACCACAGACAATCAGAATGGTGACAATAACAGTACTACTTTAAGTCAAGCATGCAATGACTGCATTGTAGCGTTAGTTCTGTGTGCCAGGTTGCCACAGTAAGATCTTCCTAAAGACAGGACTCACCTCCTCTCCCTCGAGATCTAGAAGGGTAGCCACCTCTGCCACCCCACTGCTGCTGCTGGTACTGCTCCTTTGACATGGCTACCTTGATTTCACACTGTGTACAAAAATAAATAAAGTAAAATATTAACATCTGCATCAAAGACTCGAATACGAATTATCATGACATCATGGTAACTGTAACATTAGACTCTACCTTGCTTAGGCCAATGTTATGATACTTCTTTTCCATGATCTTCTTTACTGGTTCCTCCTCTTTGAAGGTGATGAAACAGAAACCTCGCCTTTTATTTGTCTTGTTTTCCATTGGCAACTCAATAGACTCCACCTTAAAAACAGGTATACCAATCCTCACCATCACTTTAATAGTGAATACTGAAAGGGCAACATCAAAATTGTTCATATTCATTGTTACAGGTAATGAATTCAACAGGTAACTGATGTTCCTTTTCAAAACTAGGCTATAACATCCATCACGTTTAGTTGTTCTCTTTACACACCTCTCCAAAAGCATCAAAGTACTCTCTGATCTTCTCTTCAGGAGTATCTGGTGAAAGGCCACCAACAAAGATCTTCTTCACAGGCTCTTTGGACTTCATGGCTTTTGCTTTTTTGGGGTCAATCACTTTACCATTAAGTTTGTGTTCTTTCTGTTGAATGACCTGTGATCAGCAGATGACAAGACATCACAAGGCTAGGTTTAACATCTTACACCAGCAGAAGAAAAACATACTGTTCAAATATGCAAATAGTAATAATACAAGTAAAAGAATTGGTAGCAACATACTCTTACATACCACAACACATACCCCCAATTTAAACACCAGATTTAACTGATAATTACTAAACCCTTTGTGTGTTGAACTGGGGGTGTTTAAGCAGCAAATATATTACACTCTGAAGTGCTACAGAACTCGAGTTGGACATGGCTGGCCTAGAATGACCAACATATGAGCACATTCAGCAAAGAGTTGAGACTGCACTGCATTAAAGGTCACTACCTTTTCCACACTTTCAGCATCTTTAAACAGCACGAAGCCAAAGCCTCTGGATCGGCCTGTCATAGGATCCAGTTTTAAAGTGCAGTCTACAACCTCCCCAAACTTGGAGAAGTAATCTTTTAAGTCCTTCTTTGTTGTGTCCCAGCTCAACCCTCCAATGAACATTTTCCTGTGGAAAAACAAAGAGAGAACAGAGTGATTGCTCTAGGTGACTTTAAATCATAAAGTCAGATTACTTTAAATCATTTTAATTTAAAACTTCTTTACTCTGTCTTCAGGAACTGGACTTGTAAACTATATTTCAGACTATGACTTTAGATCCTACTGAAATATAGATATCCCTCTTCCCTTACATGAGGGAGAGCCTTTCAGATACGCTGGTCATATTCATGTATGCATGTGGAAATTACCTAAACGCCTTCTTTCCCCCAAAAATACAGAACCCCATCTGCATTAATCACTGCATGATAGTTCTTCAAGGGTTCTTAAGTAAATGTAATGGTTTGATGAAGAACCATATGCTTGCTTGAAGAGTTCTTTACATGGTGAAATGGTTCTGCACACTGATGGAGAATGTGCTGTATATGGTTCTATATATAACGTTTTTTTCTATATAGTTCCAAAAAGGGTTCTCTATTGTTACAAGCCTGACATTGTAAAAACGGAAGAACCCTTTTCAACAAAGTTCTACATAGAACCATATACACAACACGTTCTCCATCAATGAAGAACCATTCAACCATGCAAATGGTGTTTTGTGTTTACTATTCTATGCAGAATCACTGTCTTTACTAAGAGCCCTCGAGGAGTGTAGTTTTAATGCTGGTATTATTTTCTGACACGGTGATTTAGGCTATCAAAATATTCATCAGTTTTATGTGAGGGGCTACCTATAAATATGTGTTTAGGTCGAAAATTTCGTCACAACACTGCTGATGTTTCCCTTATATAATGATGAGATGCAGTCCTGTTAATCATTCTGCCACTAGTGTCAAAAAGAAGATGCCTTTGCTTTTGACCACCAGAGAGGAACTTACTGGGCTACATGTCTACAACTCTGGACATTAAATAATGACTGGAAAGCGATTTTCTGTTATATCTTTTTATGGAATAGACCGGGAATATCCAGATCGGTTCCGTGATGTTACGCGCAAAGCTCCAAACTATTAGCAGAGCCTTTACGCCACAGCATGTGATAAAAAAAAACGTTTAAACTAATGTTACACAAGGCTAGGTAACGTCTTTGTTAGCAACATCTCTGCTGGCGTTGCCACAACAACATATGAAAACAGAGCAGCTGCGCAACCGTCTAACATTCATCCTCAACCGCTAAGCTCAAACAAACGTTGCTATTGTGCGTTCAAAAGCGGTGTAAGGAATGTAAGGAGCAACTACAGAGTTTGAGTTCTTGCTTGTCAGATATCAAGAACATAACGTTAATTCGTTAGCATGGGCAGAACTAACGTTAAGGAGATAGTAACTGAAAATGAGCTAGCTTAGCATTACTACCAGCTAGTACGAGTTAACGTTAACGCTGCCAGCTTGGTCGAGATGAAAACTTTGCCAAAAACGCTGACGTTAAACAACGTATGGGGTTAACAGACGGCAGATAAAGACTGTTCCCTGGTTCTGTTATACGTTAGGTAACGTAAATTTGGGTTTACGTGATCAGGTTTTGTAGAAAGATGCAACCAAGCAGCTAACGTTAACGCTAGCCAGCGAAGCTAGGTTCCAAGCAGGCGTAGGCTGCCTCTCCCCAGCTAACGTTAACTGGCTAACCTAGCTAGCTAACACAATAAGCATCCACTTACCCTTCGTCTTCCTCATTTTTACTCGCATCTATCTTGGAGCCTTCGGCCTCTCCCGGCCCACCATCCCCACAAGCAGCTGTATCTTCAGCGCTCCCCTCCCCGTCTTCCTCCATCTTCATCGTCGGGTCGTCTGCGCTTAACAGGTCCTCCGACATTTTTGGTCGCCTGCGGTGCGAGCTGGCTTCACTGGAAATTCGCAAATACTGAATTACCTTAGCCACACAAGCAGGCGTGAATGATCGATATTTGTATCGATATGTAAAAACACTCCTTTAGGTAGCAGATATGATGCAGGAAACAAGTTCTGCCCGCTTTCGGCTGCTATCAACTCTCCGTTGCCACACACCGGCGCTCTCGCACAAAATGGTGGCAGCCAGTGAACGATGATTACAGCCGCGTCACTATCAGACTCAACACATTTATACAGCGATAATTTTAAAGTTCCTTAAACATAAAGCTGATTCAAGTGTTTAAAGCTGTCGACAGCCGTCAAATTCTGCCTTTTCATTGAACGGCATTTTAGTGTAAAATGGAGACAAGTAATTTATCGAGTGTTAAATAACACCTATTAGACCTTACAATCCATCCTATCCTGCTTCTATAAGGTTTCCCACCTTCTCCCAATCACAGGTAGACAAGCAGAAGGACTTTGACAGTTTTATTATATAGAAAACTTCTTTATTTAAAGAAAGGAAAAGAAAAACCCAAACACAAGCATGTTTTGATACCCCAATATTTTAATATTCCCTTTATCCAAAACTGAAGGAGAAAAATAATAATAAAAAAAAAAAGATAGGAAAAAAAAATACATTTCCAAATAAAGATTTAAGAACACACCAGCACGAAACCTATAGGCTCTACCTCAACAACGCACAGGATAAGAAATTTGGGGACAAAATATTTACAAGGTCAGACACACTACATGTCTTCATCTTTAGAGGAAAACCAAATAAAGGTATTTTTAAAATCAAGACGCTCTCTGATTAAGAAGGACAGGGTATCCACAAGCTGCCTCCGGGGTACAAACTGTCAGTCAGCCTGCTTACCTAGAAGAGAGGAGACAAGATGGCCATTACTCACTTTTACAAGACAAGCACTTAACTGAACCTCCATGTTTCTCTGTTTAACTTCGTGAGCTGTCGACTTTAAGCTATTAAGTTCACCATTCAAGATTAAAGATCATATGTACAACTTTAACACTTTCACAAAGCAGCTCGTCAGCCAGCAAAAGCTTCAGCTCCACTGGGTTGGTGGACAATCTCACCAAATCGGAGCGCTTCCAAATACGATTTTCACTATCAAATTTAATAATTTCCAGCCAGTCCGTAACTATTTTCAAGATGACCAATTGTGTCAGCTTTTCATGGCTTCATAAGACTGGTTTACATATGATCTTTATCAGCTAGGTTTTTAAGGAAAGGATTTGAGGTGTACCATTTGAAGTTCTCTATGGATTCTAAAGAAAAAGCAAGCATTATGAGTTTCTGCAGTTTACAGGGGTTGGAGACCGTTTATAGGAGAACAAAAAGAAAAATCACTGAAGCTCCAGAACTGAAATACAAGAACACTAAAATTAATAAAAAGAGAATACAACAAACAGTCAAAATCACTTAGGTTTCACTGCTAAATACCTGTAAAAAACCCATTTTAAAAACTGTTAAAGAAAACATTGACAACTTAAGGGAAAACGAGTGATCTCCTTTTTTAATGTTTCTTTGTTTTAACGCTGGTACAGGAAGTTTCAAGAGACCATACCACAGGACAGCGTTTTCTTGTGCATGCCGTGCTCTCTGCCCGCTATGTGCGACGCCCAGAGAATTTCGTGGTCAGGTGACACACGGCCTGCAATGAAGTCCCCCGCTGGCAGGTACAAACAAGGTACAATAATCAGAATTAGGGAAAGAATGGAAAAAAATAAGGAGAGGTGCCCTTACTCTGTACCCTTTAGCAGTACTTTACCTGTTAGTATTGCTATCAACTCTATGTTATTTCCTTATGATCACCTGTTAAAAAGCAGGGAGGAAAATGGAAAAACAAAACCTACAGAAAAACGCTTACGTTTTTCTGGAGAGCTTAAAAAAAGGAAAAGGCACACCACTACACAAGCATTAGCAATTAAAGATCTATAGACATTCTCAAATTCTCTCAAAATGGGGTGCACGAAATTGCAAAGCACTTGTTTGTTTTATAATAGTCAGTGTTGTCTATTGATCTTTAAATTGATATATGAGGCCAAATGGAAAGGTCAAGCTATAGTCTTACCATAAGTCTTGGCAGGTCAAGTCATTTTGTCAATATGGCTGGTAATGGTTCTGATGGTTTCCACCCTCTCTAGAGGCCTTGCCATAACTGCTCGGTTGAGCTATGAAGAATACAGACATTTGAATTAGACAGCTGCAGGTTAATTAAATGAGTAAAATTATCATCTGGAAACAATTTAGAAAAAAAAATAAACTAAGCTTGGACTTACTATTGTAATCATCATATCCTTGTCCATATCCATAATTCTGATAGTTGTAGCCTGAATAGTCATACCCAGAATAGCCATTATATCCCTGGTTGTATCCATTGCCATAGCCCCCATAGTTCTGTCCATAGTAACTATTGTAACCTTGGTTATAGCCTTGACCTTGTCCTGCAAACAGGGATGTAAATGGTCAAAATCAAAGAGGGGCTCCCAACATTTCTAACAGAAAGTTAAGAGGCAAAAGAAGGCTCTCTGCAAAAACCTATTGGTTCAGTCAGGTTTCTCACAAGTGGTCTCTAAACACCATATACAAATACCTCCTCTTCCACGACCCCTGAATCCACCTCTTCCTCCAAAGCCCCTGTCGCCTCTATTCTGCTGCTGTCTGTAGACTTCTTTAGGCTGGGCAACTTTAATTTCACACTGATAAAAATGCACACAAAGTAAAAACAAAAACACAAGAAAAAACAAAACAAGTGTCAGTTTGAAATAAATGCAGAAACAAATGTATGCTGAAAATTGACTTATTGTTTGTTCTCAGCATTAAACATGAACAAATGGGAAACCAACCTTTCCACTTCCAATTTGGTGGTATCGGTTTTCCAAAAGCTTCTGAACAGGCTCTTCTTCCACATAAGTTACAAAGCAGAACCCTCTCCTCTCATTTGTTTTACTGTCCACGGGGAGTTCAATGTTTTCAATCTATTGAAAAGAAGCATACCGGTTATGAACTGCTCAAGAATTATCTATCATTTTAAAGGTAACAGAGAAACTACAAGCAGGGGGCTTGTAACCATGCAGGCAACTCTCATGTGTTTTGATGATTATAGAGCAATCTCACACTTGCATTCACATTTACTCCTTAATTTTAAGCAATCACCCAATTCACATGACCTACATCTCCAAAAGCTCCAAAGTATTCCCGAACTTGGTCCTCTGTCGTTTCAGGATGGAGACCTCCAACAAAAACCTTTTTGGGAGGTTCCTTCCCCTTCATGGCCTTGGCTCTTTTTGGATCAATCAGTTTACCATCCAGTTTGTGCTCCTTCAGTTCCAGAACCTGAACACACAAATGTTTTTGGAGTGTTAAAAAGGAAGGATCCCACAGAGGATCAATAAATAAAATACATACATAAACATAAAAAGTACTCAAAGTTCAATCTACAATAGTATGTGTGTGAGAGCAAGTTAAAAATGCATTAACGTGAAAACAACTCACCCTGTCCACACTCTCTGCATCCTTGAAAAGCACAAACCCAAAGCCTCTGGAACGGCCAGTCATGGGGTCCGTTTTGATAGTGCAGTCCAACACTTCTCCAAACTTGGACAGATAGTCTGTAAGGTCTTTCTTGCTGGTGTCCCAACTCAGACCTCCAATAAACATTTTCCTGCAAACAGAAAAAACATAATTTTTACAAGTTCTACATTAGTTTTAAGGCAAAATTTTGCCTTAATTTTTAAATCTATTTCGTGAACATGTTCATTGCAGGGTGTTGCCAGGCAAAATAGTCCTCAAAAAATTACCAATTTTTTTTTAAAGGTTTACCATTGTTTTACCCTTATCGAAAAAAAAAAAAAACACGTGTAGGTTCGTTGGTTGTACGGGACACCCAATAAAAAGGCTGCACTTGAGTTGCACACAGTACCATCACCACTGTAAAGAAATCAGAGTCCACAATGCGCAATTTCACATCAAATCAGTCTGAACGACTTCGTTTACATCTTAATGACTGAACGGCGCAAATTTTTCTAAAAATTGGTGGGGTTCCCCTCCCATTCACAAAGCTAAATTTGAACCCTGGCGTTAATCGAGTTAGCTAGCTAGCGTTAGCTACTCGCTAAAAGAGTCGGCGACTTCGACTACGGCGCGAGCGGAGCTACGAGGCTTAAGTTGGCTGACTTGAGACTCATAGCGTACCTTTAGTTTGACGCATATCGACCAATTATTGACGAATAGTTAAGCTCAAAATACAATTTCGAAACCTCTGCCCACACTGAGGGGTTTTTTAGCTAGAAAAGGGCTGACCTAAACGCCGTTTTATTGCCATCCTCCTTGAGTTTCTGATAGCCCCGTTTCTGAGCTCGGCCCGGTGTGCTCTGGCCTATTAGCGACCGTCTCGGCTAACTTACCCGTCATCCTGTTGATTTCTGCTCGCGTTTATTTTGGACCCTTCTGGAAATTCATCGGTGCTGAAGTCAATATTTTCCTGTTCTGCCTGCATTTTCGGGTATGTAAGCCTGCGGTGATGACCTCTACAGAGCCGGTACAGCTATGATAATGTATAAAAAGACCTCGACGACAACAACACACACGCACTCACACAAACACTGTCGCGGCTGCTAAAATGGCCGACGGTATCCAGTGACGCAGAGTAAAGGCGGGAGGAGAAGTGGGCGGGGCGTAAAGAGGGATTAAAGGGCCGCGTCCCAATAGCACCGCAGCGACCCCTTATAAACATAAACTAAACTACAACAGGACGCGCATAATCAAGATCAATGCCTGTGTATGGACAAGGGTAGTCGTGTCCATTTCTCTGATTGGCATTCAAGTGTATTTTAATTAAATTGGTGATGAAAAAGAGACTTTCTATTACGATTCGATTATCAGATCATGATGTTCATTTGTTCTATTTATTTACTCTCAAGTGTTGTTTCGCTGTTCAGCACGGTGGTCATTCAATGCTCTGTTTTCAGTGTATTGTGTGTCTGTACACAGACTGACAAATTACAGAATAATAATAAACAATAAAGATTATGAATATGGCTGAGAAAGCCTTTCTACACACTGTTATGTCGATGGAAAATGTTGCATAACAGGTTAAAGCAGAGTTAGCCAATGTGTTATAAGCTGCTTTCAGACAACTGTGTAGTGCGCATCACACGCGCGAAATTTCTGGAAACCGATTGCTTGAAAATCAGGGGATCTTCGCAGATGCGCATGTACTGTGCTTTCCACAGAGGGAAATTCACTGATCCTAAAATCATTCTTTCGCCACATGTTCAGCGTGAACGTGGCATATAGATCTTATGGGCCTGCGCAATATCTGCGCAACCTGGTTGCACCACAACGGTTGCTTACGGTTGCCAGATTTGTAATTAATAAACTCTCCTTAAAATTCAGTTTATCAGATTTGCTGATTTTCGTAAACATTAAGTTAGAAAGGCAAATTTGTTTACGTTTGAAATGCATATTTAAATAAATAAATATTTTTTTTCGGTTATAGTTGAAGCATGTAGTTGAACATGCACTACGTGTTGGGAAATTTAAAGCAACATCTGTAAGTAAGTAAGTAAGTAAGTAAGTAAATAAATAAATAAATAAACAAATACACAAATAGACATTAATGGACGCTATGTGATTCACAATATGGTATATAAGTGAAATGATCTAAAATTGTGATGTAAATAAAAACTGTAATTGAATGAATGATTTGAATAATGTTTTGAAAGGAACAAATTCAAACCTGAATCTGTCCAGTTCAGTTTTTCTCTTGTCGGCACGATACTGTATCATTCGGGCTCATTTACTGTGGCAACTAGACCACTAGAGAAATCAGTAGTTAGAGTGAGCGTTAGAGAGTTTTCTAGCGAATATCTGGCAACCCGTTGACTGAGCCATGTGTTAGCAGCGCTTCGCTAGCTGGCTAGTGTGCGTTGACTGGGCTGTTTTTGTTTAAACTGTTTTCACTTCTCTGACGGTTAGTAACCTAAACAACATCCCCGTGTACCGATTTGCTACTGAAAACTGCTGAAACGTATTATTTGCCATTTGAAAAAATGGCAACGATTTCAGTCCCAGAGAACGTCAGCGTCTTTCTGCTGGATATAGAAGGAACCACGACCCCTATCACATTCGTGAAGGTAGGAGTGTGTGTGTACATCCGCTGGTAAAACCGCTTTTAGACTTTCATTAAGGTAGTTGCTGAGTAAGTATGAGAAAATCACTTGCCAACGTTGCTTTTACATGCAGGACGTGTTATTTCCATACATCCGAGAGCATTTGGAGGACTACCTGTCAGCGCACTGGGAGGAGGATGAGTGCAAGCAGGATGTGCATCTCCTAAAGAAACAGGTCACTTAGCCTACAGCAGTATGGTCTGCACTGCAGCTTTCTCTAAGGCTGTTAAATGGTGTAATTTCTAGACAGCTTATATTTAATACTTTGTTAAATGGGCTTTTTAGAATACCTGCATAGTTCAGTGTTTAAGATGTAAACAAAGTCGTTCAGGGTGGTCTGATGTGAAATGGTGCATGGCAGAGAAACTTGCTAACTCACAGTGGTGTTGACAGGCATAGTGACAGGTACACATAACAGATATGGCCGTTTTATTCACTATCAAAAATGTCCCAAAATAAGATTTCTTTCAGTACTGTTTTGCCTAACAATGCTCTGCATGCATGAGTTCGCCTCAGATTAATGATAGAAAATGCCTTTTAGGCCAAAACCTTCATAACATCTTCGACAAACAAGGTCTCAGGCATTTGGCCTCATATTCGTAACTATTTCATATGGTATCATATTTGCAACTATTTCATATAATAACCACGAGGTAGCTTTTAGAGATAATAAACTCTTCGGACGTCTGGTTGCTATCACCGCCACTATGAACAATCCTGACTCAGTACATTTCTCTAGAACAGAACAGTTTTCATCAAAACAACTCTGAGGGACTGTTTACATCTTAATGGTTTAATTATGCAGAAATTTTGAAACATCAGTGAAATTCCCCTTTAACATGATTATTGCACAGTGTAACGTGTGGTGTATATTTTCCAGTATGTTTTTTTGCCTGAAACCAAGTTGAACTGGAAAAGTGCAGAACCTGTCAGTTACCTATGAATTAAAGGTTTATTAACTTTATAAGGAACTTTGTAAGTTAGGGTTACACTATTCCCATGGTTCTGAAACTGTCTTTGGGGGTTCCAGATGGTCTGCATTTTTCTATTATATATAGTGTTGTACACTACTTCCTTAATAATTTGTAATACTTTTGCCTCACATCACATTTCCGTAGTATTGTCTTATAGTAACCTATAGTAGTGGTGCAGAATTCTGTTGTAAACTATAGTAATTGTTCAGATGTACTCAAAGAAATGCAGAAATCCCTGTAGTACCTCTATAGCAGGTCATTTTCATAAGAGAACCTGGCTAGTTCATCCGTTACACCCTAGAGCCTCTACCATGCTGACGCTGATGCATTATTATTCAGAGATTAGGCTGCCATCATGCAGTCACCTGATTCAGCTTCATTTCACTGAAGCATGTGCCCCTGTCTCCAGGCTGAGGAAGACTTAAAGCAGAACAGAGCATGCCCAGTTCATACTGTGGACCAGACTGTGCACACAGATGAAGAGAAAGCTATCCGGGAGGTTGTGGATAACGTCCTATGGCAGATGGCTGCGGACAGGAAAACCACTGCACTGAAACAGTTGCAAGGCCACATGTGGAGAGCAGCTTATGCTGCAGGGAAGATCAAAGGAGAGTAAGTACAGAGGATCCAGTTCTTTACTAATGTTTACAAACTGCTTACAAATTAGTAACATTAAGAAAATTTAGACTGAAATGCACAACACATAGAAATTGATCGTATTACTGGTATTGATCTAGTTCATTGTCATGATATCGCCCAAATACGTCAATATGTCCAAAGATAAAATTTAAGCATTGACAAAGTTAATGAACCCATGCCGGGTACTACTACTCTGTGCAAACCTGTACATTACTAACTACAGTTTGGGCTGCATTGGGGAAAAAAAGTTGAATTTGCATATATAAAATGTGTACATCAGTTCCACAAATATAAAATATGCCACATCAACTTAAATTAAGTAGGTTAATTAAGTACTTAACACGTAGTAAATATGTTGTTCCATTCTTTTTATTCACGTGGAGCCACTGTTCACATTTGAATCATGTAAATTTAAAGCAATCTTTTCTTTTCCGTAAAATTACATTTAAGAAAATCGTATTGCATCAAATTGTGGTGTATTCTGTCATATCATTAGCCACATTTACATACAGCCTAATAATCCATCATATCTGACTAATAGCTCAATCGGAATAGAATACGTCCACGTACACACCTCATTCGGAATAGACTAGTCAGATTGAGACCTTTCGGAATACAATTTCTGTCCGATTGTACGAGGTGGGTAATCCTGTAAATAATCTGTTAAATAAAAGAATAAAAGCCATGTAAAGGTCTGTATCTGATTACGTTCCCAGTCGGAAAGTTTAAGTACATTCTGCAATATCTGTTCGTGTCATAGCGTAAGTTTCTAATGTCCAACATGGCGAGAGCAGAAACTGGTCTGCAGAGGAGACAAAGTTTATGCTTTGAACTTTAAAAGACAGCGGTGGGAGAGGTGTCCAGCTTATATGTCTCAGAACACGACGTCTTGCTCTGCTCACTGCTGCTCGTCTCACTCTGACTGGACTCACGTGATGCTATATGGCCTATATGAGAAAATGATTATCATATAGGCCATGATCTTCCATGCATGGTTGTTTTGTAGATAAGAGATTGTGTAAGTGGATTAAATACCAACTCCTGCGCCTGTGTCTTCAGAGTGTACCAAGATGTGGTTCCTGCTATCAGAAGATGGAGGCGACATGGTCTTAAAGTCTACATCTACTCCTCAGGAAGCATAGAAGCTCAGAAGCTGCTGTTTGGTTATTCGGTTGAAGGTGATCTTTTAGATGTAAGTTTTGATTCCACGGCTTTTAAGATAATTTGTAAAGTGTTACAAAAAGGCTGTTAGTTCCTAGTATTTAAACATCTTTTTAAATCTTTCCTACAGCTATTTGATGGTCACTTTGACACGAATGTTGGTGCCAAAGTGGAGAGTAAAAGCTATGAAAGGATTGCAGAGAGGATTGGCTGCTCACCAGAAGACATTATGTTCTTAACAGATGTCACACGAGGTGGGTATGCACTGGCTGAACTGGTTGTATGTTATACCAGTTTGTCAGCTGGCTGTTTATTGTCTACTGCTAATAAGGTCCAATAAATACTGCATAAACAAGGAAAGGAGGCATCCTATAATTTAATTAGTGATGCCGCTCTTTAGTGTTTTACATGATTAGTTTGGGATTTAAGAGACACAGACATTTTATATGCAAAACATCTATCATTCACAGTGCATTAGAATCTAAATGCTGAGGGTTTAAAAATGCATCGATTCACTGTGACGCTAAAGATCTCGATTCAACTGCATTAACTTTGGAAGCTTAGAATCTATTATACAGGGAGATTCACTCGAAAGAGGCCCCGAATATTCTGTTGTAACTCCCGTTAGGACGAAGCAATCTAAAGAAAAAAAATACGCTACATACCTTGACGCATGTGTAATCGATTGCATTACATGTGATGCTGGAAGTGATCTGTGTTTTCTGCCAGACAAATAAAGGGGTACGGTGGTATGCACATGGAAGTTGCAATCGAATGTTGTGATGGCTGTCCGGCACCTACCTCATCACTCTGGCGCAGGGTCATCTCGGCTTGTTTGAAGCTCCATATACTGAGGAGCACATTCCACGTTGTTAAGTTCAGATTGCTTTGTCCTGGCGAGAGTTATAACAGAATGTTTGGGGCTTATTCAAGTGAATCTCCCTGTAGTTGATCAGAATAGTATTAATTAAGGTAAAACAATAATTAGTGAAGTGTTTTTTGGCTAAAAATAAAATTCTGAGGCTGTTGTTTTTATTGTTTGTGTTCCACTAGTATGTAAATTTAATGGTTTTGAACCATTGGGCCGTGGTGGTACTGCTAGGAGACCGTTTGCAGTCCTTTTTTTAATCTCAAAACTTTGTTACAAAAGAGAGGTATTTAATGAAACATACTTTTAAATATGACAGATTATTCATGTCATTAGTTACTGGGAAAAAAATATTTAGGTAAAGCTCCTTGATTGGTCTGGTAAAATGCGTGACCTAACCAACATGTTTTATGTTTACACTGCAAGTCAGTTTAAAACCTTTTTTTATCCTCAGTGAAAAGGGCTGCAAGTAGAAGTTTTTAATTTTCTACTTTTGTGGATGTTTATGCATTGTCAAAAATAACTCTTAAATCATACCAAAATACTATCATATTTGATTTGAATAATTTTCCAATATTCTATAATAGGAATAGGAATAGATTAAGACATGTTTGAATTGGATAATGGTATAAAGAACTTAATTCAAATATTAAATTGTGTGTATTTATGTAGATTTTTTGATGACTTTTAATTAAACTAAAAGGTAATGAAAACATTACTGATAAACTTTCATTTTCATAGCAAGTATCATAAATACAGGGGATCCTGCCCTGTCTGGCTGCACTGGTAAGTCAGTGATGAGCAGAGCAGGAGAGCAGAGAACTTTTTAGCTATCATCTTAAAAATAAAGACGACATTTTTGTTAAACTCCAGTTAGTGAACGGGTGATTGGCGAAGATCTTTAAGCTACTAGAAATGCTTTTTACCAGAGCACTTCATAAACTTAGCTACGTCAGCTCTATCACCCGGTGCAGTCTTAAGTTTTTCTGCTGCTCCGGATAGCTAACTAGCTAACACACCCCCTTTCCCTTTAGACATAAATACAACTGAGAACATTCATACTGAGAGCTAGCTAGCAATCCAGAGCAATAGGAAACATATATGGACTGCACTTGAAGTTAAGATCAATATTCTTATATCAGATAGTTAGTAATGGATTCTTTGTGCCTATGCTGGCAACTTGCTACTGGTGACTAAACTAACGTGACCACACATTCTCTTTATGAGGACATGTCCTTATTTTGGGGCCTAAAAATCACATCCAAATTCTCATTTCACCTGGTTTTCTGATCCTAGGAGAACATTCCAATACCAAACTACTGTGTAATCTGTACCCAGCGCACCGTGTCATATGAGAGCCTGAGGGCAGCAGCTGAGCACATGACTGAGTGTTGATATTCTCCATGTTGCAGAGGCAAAGGCAGCAGAGGATGCCGGGCTGAATGTGGTCGTGGTGGTGCGGCCAGGCAACATGGAGCTGACTGAAGAGGAGAGGAGCCATTATAGAATCGTCACGACTTTTAGCCAACTGGAACTCACTGGAAGCGCTTGACGGACCAGGACAGAAGAGTGTTTGTCAGCAGCACTCCTCTAGTGGACTTCAGGAGAACAGGAGGTGTGGCCCTACACCAGTGTTGTAGCCCGCCACATGTGCTAAATCAAGATGTTATGCAGCAAGTACCAAGTGCATTATCATTTTACTGACTGAACTTCTAAGGTGCTTGCATGTGTTTTTTTTGTTTTGTTTTTACACAACAAACACATTGAAGTTGGTATATAATATTCCATTATTTCATGTGGGTGTTTCGTATGCAGTAAAGCAGTGTTGATGTGTAAGTGTAATTTATGTTTATTAATTATGAATGGGCACATGGATCATGTTGTATTTTCAACAGTGTTAGTATTTGTCAGTAGCCATTCAAATTATAGTAACTGCATCTATCCCACCATACTCAAGTGTTATTCCATACTTACATGAAACTTTTTATTAGAAAGGGGGGCAATGTGGAAAAATTCACACGTGCTTTTAGATTTAGAGAGGGTGTACAAAATAATTGAAAACACCACTCATACTCATCGGCCAGTTTATCGGGTTCGTTCACTATATAGGGGCGCTTTTCACGTTTACAGTTACTCCCAGGTGTCCATCTGTTGCTGCACAATTTACCAACCCCCTCTACCCCATCTATCAGTGGCAACAGACCACCACTGACCAGATATAATTGGGTAATGGACCATTCTCAGCACAGTGGTAATGCTGACATACTAGTGAGATGCTGGCTTGACTGTAGACACAGCAGTGTTACTAGAGTTTTTAAACACTGTCTACACTTACTTTCTACTCTGTTTTATACATCTTGTTAGTGTACTTTGTAGATGTAAATTAGAGAAGATAGCTCATCTGTTGCTGTATAGTTTATGTTAGCCATCCTCTAGTCCTTTAGCTCCAATGTTGGCTAGTTATTTTTGGTTGGTGGACTATTCTCAACCCAGCAGTGACACTGAGGCGTTTAAAATCTCTAGCAACACTGCTGTGTCTGATACCACTGCAACTCTTACTACCATGTCGGTGTCACTGCTCTGCTGAGCATGATTCAGCATCTAAATGGTGACCAGAGGTGGTCATATGGTTGTCCTTTTTCTTTGATGGAGGGCTTAGAGGGCAGCTGATTATGCAGCAACTAATGAGCTACAGTCTACTGTAAACCTAGTTACTGTTAGTGTAACTATATGGAGGGTGTTTCTGATAAAATGGCCTATGAGCATTTCATACGGTGTTTCTGTTGTATTTGTACATGCCCCATACAGTCATATGCAAAAGTTTTGTTGATTTTCTATGTGAAAATACTTACATATGACATTTTTCTACAAATCGTAGTGCACAGTGTCTGTTTATTAGCTGAGTTTGATATATTAAAATTTTAAGAAAATGTAAAATATGCCATAACTTTTACACAGGTTACATTTTATATTTATTTATAATACGTTAAATTCAGCAAAGAAACAGTAATTGTGCATTATAATGTGCAGAAGTGTGTTCTCTGTAGGTTATGTGTGCTTATCTTCGCTTCAGCAAAATCAACAAAACATGTAATTTGACCTGGGGTGCCCAAACTTTTGCATACAACTGTATATACATCAGTTCTATCACATTGTAACTGCAACCTAGATCATACTGAAGGAGGAAAACTAGGTATTAAGCATTGCTAATGTTCAAACTGGGGAATTTGTTTTTTTTTTTATTTCCTTCCCCCCAAAGACAGCTAAACTTTGCCAAAACAAGACGTAGCCTCATTAATTAAGGGGGTATAGAATGATACAACAAACACAGTAAATATGTGATATAAAAAAGACTTTTGGATGAGGCCACAGTTGAGTGAAGCTGAAGCAAATAACAGCTTTATGAATGCATGTAACCACCTATCAGAAGGTCTCAACTGAGTGTAACACTAATAGAACAATCCATGTATTTGGAGTCATTGTGATCCACCATGGCATGACATCTTAAGCTTGAACTGATTTGTGTCACCTGTCCTCCAACAGTAAACAGAAAAAAGTCATAAAGATATCAAAAAGAAGACACAGGTTAAGTCTAACAGAATGCAGCTTTAATGAAACACAGTTCATACCTTGAAAAACACTGTAAATGATCAGTTATGTCAGATATATTCTGCATTGTTATGATTGAACATTTTTTCATCTAGATATAAAATGTGCCATTTGTGGAAAGAATTAGGATTGTTTGATATTGTATACTGAAAAGTGAGTTGACGTTTCGGACAAACAATTCAATACAGAGTACAGAACCTACTTTGCCTCCTAAGCCGTTATTCTGAGTCTCTTTACTAGGTGCACTAGTTGGACTTCATATACGCTGCCTTCAAGTGCTGTTGGAAATACTGGGATTACAAATTGTGCTCACATGAATGCCACCACAATGTAGTAGGACTTTTCTGTAAGCCATAACTTTGAGTTTATGGGTGGCGTTAAAAATTCTTAGCAGCCGCTGTAAACTGGTTCTGTTTCAGGTATTCAGCAGCCACGTGTGAACACTGCAGATCTTTTTACTCTCATCTATATTCAGAAAGACAGATATAAACATAAGCTGTGATTCAAAGCTTCAACTGGATGAAAAACGTATTTGACAATAAAGCAAAATAATACACAGTCCATCTTGTTTCTGATCACTTGAATACATAGGTCATACTTACGACCTCTAAAATCATAAGAGCTTCCAAGAGGAGCACTTGAAGGCAGCCTTAGTCCAATCTGCTCTCATGTCCTTTACAGTATTTTTTTGTCTATTCACATGCTTAATAATCTTTACCTGCAGTATATGGTCAGAAGTATGTTGACGCTTGACCATCATACTTGTATGAGCTTGTTGGACATCCCATTCCAAAAGCATGGACATTAATCTGAAATTGCCCTTATCCTCCCACCTGGAGTTCCTCCACACTAAACTTATCACACCTTGTCTTTATGGACCCTGCTTTGTGCACAGGAGGACAGTCATGTTGGGACAGGAAAAGGCCTCAAATGTGGAAGCAATATCATTGTCTTTGCATGCTGTAGAATTAACTTACTTTTCATTGTAACTAAGGGCTGAGCCCAAAACCTGAAGAACAGACCCGGCCCATTATCCCTCCTCCACCAAACTTTACTGTTGGCACTTTGTGTTCCGGGTAGGTAGCGTTCTTGCATCCACCAAAGCCAGATACATCCATCAGACTGGAAAATGGTGCAGCATGATTCATCACTCCAGAGAACACGTTTCCACTGCTTCAGAGTCAAGTGGCGTACAGCCGATGCTTCGCACTGGGCATAGTGATCTCAGGCTTGTGTGCAGCTGCTCGGCCAGGAAAACCCATTTCATGAAGCTCCTGACACATTGTTCTCGTGTTGATGATGCTTTCAGAGGCAGTCTGAAACTGTGTAGTGAGTGATGCAGCAGAGAACAGGCAATTTTTATGCTCTATGTACTGCAGCATTTGGCAACCCTGTTATGTTCTTCGTGGCTGAGCTGTTGTTGTTCCTAGATGCTTCCATTTCACAATAATAGCACTTACAGTTGACCTGGGCAGATCTAGCAGGGCAGAAATTTCATGAACTTGTGGCAAAAGTGGCATCCTATGACAGTGCCATGTTTAAAGTCACTGAGCTCTTCAGTATCACCCATTCTCCTGCCACTGCTTGTTTATAGAGATTTTTAACAAGTGTATAAAGTACTTGAGCTCAGTGATTAGCAGGGGTGTCCACATACTTTTGACCATATAATGTATATATACTCATGTATATCACTTCACATTACTTGACTCCTGGAATACAAAAAACTCACTGTGACTCAGAAATGGTGTCTATTCACCTCTTGTGCTTTTTGTTGCAAAGTCTACCTATACATTGTCGTAATAAAAAAGAACACTCACAGAGCACTCCGGAGACATTACATTCAACATACACATACATGCATTAGTGGAAACTGATGAATATTGGAAGTTGTAGGACTAAATCTGGAAATAGTCCTATAGTTGGTCAGATTGGTACTCTGAAACCTCAGAGAAGCTTTCAGACAGGCTCAGCGGAGGGTCCTGGTCATCACTGCACACAATCTCAAAGTGGTAGTGGCGGAACTCAATAGCAAAGGTGCCCAGAAATGCCAGAAAGAACATGACCAGTGCCCATTGTGCCCGGGCAGCATGCATGTGCAGGCGTTGTGCCATTAGGGCAAAGTCTGTGGTACTGCGTCAAGGTTCTATACCAGAACTCATACAGCAGGCAGTTAGCAGGGGATGACATTTACTTACTGATTTACCTATTGATCTTAAAAATATGGTCCTTTAGCCTTCCTGTATTGTACAGTTTTTTTTCTGTACATCCAAGCTAATAACGCTTTATCTTTACGAGTGCATATGTTTTGTAAGGTGCTGACTACATAAACAAAAAATCTGAGGGCTAATGTGGGGTAAGAGTGAAGAAGCTGCATTAAAGCACATTTACAGCTCTTTCTGACACAATACACTGCTGCCTGAATGTATCTGTATATATCTGTACATGTCTCAGAGCCTGTATAAATACTGAATGGCCTTTTATGAAAAGACATGCATGTTACAAAGCACTAAAAAGTTCACACATTCAGTTGCTGCTTTTCTGACTCTAATGGCCACTTTTCCAGACTTAAATTAAGCTTGGCTATTAAAAATAAAGGTGCCCAAAAGGGTTCTTTGCACAATGCAATAGAACAAGTGTGTACAACTCTGGTCCTAGAGGGTCAGTGTCCAACACAGTTTGGAGGTTTCCCTCCTGAAACACACCCACGAAACATGACAATTAACAGATGACTTGACTCCTGCGTGTTTGAGCAGGTAAATAACCAAACTCTGTTAGATACTGGCCCTCCAGGACTGGAGTTGTGCACCCCTGCCACAGATCCACCTTTAGTTTCCAAAAAAACTTTCAGCGGATGGTTCTTTGGAGAACGATTTTTGAAAAGAGATGTGTGAGCATGAAGAAGTATTTTAAAGTTTAATAAACCTCTAGATAATGTAAAGGTTCTAGAAAGAACCCTTAAATTGGTGCAGAACTTTTACATTTGTGAAGGTATTTTTTAAACCTTGAAAGGTTCTTCAAACTCGCACATCTCATTAGGGAACCATAGGTGGTCATCTAATGACACTGCTCAAAAACCACTTTTATCTATTTTTTAAGTACACACTAAAAAAAGATGGTTCTTCAAGGGTTCTTTAGTAAAAAAAATGCTTCTATACAGAACATGAACACTCAAAGAACACTTTGCATGATTAAATGGTTCTATGGTTCTATATAAAACCTTTTTAAAAAAAACTTCTATAGAGCACCAAACAGGGTTCTTCTATGGTAACAATATGAAGCTTGTGACAATAAAAGAACCCTTGTTGGTGCTATATAGAACCTTTTTAAAAAAGTTCTATACAGAACCATCTACAGCACATTCTCCATCAATCTGAAGAAACCTTTCACAACTCAAAGCACCCTTTAATAATGCAAAGGGTTCTGTGAATGTTTGTGGTTCTATAGAGAACCATTTTCTTTACTAAAAAACCCTTGAAGAACCATCTTTTTTTATGATTGTAGGTGTACTGTGAAATCAGCAAAATGACCTTTAGTTTTGTTTAACACTTCCAAGGGCACAGTGGTGTTGTGTCTCGCACAGGCATGCTGGACGTGTTAAGGATACAAAGCAGCATGCAGGACGTGACTGCTCCAGACAACAGGAAACGAGGGATGCCAGCTCGTCTGCCTTCATTGCGCAAGTTGACCTTTAGGGTCATGAAAGACTGGACCCAACAGAATAGTGTGCCTAGTCCAAAGGTCATGGAGGTGCCAATATTGTGGAGCTCCTCATCATTTGACAGCTAGATAATAGTGAGCAGAATCATCCAGAGCATAAAAAGTCTAAACTCTAACAAAGCCATAGTTTTCAATAAACACTGCATGGCTGATTACTTTGGCTTAACAAATCTGACTTAACAGTGAGGCACAGAAACAGTACAATAACCAAAGCTCAAGTAATTGTTCAGATAACTCATACCTGGAAATTCCCAACCAAAGTCATACCAAAGCAGGCCAAGGACAGAGCTACCAGACTGCCGATGTTGAGCCAGGGTTTGTGCACCCTTGGCTTAAGCTGCAGGTACCGGAGGACTCCAAGGATGAAGCCTGGAAAAGCAATGATGCTGCATAATGTTAAGTAAATACCATAATTACAGCAATGGTTATAGGCAAACACTGTTTTCTTAATGTACATAGTCCACGCACTTTACTTTGATGGGTGCAGAATCCATCTTACTCGCACAAAATGGCTGCTGCTTTATGTTGGTTTTGTTTGTGTTTATGTTTTTGATGCTTCTGCTCTGGCCATGGATGATTCTACACCGCAGCTATGAGGTTCCCCTGGTTGGCTGGCTGAGCAACTTTACATTGTGGCCTGGAGGCTCCCCAGGCGGCTGCCTGAGTGAGTCTACATTGTGGCTCAGAGGTTCCCCCAGGTGGGCCACCTGAACGACTCGACATTGTGGCTACAAGGCTTCTTGGGTTGGCTGTCTGAGGGACTGCATTGCAGCTGCAAGGCTCCCCAGTCCGGCTCCCTGAGCAAATCTACAAAGGAGGCTCCCCGGGCCATCCGCCTGAGCAATTCTGGCTTCCTGCAACTTCCTGGCAAGGCTTCCTGACCTTGCCACATGAGTGATTCTACCTCTTGGCTCAGAGTCCCCTTGGGCTAGACGCCTAAGAAACTCTACATTGTGGCCATGAGGCCTCCCATGCGAGGGGCTTTCCCCCATGCCTACGATTTTTTCCAAGCCAGCAAAGTGACTCTACACTGTGGTGTGTGGAGATTTCCTCCTGCAAGCTGGGGAACTGTGTGTGTGTGCTGTGGATTGTTCTATTTATTATTAACCATGTATTTTGTTACTGTTGTAGAGCGTCCTTGGATTCGAGAAAGGGGCTATATAATTTAAACTTATTATTATTATTATTATTATTATTATTGGTAGTAGTAGTATTTTTTAATGCTCTGACCACTCTTAAAATTGAAGGTGCCACAAAGGATCTTTGGAGTGGTGCTATAAAAGAACCACTTTTGGTCTGTTTAAGAATATTTTATGTTCTATGATTCAATACAGCACCAAAAAAGTTCCAATATTGTTACAAGCCATAGAAACTTTTTTATGGTACTGCATAGAACCACGTTTGCTAATGCGTAATAGTGGGCCTTAGAACTATTCATTCTCATTCACTTTGGCACCACATTACAAATATTAATACATATAATTATTCACAATTCATTAAACATACCCACAAAAGCTGCCATGTTCATGACTTGGCTAAACACACAGCTGGCGGGCGGAGCATCGCCTGCAATGCTAAAGGATACAAAATTAAGGTGTTAAGTCTTGGCTTCCCATCAGAATTCAACCTAAACATCAATAAATAGTTGTTATTCGTGACAGTGTGTTATTTAGCTGCACCTGATATATGGAGGAGACTTTGACACTGATCTCCTGAGAAAAAAACAAATCCATTTGAAGCAGATGGATAATACTGTAATATAAAATGACTGATGTAAGATATAACAACTGATATAAAACAACATGTGACTTACTTGTATTCAGAGCTGAGTGGGGTGATTTTCTCATCCTCCACTGCTATGAAATACCTGTTTTCAACATAAAAGAATGATTTATTAATCAGTATACAGTATCGCCAGATGTCAGAGAGCACCCTCCTGTATTTAATTTCTACTCAAAACAGCCAATAAGTACAAGTCATTAGTTTTTCAGGAGATATTTCTGAGTAGGTGAGATGAAATACACTACACTTGTATATGTAGGAGGAAAATCAAAGGAAATTAAGTGAAAAAAAAGGATTAAAAGATACAGGAAGATGTAACTCCTAACAATCACGCAAGACTTGGTGGACCACCAAACTGTCGCTATCAGATAAACAGCACCTAAAGCTTTAATCACTGAGAGAAAATAAAGCTCCACTCTTGCTTCAGATCTGAGAAAATTCACAAGTGTTTCTGTCCATCTTTCAACTCTGAGAAGACAACTCAATACTACAGGTCTGAGAGGATGTGTTGCTGTAAAGAAGCCCTCACTGAGAAAAGGAAACAGATAAAATAGAGGCATATCTATAATTCAAACAAATAAGCAGCTGATGACATCAGAACAATGGACTGACCACCCCAGAGTCCAGACACCAATATCACAATGTGTTTGGGATTATTTGGGTAGCAAGAAGCAGAAAATGCAACCAACTTCTAAGACTGAACTTTCCTCAGGAAGCTGTAATAAAGGCAAAGAGTGGACATGCTAAATACTGAAAAGTTGGATATTAAACATTTTTTGTTAAACATATGTTTTCCTGATGCTTAAAATGTACTTACTGGCCGCTTTTGACTGTAAATTAAATAAACAAAGGGTGGTCTCTGACTTTTGCACAGCAGTTTATCTCAGCAGTGCAGGCTGTAATTACATCCCTGATAGAGAGTAAAAGGTTTTATGTACTCACACAACCCACAAGCCTGCTGCTGTGAAGAATGAAAACATAATAGGGAGAAACGTCCATGGGCTGCACTTCCTCATGTCTCCTAATGAATCTTTCTCTGAAACATAATGCATGGTAATTTTGGAGGCTACTCTTACATTGTTACTGTAATAAACTGACCTTAAAAGCAGCACCAGCACAAAGAATAAGAGAAATAGTAATGAAAATACCTGCCAAGCCTCAAGATAGTCGAGGGTCCCCTGTGCTTAGGGTGGGATCAGTCTGGAAAGACAAAGAAATGGGGTGTCTGAGGGTGTCTTGCCATTTCTGTATTGTGTTTAGAGATGCTGCACTTGTTGCATTGGCTTTATATTTTTCTAAGAAATGTTTTCTATTCTCACATCCACCACTCTGCCAATAAGAGTCCTTTAGGAAAACAGTGGGGGAATTCAGCACCTCTAGGCTGGACAGCTCCAGTGAAGCTACAATGAACCCAAATGTATGAATGGCACGTTTTTGCTTGTGTATTGGATCTTCTACACATATTGGATATGCTTCCAAATAAATTAGCACTGTGCTTTTAGCATTACTGCCTACAGCTGTGGTAAATAAAACAAGCATGGGTTCGTTATCATTTTGCCAGATGCAACTTTCACTAGATTGTTTCACTTAGCTGTGGGAATTATTCCTGAATAGAGCTTAAAACCTCTGGCTATTCATTCCTTACCATAACGGCTTCCTTTAATTTTCTTAAGCCCTAAATCGACTCCCGATAAAGAGCTAAATCCTATTTTAAGTGACTAACATCCCATCATTATTCATGTTTAAAATAAAGCGCTGCCATGAACAGACATAACGTTGCCTCTATAGAATATAGTATAGACGCCAATGCAATGTTAACCTTACAGCCTACTGAAATAAGCATAATCATTTCTCAGTGAAGCTGCCAGACAAGCCAAGACAAGGAAGTCTCAGTCAGGCTCCTCCGGATGTTTCATTGTTTGCAATAGGTCTTAAAATGGAGGCTCGCCATGCACGTCTCTCCCATTTGAATCGGTTTCCCATCTAAACTAAGCTACTTCCCGAACTCTTAACACGGAAAATCTGTACCTCGTTTTCGGCCCGCTCCTGTCTGGTCTGTATTCTTCGTACCCTCCTCATTTCATGAAGACCTCCTCTCCGTGTTGCTGAAGAAAAAAGCCCCGTCGTGCAGATTCCCTCAATGTGTGGAACACGGGGGGCGACCCCGGTGGGATTGGGATTAGCCTTTAGCCAACATGCCTGTGCCCGTTCGTTTCTTCTCTCTGTTAGCAGCAGTGGGGATTTATCAAGAGGATTTTTGCACCTAGTTGGCTTCTTAATCGATTTTCCGTTCCACCTTAAGTGGTGCACGTCAAAGGCGCCTCAGATGTAACTGCTGCATCGTTTAAGGTGGAACGGAAGCCAGCCTCAGGTTGGAGAATGGAATCGACTTTAAACTGCAGAGTATAAGTGAATATGAATTTATGAACAATATTATGTAGAATATCCAAAGCTATTCCTGATATTTGCTGGGTGTGTGTTTTTCCTTGTATATTTTTTATCTTAACAACGCATTTACCATGTTTGGAATAAGTGTTTGGGACTATGTACTTTCACAGTTCTGGAATATACTCCATTTCTGCATTCCCATATTTGTGTTTATTTTATTTCAGTTTTACTGATTTTTTTTTTCTGCACCCCATTTGGTTTTGTTATACCTGTTAATTATTATTATATTGGCTTGGTTGCTTTTCTTTTGCTGTTCTTCTTAATCTCTTCTTCTTATTATTATATGCTCAAAGTATAAAATGTTTTCTCTCCTGTAGTTTTTGAGCTAGAACAATAAAACCTTGCTGGATCATAGGACCTATACCTGATTAGGTTGCTTGCGCTTTTCTAAGTGATCCGACGTAGCTACATTTTTTTGGAAAAAAAAAATTTTCAAAGATTTTTTTTCCCCATAGGAAAGGAATTTGGGACATTCAAACTAACTGCCACAACTGATTTCACAATGCACATCTCTCACACAGACACTCATACACAGTCCACACAGATTCACACGCTTACAGCCTAATGCACAGCAATAACAGGACAAATAATGAATTTAAGGTGCCAGTGCATTTGAGTTAGTGAATTTAAGGAGGCAGTGGATTTAAGGTAACAGTGGCTTTAAGCGAGCAGTGGTTTTAAGATAGCAGTGTATTTAAAGTAGCAATGAATTTAAGCTAGAAGGATATTTAAGGTGACATTAAGTTCAAGGTGGCAGTACATTTAAGGTATCAATGGATTTAAGGTAACAGTGGAATTAAGGAGACATTGAATTTAAAGGAACAGTGGATTTAGGGTAGCAATGAATTTAAGGTAGCATGAGATTTAAGATGGCTCTGGATTTAAGGTAGCAGTAGATTTAAGCTATCATTAAATTTAAGGTGGCAGTGAATTTAAGGTAGCAGTGGATTTACAATAATAGCAAATTCAAGGTGGAAGTGAATGTAAGGTGGCAGTTGATTGAAAGTAGCACTGGAATTAAGTAAACATTGAATTTAAGGGAGCAGTGGATTTAAGGTAGCAGTGGATTTAAGGAGGCATTTGATTTAAGGTGCCAGTGTATTTAATAGCATAGCAACCACCTAGCAACACCTTATCAACCACCTTAGATACCATAGCAGCTGCTGCAACATCTAAGCAGCAATTTAACAACCATTAACAGTCTTCCATCATTTTAACGCTTTAACATAATTAGCTGGCTTTTTTAAGCCAACTTAAAGTTCGTAAATCTTTCTTGTTGTTTTTGTGCCTTGATTTGCTGTTGTGACAATAAAAAGATTCTTTAGGGAACCAGAGTGGTTTGTCTGTGCTGCTGCTCCAAAGAACCGCTTTTAGCACCTTTAGTGGTAAAAGCAGTAACAGTCTATCTATCTATCTATCTATCTATCTATCTATCTATGTGTGATCGATATGAAATGTCACCAGTTTTAGCACCATAAGGAGTTAAAAATGCTGAAAGCTGATCATTTGGCTGATTATAATTTTTTATTATTAATTTTTTTTAAAAATTATATAATTAGTTAATCAGTGCAAACTAAAATTTCTCCAATGAAATAAACAGCATAAACCCTTAAAACTAAATAACTGAAACAAAATATTTTTATAGTAAGTTTGAATGTTGTGTCAGTGTGAAGATGTTTTATAAGTATCATAAGTATTTCTGCTGTATCACCCACCCCTTATGGGAATATATAACATAATATGAAATAGGTGATTTTAAAATTTTAAATGTTTCTGCATTAAACTGTCATATTTATGGCTAGAATGTATGTAGATGTGTTTTACAGAAACTTCGTGTCCGCTTTAAATTACAGTGAACACTAACTGAAGGAGACCAACAGGGCTGTACACTTATTTAGTGATGCAGGACCCCGACTGTGGACTCCTGCCGCTGGAATCGATGTTCTCGAATCTTCGACTCCACTTTATTGTATAACCAAGAGAGCCGGTGATAAAGGGATACAGCAGAGATTAAACCATTCTAAACGTAGTTTACCCAGTTTTAAAGTAACTACAGATTATATGATGAAAATTCAGTTTATTCCACAGCGAGGGTGAACTCGGAGTGATGTACCGAGAGAATCATGACTGTGGTCAGAATTATTTAAAGTAACCATTTTTAAGTCTTTTTAAATTCTTTGCAGTTTTCTTTTTATTCGACTTTTCCAGTCCACCTTAAAGTGACGCAGCAGTTACCTTAATAGAATGTAACAGAATGTACCTGCAGCGCTATTTAAGGTGGAACGGAAATTTGAATAAGAGGCTGGGAAACAAGGAACAAATCTCAGCTTCAATCTCTTTTACACAAGCTTCTGTTAAAAATGTTTTTGGTTTTTGTTTCCTCGTTCCTTGTACTGTTGTTCCTCGTTCCTTGTACCGTTTCTAATAATTGTTTATTGTGAGCAATCCTGAAGAAAACGAACAGCTGCGGTGCAGGACAGATCGAAAAGCTTTCTGTGAGCAGAGTTTGCTCTCACAGCTGCTAATTAAACAAACCCACACGACTCAGACTCTGTCCTGATTCACATTCGCCTCCGTCAAAACGTCCCTTGAGCCAATTACCATTAAAAACAGGAGTCGTCTTCAAGAGCTTCGACTCTGAGAGTCATTGGCCAAGAGTCTCCCCCCTTTCCAGACGCGCTGGAGTCGAGGAATCGATTCTTTTGGAATCGACTCTCTATCACTACACGTATTTTATTAAGCAAATTAAGTAGCAGAAGGCAGAGGAGTCCATTCTAAACATCCATCCATCATCTAAACCGCATTCTAAACATGATTTTTAAAAAATTATTTAACTGCCTCGATCGCATTCAAAAGCAAAGGGTAATCGTTTAGCCACCGTTGGTTAAAAAAGCTATACAAACTACAAACTTATCTTATAAACTTATTAATATAAGAGCTTTAACGTCCGATGAGGGGCAGTCCTCTCGTTTACTTTCTGTTAGGTGGATTATGCGGATACGCGCTGGCTTGTCGAGGAAACAGTGAGAACAGAGAAACCTTTTTAACTTATCTTAATTAGCTATCAAAATTAAAACCATCACAGTTAGCCTAGCCGCACTACCGCAGGCTTCTCGGTCAGGTCTGTGACACGGTAAGGCGGTCGTAGCTGGCAGTAGCATAAGTAAAGCTATATAGCTACATATATATATACGATAACAGGGGTACCTACGCCAGCTGTAAGACACTACTCTGTGAGAAGGGTCGGTTCGTCCTAATGTGGCACCAGGTTGCCAGTTTATTAGCTACACCTGCGACAAACTACACTCACTGGCCATTTTTATCTGGTACACTTAACGTTACTAATCGCTGAATAAAGTACCCAGTAGGTTTGTTAGGCTGACCGCGGAGACGTTAAGGAGGACTTTGGCTAAACGTTGAGGTGTAACTATAGTAACGCGGAAAGAACTTTGTACGGCGTCAACCTTTAACATCTACAGTTCGACGTGTAAGAAGTTGTGCCTGCGAGAATCAGGTCAACACGGCATAAATCCCCACTCTTACACTGACAACAACCTGTCTTACATATTTCCATAAACCGATGTTAGCACTCTGTAATACATAATCGTAAATAAAAACTAGTGGTAGTCTACTCACCTGCAGTCAAAACACAGAGGCTGAATCCCAAATGGCTCCCTGCTCCCTATGTAGTGCACTAGGTTCTGTAATTCTGGCTTCTACTGACAAATTGTGCACTATTTGTCCAGTATGGAATTGTGCACACGTGGCTGAATCCCACTTAGACGCATTAGGTTTAAGTGCGAAAGAAGGTATTTTCATTTCTGCGTAGTACATTGTGTAGGGAGTAGGGAGCCATTTAAGATTTAGACAGTCACTGTCATAATAGGAAGCGTGGCTTTTCTTCATCTTCATATGACGGTCAATGAGGGCCGTGTTGTAGTTCTTAGCGCCCCCTAGCATTAGAAAGTACTAATTTACTATTACTTATAGTATTAACTGTAAAATGAAGATCATTATGTGCTGAAAATGTGCCTTACATTATTAGAGCATTTAACATTTTAAATGAGCAATATTTGTAATAAAATGTCCAGATCTAGTGAATCAGCCACAGGCTAATATTTAACCCTCTAACATTCTAGCCACAGGCTAACATGCTAGCCACAATACAACACAACAGAATTCAATACAATATGACGGTTATGTCCTTACTATCTATCTATCTATCTATCTATCTAGTGTCCCATGCATGATTAATCACAAAGGAATACAGTGGTAGCATTCACATTTATTGAACACTTATTAAACATAAACATCTCCACACATGATCATTACATTTCTGTGCAGCAGAATGCTACTTGTTATAACAGCACCTATATATAATGGTTTACCTACTGAATTTACCAATGATCAAACACTTACCTTTATATCAGTAATACATGCACCAGAGAACCAGAGGTTTACTGTGAACCACCCCATGTTTGGATGATCTCACCCTCTTAGAAAATTCTTGGTTTTATTTCTGACCATGACTTTCACATACTGAAGAATGTGTTTAACCAGCCCAGCTCTTTATGAATTTTACGCCTGATGCAGCTCTAATTAAGACAAAGCATGTCTAATGTTAAATCACAGAATCACATCTAGCATAAAAGTCACTGAGCACAGCACTAAAAGGAAATCAACCACAAAGCATGTGTAATAATCAGCCACCCTTCAAAGCTTGAACTGTAAGACTGCATTGACCAGATGGTTAATTATTGTAATTATTGTAATCGGATGTGCTTTAATTATATTTAAGTTACATAAGAGAAAGAACTGAATCAGGAGGAAAATGAATGATTTGTAATGATGAGTGGAGTTATCATAGTCTTATTAATGGGGCAATGATTTCAGTACAGTATCAAAAAACTGTATCCCCAATATGTACATGGAAACCACAGTCAGTAGACCTCCAAAGTCAACATGCTGCAGTTTGTGTCATATCCGTATTAGGAACTCTGGGTCTGAGCTGATTTCGGTATGAGAAAAAAGAATGGTGTTTTTTTAGAAATCACTGCTATTGCACCATGTGGCAAACAGAAAGACAACACGCTTTGTGGTACATTTTTCCTCCAAACATCACCTAAACCTTTAAATTAGGAGGTCGTTAAGAAGCCAAAATATGACTATACATGCAAGCTAACACTGCTGCACATTGAACTGACATCTTAAGGCATAACATTATGACCACCTCCTTGTTTCTACACTCATTGTCCATTTTATCAGCTCCACTTACTCTGTAGTTCGACAATTACAGACTGTAGTCCATCTGTTTCTCTGCATACTTTGTTAGCTCCCTTTTACCCTGTTCTACAGTGGTCAGGACCCTTATGGACCCTCACAGAGCAGGTACTATTTGGATGGTGGATCATTCTCAGCACTGCAGTAACACTGATGTGGTGGTGGTGTGTTAGTGTGTGTTGTGCTGGTATGAGTGGATCAGACACAGCAATGCTGCTGGAGTTTTTAAACAGTGTGTCCACTCACTGTCCACTCTATTAAACACTCCTACCTTGTCAGTCCACCTTGTAGATGTATCGTCAGAGATGATAGCTCATCTGCTGCTGCACAGTTTGTGTTGGTCATCCTCTAGTCCTTCATCAGTGGTCACAGGATGCTGCCCACAGGACGCTGTTGGCTGGATATTTTTGGTTGGTGGACTATTCTCAGTCCAGCAGTGACACTGAGGTGTTTAAAAACTCCAGCAGCACTGCTGTGTCTGATCCACTCGTACCAGCACAACACACACTAACACACCACCACCACATCAGTGCTGAGAACGATTCATCACCCAAACAGTACCTGCTCTGTGAGGGTCCATAAGGGTCCTGACCACTGAAGAACAGGGTAAAAGGGGGCTAACAAAGTATGCAGAGAAACAGATGGACTACAGTCTGTAAGTGTAGAACTACAAAGTAAGTGGAGCTGATAAAATGGACAATGAGTGTAGAAACAAGGAGGTGGTCATAATGTTATGCCTGATCGGTGTAAGTGTTGAAGGTTAATAGTAGACTTTCTTTCATGTAACGTTCCCTTTCTTGTAGCTTGCATGTTGCATTAATTGTATTTTGACTACTAAACAACTTTGTAATTCAATTATGATTCAGTGACACTTGGGGAAAATAAACACAAAAAGAGATCAGGTCCTAGACATATTTGCCCACCACAGAGCAGCGATTTTCAAAAACACCTTTCATTTTTCTTATGACGAAATTGGCTTAGAGCCAGAGTTCCTAATATGGATGCATGATTTCGATGGTCTATTAAAGAGGGTGGAGAGGAGGCAGGGGCTTATGCACATATCCACATTCAAATGACTGGGCTTTTTTTCTTAAGTTACTTATAAACTCTGAGAAATTTTTGGGGCTTACTTTGAAAATCAAATCAAATCTTGACCTCAGAAATGAATCAAACCAAGAAACATCTGCATTGTTACAGCTATAACTCCTAACAGAGATCTCTCACTGTTACTCTCTACAAAGACTACAGATTGTCCCTTTAATATCCTCTCATAGAGTGACATCAGCCTTGGTTTGATGGTACGTAGTGAATCTTTTTGCAGCTGCACTGCAAGTAACTCTGCATAGATCTCAGTCTAGATCTAATGCTCTGCTGCCTGACTGAATATCCGCAGCACGGCTGATTCTAATGAGAAAACACTGAGCATCCAGCTCAGTGTTTTCTGGATGGATTCAGCAAAGCATTTGAACCATGTAAAATTGTTCGCACATGTTAATTCCAGTGTTAAAATCAATGACAATTACTGGCTCTCGTGCTGACTTCACATCATCAAAACATTTTCATCACTGTCCAGAAGTATGATAAAATCAGTAAAGTTATACAGACAATCACTGATACTGACCTTATTAAATGATTAAATAAATATCTACCAGACATGACTGATCCACATCTGATCATTATTATTTGCACATTATCCAATAGCCTACTCTGACATATGCTTACTTTACATCTTATATCTTATTTTAGTATTTTTTCTTTTGAAGTTAGTATATGATGTATATTTACAGCATCATGATACCACATACATAGATAAATTATCCCAAGAAGTTCCACACAGTGAGGTATACAGATTTAAAATTCATGATGCACTAAAATGAAAATCCTTGTCCTGAAATTCTGGACAACCTGGGCTAAAAATGTAAACTTTTTCATTTCATTCAATTGAATTTTGTTTGAAAAAAAATAAATAAGTGTTCACATAAACCAAATTTACTACTGTAGACTACAAAATGTGCCATGAAATCCAAACATCCTCACCAACAGAGAACAGGAGGTCATCGAAAGCAATGAATTCCATTATTTTTTAGTTACTTTATACTTTGGTTCTGTGATTTGAGGTTGTTTTTCGTAGATGGCATATATCAAGCGGGATTTTGTGTTTTCAAGTGGTGTAGTGGAGCGTCGTACCCCCTCTTGATACTTGGCATAAACAGACATTACAAATCGCATCTAATGTCCCTTGTAGAAACTCTGAAATAATTCCACATAGCTGACATGTTCACTGTTAATCTAATGTCGCTCAAACTGTTTGAACGCATCTTCCCTCACCAGCACAAGAAAGTGAAGAAAAGAAGCACTACTGATTTAACTGCTGATTTTCTGTAAAGTCGTAGATTTTGACGTTATCATAAGCCTGTTTTTGTGTTTTTGCCAGTATTTTCTCTTTCCACTATTTTTGGATGAAAACCTTCTGTGCCCCCCTATTTACAGTTGAAGAAGGAAGCAGGAGCACTGTTACTGGATCGGTACTTTGTATCGGCTGATGTTCTAAGTTCAGGTATCAGAAGAGAAAATATGGGGTCAGTGCATCCCTAATGGCTTAAAAATCAGTTGGTAATACAGCCTCTTATGCCTGATTTTCCTGACGCACACCAAGTCTACTCAATTACATAGTCAATTAATATTCGTAACCCAATGACTATAACTTTATAGGCCAGAACCATCCGTGTCTGAAAGGGTAACCAAGTGTGATCAGTATATTCAGCTATGCTGCAGTAAAATATTAAAAATTCTGCACAAAAAAGTGGGTTTGCTGGGAATCTACTGGTAACATCATATCATTCTTATAGCATCTGTTACAGACATAAATAGTTACATGCAGTCACATACACAGAGCGATACTGTTATATAACCATACATCAAGGCATTTAAGAGCATCTACATACTACAGACCCATTAAAGCATTCTGTAAACAGTTCATTTAAACAAAGTCCTCCTTTTCAAAGACTCCAAACTAATCTTTTCTGTTGACATGCTCTTTCTTCTCTTTCAGCTTATTTTTATCTACCAGACGTCTAAAATGCAAATTATACACAAACAGACACAAAGGTTAGCACAAGTCATTAAAATGACCAACAACAAGCTAATACAATTCAGGTATAAAAATGGCTGGCATGGACTGAAATACATTTTTCCTTGCTCTCTTATAACATCTGTGCTGCCCTCATGGTGTTAATCATTTAGATAGCAATTATTCATTCTAATATTAGAAAGAGAAGAAAGTAGAGAGTGAAATTTGGTTTGGATTTTGAGTGATCTTTCGCCAGATTTATCTTCAGCTAATGCAAGACGACACAGCCACCCATATAATCCTTCTCATATAAATGTTGGCTCAAGGGGCTATAGTGCAAATTAACTAGTTATCATTTGGGATTAACTAGGCCATGTGCTGTAAAAAATGTGCACAACATGGTCCTTCTTGCATTAAAGTGCTCGTTTTTGGAGAATGTAATTTACAAAAGCAGCAAATCTAAGGCAAGCCCTCCACAGGGCTGATCAATTGCAGTGAAAAACAGTTTAAGATATCACTTCTTGGGGTATTACTGGGCAATGTTAAACTATTATCTGATTATTTAAAGTAGTAGAAGTGCTATGCTTTTTAAGAATGCTACAAATTATGTTGATGCTTCGCAAAACACCAAAGTTACACTGATTGCTTAACCAAGGGAATATGATAGATAATAGGTGACCACTAAATAATAAAGAACAGGCAAAAAATGCTCACAACATAATCCTATTGAAAAATATGTCTGTTCCATCTAAATCTAAATTGTCACAATGATTAGCCTGTTTTTAAAGTTAACTGCAAAAATACATTATATGACAGAAGAGAAATGAATACATTTTAAATATACATACATATATATATATATATATATATATATATATATATATATTTATATATATAGACTGAAATCAACAGATCTTGACACCACCTCTCCCTTTCATATACGTTCTCATTTTGATTTGTTGCGAGAGCTGTACGATGCTTTTGGCTCCTCAAGCGCTCCCATCACCTGTCCTTAGCCTCCGAGCCTTGATCATCTCCGACGTGGCTTTTTTACGGTCGCTGGCGAGGCCGAACCAGCACATAAGATCGATGAAGCAAGTGGTGGGGTTGAAACGAAGACCTAACTCACTGGCTGCGTAGTCAAAGGGAAAAGTGTGGTGGTAGTTGTGGTAACCTTCTCCTGTGAGACAAAAACAATAATAAAAGTGATTAACACTTTAAATCCTGAACGTTCATTTATAATAGTTCAAGAATGTTAAGTCTTAAGATTAATAACTGCATGGTAAGCTTAGGGGTTAAAAATAAGAACAATGTACAGTATACTTATAATAAGTGAATATACAGTCACAAATGCAAACAGAAAACTGAAAAACACATTTGTGATTTGAGGTCTGTAATATGCCTTATTTTATACAGCACACTATTATTTGTAATAAGACAAGTCACACTGTGGTCAGTTACATTTTGTAAAATGTAAGCTTATTTCAATTGTTACCAAAGTCAATAAAGTCATTTGGAGTTTATTCATTTGAAAGGCTCCATTCTAGAGAAACTTAGAAAGTTAGAATTGTTCACAGTGGTAGTTTAATAGAGTTTAATAGCTTTAAAAGCTACCTTACATACAGTAATTACCCAAATTGGTTAAAAATATGTTGTATGAATCGTAAGACATATTTTTGAATTTGCACTGTGGACACTACGATCATGGTAGTCATGGTAGTCAAACAACCCGTGGTAAAGAAATCCAAATCAACATCCAAATAACTTTGTTTTCAATTTAATTATACAGAAATTTGCAAAAATTCCCTTTTGAATTAAATGAACATGAATTCAAAGATACGAGTATGATACAAGTAAAGAAATGGAATGTACCAATGGCTCCAAAACTAACGAGGCAGTTTTCTCGTGGGTTGATGTTCTTGTCGTATGGCCGGTTTCCATACATGTGGGCAGCGCTGTTGACTAACCAGGCGACATTGAGAGAAATGGTGTAGCGTAATATGGCGGCCAGAAAGTACGAGTTCCAAATGCATTCACCCCAGAAGTACCATGGCACCAGTGTGGGCAGGAGGAAGCACATCACCACAACTGAAATTTTGTAATGTCTGAATAAAACAAAATACAACCTTGTATGAAACAGTGCATTAGGACGTGAGGTGAAGTTGCCTTGATTTTATCACATACTACCATTACGGAATGGATAAAGCAGAAGATTTTGTGTAGATACAAGGTAAGGTCAAGGCTTCATGATATGGGCCAAATATTTGACCAGTTCCGTTGTTAAATATTGTGATTTTGTAGTGTATAAAAACATACTGGTGAACCGTGACATGGTTGAAAACTTGCTTGCATTATTTTATTAACTTTTATTCTAGTTTTACTTTTTTTACTACTGTATCACATCAATATAATTTATCACAATCCACAAAATTCATCGAGAATGTATGAGACCGCTCAGGCTCTTCAGGTATTCCGTACTGCAGAGGCCAATATCACAACATTGATTAACAAACATACAGTGGTATGCAAAGGTTTGTTGGGTTCATTTTGTGAGTGAAAATACTTTAACACATCCTCTACAGAGAACACAATTCTGCACATTTTAATGCCCAATTACTGTTTATCTGATTAATTTAAGATATTGGAAAAAATAATACATAAATTGTGCAAAAGTAAACATAGTAAATGAAAAGAAATTGTGCACTAAAATTTGTGGAAAATGACATATTTAAGTCCCCTGTAGTGGATCAGTGATTTTTATACAAAAAGTCAAATGTAAATTGACAGTGGCCAAACATGCATATGACTTAAAGCCCTACTAGAAGTATCTGTAGGGTGAACCTACCTCCTCTGGAATATAACAACAGGGTCAGCTAACAGGTCACTGAGATCCAGCCTCTTGCCCTTCTCAATGACATCACTGTGTTTGCGCACAAACAGCCAGCCTACGTGAGCAAAGAAAAAGCCTCGCTTTGCATTGTGGGGGTCAGCATCCGTCTCAGAGTACTTGTGGTGGGCCCTGTGATCTCTGGACCACTCAAAGATATCATTCTACAAAGAAAAATGACACACATTGCTGACATGTTTTTCACTATAATTGAGGTTTAGAAATACAATATTGTGAAATTGTTAAATACATGGTTTCAAACAGTAACTGAGGTGGATGTAATTAATGACAACCTGAGGAATTAGCAAGATACACTGATAAATGCCATGGAATAAACATAAAGTTATACTCTAATATGTCTGTGCTTGAGTTGAAACATTGCACTTTCTGTGTTGTCTCAACAGTAAGTAAAAAAAAAATCTGAATTGCTTTAGGAGATTTGAAAAAACACAATTACATACTCTACTCCTATAAAGAAGACAGATGCCCTCTGCTGCAATCAAGTTGGGATTATCTCGGACACTTCTAGGTCATTCAAATATATATTGCTGAAATTAAAATAATATTTCATTTGTGAGGTCTATGAGTAGTGCCCTGTGGTCAGCAGATTAACTTGTCCAATTAACCTAAGCAAAATAAATAGCATTGTGTTTTTTCATATGCACAGTTTACTCAACACTAAAACACGGTGAGTCTTTTCTTGTTTTTCATTTTTATTATCCTATGACAATAGCTGCCATGAGAAAACACCAACCAGGTCTACAAAAGCAGTGACTCTGTCTAATTAGCCTAAGAGGCGAGTGCAACCTAATGGAATTAATAAAAATGGAATTAATCCTTGACCTATAAATACATGCACATGGTCTAACAATGTAGAGCTTAGCAATGGGAAATTGCCTGTATGCTGTAAAACACTGTGAGTCCCTAATGGACTAATTACTCTAACTCTTCTTTAAGTGATGTGGGCTGTGGGGAAATGATTAGGCACATAAGGCTGTATGAACCATTAACTCCTTTAGAGTGCCTTAGTACACTGTTGTTTGAAGTCAAGAAGACATATGCTCAAAAAACTATACTCAATTCAAACAACATTCCGATACTTACAAGGTATTTCTTGCTATTTCTTTTTTACGCTTAGAACTTTTTCAGTTTTATAGAATGCCTTCAGTTAGGATTCAGTGCTTTTGAATAAACTAATAATTCTTACCTATCAAACTACCTATTCCCCAAAAATCCATTATCTATATCCAGCAGTCAGGACTCATAACAACTAAGCTGTAGAAGAATTACTGTAAAACGCGTTCTAACCCTTCCATCTCACAGTTATCTCCAGTGATAAAACCTAGGTGTAATTTGATATTCAGTGGTTCTCACTCATAGCTCATTAAAACAATAAGCTACAAGTGAAGAACACTGTTGGAAGTGTGGAAACTTTGATTAACCTCTGTTGCAAATGCGGTTGTAGGTACAAACCCCATTTCCAGAAAAGTTGGGACATTCTGAGCAACACACTCAAATAAAGTTGGTACAGAGGCATGTTTACCACTGTTTCATCTCACCTTTAACTTCAACTACACTTTTCAGTCATTTGGGATCTACTGCAGTTGTGCAAGTGGAATTATTGCCCATTCTTGCTTAACACAAGACTTTAGGTTGTTCAACAGTCCATTATTGTTAGTGTCCGATTCTCCTCTTCATGATGCACCATACATTTTCAATAGGAGACAGGTCTGGACTGCAGGCAGGCCAGTCTAACTTACACACACTCAATGTCTACGAAGCCATGCTGTTATAGTATGTACAGAATGAGGCCTGGCATTGTCTTGCTAAAATAGCCATAGACTTCCTGGAAAAAGAAGTTGTCTTGATGCCAATGTATGCCTTCACGTCAATCATACCTTCACACATATGCAAGTCACCCATGTTGTGGGCACTGATGCACCCCATACCATGACAGATGTTGGCTTTTGCACCTTTCACTGATAAAAGTGATGGACGGAATGGAGAACACAAAGTCCGTTTTTCCCAAAAAATTAGCTCAAAGGTGGAATCTGACCACAGTACACATTTCCATTGTCCTTTAGACCATCTGAGATTAGCTAGAGCCCAGAGAACTCAGTGGCGTTTCTGCATAAAAATTGATGTGTGGCTTTCTCCTTTGAGTCCCAAATTTTGACCCAACTTTTTAGGAAATGGGGTTTGTAGAAGAGGAGATATCACATTATAATTTGAATCTGATGAAAAGTTATCAAAAGTTAATTTTGCCATGTTTTTGTCATTTTTTGACATCGAAACAAGCTGGAAAAAGTTGAAAGCGCAGATTTGAACATGTTGATTGTTGTTGATAATGTAAATCAAATGTAAATGTAATTCACTGCACAGCTCAATATGGAGTTAAATATGTAATGACATACGCAAAACGAATTAAAAACTCTTGACTTCTAACACTTCTAACCCTTAAAGGTCAAGAACTCCTTCTTACCTGGAATGCCATGGAGTTGGCAGCAGCCAGGAAGATCCTCAGAGGCAGTTTGGCTTTGTAAGACCTGTGACTCCATAAGCGATGGGCTCCAGCTGTAACCCCAAGGGCTGTGATTATGAAACACACATAAGCTGGGGAAAAAAAAGCAGAACACACTGGTTTAGTTGACTGATACTCTCAACAAAACTCTAAAATATCTCAGTTTACAAAATAACTGGGAATAACCACCTTATATCTAACACAGAGTAATTAAAGTAGTCCTCTGTCAGTCTGTTAACAAGGAGAGAACTTGTAAAGTGACGCAGATGACCAAACTCAATTAGTATTCCATGTCGAATTGATTCATACAGTAATGTACAAAAGACAGGGACCATCCTTGGTTTATTTAATTTCTAGTTCAATTCAATAAAAGTCCAAGTTAATAATTTTTCAGATGCTTCGGAGGAGACTGGATATAAGATAATCCATTTACATAACAAATGGGAAAGTCAAAGGAAAATAAGTGAAACATCAGGAGTTTCCAAAATAAGAGTTTAAAAAGTGACTGAAAGATACAGAGAAAACTGGACTCCTCACAACCATGTAAGACCTGGTAGACCACCAACAGTGCCCCCATCAGATAAACAGCACTTTAAGCTTTCATCTTCGAGAGAAAATCAAGCTCCACTGTTACTTCAGATCTGAAAAATTCACAGGTGTTTCTGTCCATCCTTCTACTGTGAGAGGACTCAAAAACTCAACACAATGGGTCTAAAGGGACGTGTTGCTGTCAAGGCACTGCAACTGAGAAACGGAGAAGCTGCTGGTGCTTTCAGAACTGACTACCTCCAGTCCAGCCGTCAACTTCGCTGAATGTGTTGAGGTTATTTGATTATGAGAAACAAAACTTTTAAGACTGAACCTTTAAGGTGAAAAACGAAAAAAAAAAAAAGAATAACTTGTACTTAGTGTCGTTTTGAGTGGAAATATAATAAGTAAATGGTGGTCTCTGGATTTTGCACAGAACTGTATATCATATGAGCACTGGCTGAAAATTCAATGCCTATATATATATAGGCAGGTAGATTGGAAAAAAGGATCGATGGAGTGATCTCCTAGGGGAAATTTGAATGCTACAGTAGCTGAACACTGATACTGTGTAAACAGACACAGCAGAAGTCAATAACATCAAACCGAAGCACTGAACTTTATAGTGGGGAACAAATCACAGGTAAATAGCCTAAAGTGATGTGCATCACATTATTCTTATCTTCTTCTTCACTACTTGACTTCATTAATGTTTCACTTTATTTTTTCGCTTTATTTTTTCCTATCTCCTCTTCTTGTAAATTTCCACATCTAGGTTGTACTGACTTGAATAAATTTAGGCTACTGGATGTGTCAATGACTAACAAGTGGGTTATTGCTGTTTCCATCATAGAGACAGAGAGCCTGGAGAGAAACAGGAGCAGAAATCTTGAGGTGAGAGAGTGTGTCCGGGGTGGGGTGTTTATGAGCTCTGGCTCCACAAGGCCCATGTTTCCATGGAAACTAGACTCTTGCTATATTCTAAGTTGCCTATGCGGGATTCGGCATTAGCACACATGCCTGCACGCACGTATCCACACACGACGGATGTTTCTGACAAGAACTACACTAACTGCGACTCTGGAGTGTTACCTGTGGTGATGGAGCTACTTTCAGGTCCAACAATCAGGTGGTGATGCTTGCAGGATTGACAATAAGTGTCTGTCACTCAGTACAAAGCATGAATATCACCAAAATAGGTGGGCAATAATGAAAATAATGCATATTACACCTAGTTTGGAAAAGAATATAGCCTTTACATCAAATTCTACAATTACTTACAATGCAAAAGTCACAGAGACAGTAATATTTGAAGATAATAACATAATGAAACATAATGAGTTTTTGAAAAAAATAAAGGCTTATTTATAATAAAAAACACATTTTTAGGTGGTATTAATCATAATATGGCAGTGATATTTCTTGTATGTGTAGATTACAGCTAAATACCTTCTGAACAGATGTGATGGCAATTTTTATTTGCTAACTTTATTTACAACTCGGAACTATATCTATCACTTCCAAATCACTTCACACCTAAAATAATGAGCCAAAAACAGCCTATCCAAAATGAGCTCTGTTAGTGGGTTTCATTTAAGGGCATGGTCTTACATTTCTAAAGCATTAATTATTTAGGATATGTAAATAATCCACTTACTGCCTACATGCGCAAAACAGGCGCATTATTATGACCCTTTCTTTATACGCATCATTGCCATCATTTACAGTGCCTTTAAAATTTAATGCTGAGATTATCGTCTTTTTTTTTAAATATACTTTACAACTCCTGCAACACAACAACAGTCAGACGCAACGACCAGACTGTAGCACTAATTTTAAGACACTATGTAATATCCTGCCTGATTCACAGACTTACTCCATATCCAGGTGAAAGGATGCGCCCTGGGGATGAGCAGGACTGCGTACAGCGCGCCGGTGTGGAGCAGAGCCATGAGGACAACGTTTCTCCACACGATGATGCGGCCGCGCTGCTCTTCAGCAGCCCCGCATTCAGCCTCGGCTTCTCGGCTTTCAGCTCCCTCAGGCTCGCAGCGCCCTCCGACAGCATCGCGGACCTCACTATCCGGGAAAGAAACCATCTCTTCACCGACAAAACAGGATTTTCAGGGCTCCAAAACAAGAATTAAAGAAAAACTCAGTGGGTTTATATCCACACGAGAGCTGGCTGCTGTGTGCAGGAGCTGCCAGCCAGCCTGGTGATGGAGGGAGGATGGAGCTGCTGCCGTGGCGCGGCGAGGCCTGCGGGGGCGCTGTGGTAGAGCAGCGCCAACGGAAGACTTATCCTGGAGTCTGCAGTAGAGACGGACGACATCCCATTGATTTTTTTTTGTCGATCCGATAACGAGCCATATCACGGTTAGTATTCCGATAACAACAGCGATGCGTTCAGAAACGTGTGGTCAAGTTTGTAATTGCTACACTGAACTACGTCATCCATATCTGTACCACCAAAAAACAAAGTTTCAATTTTTTTCAATTGTTATTTTACGCACATTGGGCACAGTGGCTGTCCTGGGTCAATGTTTCATGATGAATGCACCAATAAAAATTGTTTAAAATGACATTAACTTACTTTTAAAGTAAAGAACGTTTTTGCCTTCTCCTGTAAAATTACCACCTACGCTGGTTTGAGCTTAAGAACCTCCATTACTGGTTGACCAGCGCATACCAGAATCCAAAACACAACATGGTACTGGTTTTGGTCATAAACATTTCCTTTTCAGTTCTTTTTAGTACGATTACTCATTTAAAGACATATTCATAATGTACCTTAAGGTAACAGGATTTTATTTCAAGTAATTTTTGGCAATTTCCATTTGTCCCCAGTGTTTTAATAATTTTTGATAATGAAAAACTAAATTATTTGGTTTTGATACGGCTGGGGAGGCCACTTAAGCACACTGAATTCATTACCATGTTTGCTTTGTGATAAGATGAGTTATCATGCTGGACATACCCATTAGAAAAAGTGCAAATTGTGGTCATAAAGGCAAACACATGGTCAGCAACAGTATTCAGATAGCCTGTGACATTCAAACAATGCTCAGTTGGCATTACAGGGCCCAATATTTCGCAAAAAAACTTAATCCCATACCATTACACCACCTCCACCAGCTTTAACTGAATTGGGTTCATGCTGTTTACACTAAATTCTGAGCCTGTATCCACTGTAGCTTCAGATTAATATTCTGTTGACAGCAGTAGAACCTGATGTAATCTTCTGCTGTTGTACCCCATCCAATCACCACTGTTCTAAAAAGCGATTACTCAAATTACTGGAGCCTTTCTGTCCGCTTTAACAAGTCTGGCCATTCTCCACTGACCTTCAACAACAACATTCTTTAGTTTCTTACACCCTTCTGTGTAAACTCTAGAAACTGTTGTGCATGAAAATCCCAGGTTCCTAAAATACTCATAAAAACCAGTCTAGCAGCAACAATTGTGTCACTGTCAAAGTCATTTTCTCCTTCCTCATTAACTGAAGCTCTTGACTTGTGTCTGCATGACTTAATACATTACGCTGCTGCCACTCAATTGGCCGATTGGATAACGTGACTGAGCAGGAGTACAGTTCCTGATAAAGTCACCAGTCAGTGTTTGTGTGTGTATGTACAGGTGTATGCAAAAATCTGGGACGCCCTGGTCAAATCTTATGTTCTGTGTGGGAAATAAGTTAATGCCTTATTTAAGTTTGTTCCCTGTGAAGGATGTGTTAACTTGTTTTCACTTATTGTCATTTGACCAGGGGTGTACATATTCAATTTCATAAAAGTAATTATAAAAATCACATACACTTGGTATTGATATCTAAATGTAATGTTTGATTCTCAGAAGGAAACGTCAAGATTAGACATACTGATCTTTTGGGTTCTGCCTCTTCCCTAGTTTGGGGTGGGCTACAATGACACTTACATTTACAGATAACGCTGATTCTGAGAAATATTGATCAATTTATTAGACAATTGGCTTTAAATGAAACATCCGCCGCCATTTTTTACAATATTCATTCAAACATTGTGCACTAAAAACCCCCCAATTCAGCCACACGTGAAACAAAACAGCCTTCACGTACCAAATGAAGGTGGAGACAGATTCAGTGACCAGCAGCTAGAGTTTGTCTTCTCTCAGACTTTCCCACAAACTTTGTCTTAGTGTTTAAAACAGCAGTGGCTCTAACATATTATTATAAGGCAAGTTGAGAATACAACATACAATATCAAAACTCTGTCAGATGTTGGTGATACGGAGACCAACAGCAACTTTCCCTTTGATGGTGAACGTCACCAATTCTTGTATAGTGCGCCTCTTTTTGTCCACAACAGACTGTGGCTTTTTCATCAAGATCCTATCATGCTATAAAACAAAGTAATACTAGGCAGCCTCATAACAAATCTTGATCTGCTAGCTCTGTTTAGTTGCTGATATTAAATCAAATCTTAAAAGCTTTATACTTAAAATAAATAACATTTATTGAAAATTTCTGCTTGTTGGACTTTATATCCATCCTGATCAACAGACAATGCAATAATGCTTTGCGAGGAACTGCGTTGAACATCACTGAAATGGCAAGGCTTCTGATAATCATACACACCAATAGGCTAAAAGGTATAAAGAAACAAAAAAAAAAGTTTAAAATGCAAATGACTGAGAGCTCAATTACATGATAAACACAGGCTAGCAAATCCTGTCTGACCAAATATCATTATCCTAAGACTTCTCATCAGTTGCCTAAAATTGCATTGTTTCAAAACATGCCATTAAATTTCCAGAAAAGAAGGGGAAAACGCCCCCATTGCACTCTGCTCTGCCATGATTACACATATAAAATAATGGCAACATAAAACATACATAAAACTGGAGAAAAAAAAAAAAACTAACCAAAAGAAGAAAAAAAGCCTGTAAACTGGAATGCCCTATTCCAGCTCCGGTAAGACTGGCGGTATATGTCAATGTAAGTTGGTCCTTAATGACTGATGGCTTGTATCAGAGTTGCGGGAATACTGGCAAGTAGTGTGTGCGCACATGAGATCAGACACCCAGCTTATTAGCCTGTGTTAGCACCACCTTCAGGACTGGCATGAAGGCGGAGGTCTCGCTGAAGTTGCTGTTGCTGACAATGTGTGTGTGGATGTTGAGGCCATCGGTGTAGGAGCGGGATTCAATGCTGCGGGCCATGTTGTGGAGACCAGTCACAATGGCTGGAGAAAGCTAGAGAAACAACAGTGAAGTTAATATTAAAAAAAAAAAAACATTAGAGATGCTAGATGCTAGAATAACGCACTTCAAATACAGAAACAGAGCTGTCCAGAGCTCCACAGAGTTGTACAAAAGAAACAGTTTTTCCACATTTCTGCAGTGCATAAATATGCAGTCATCTAAGATGCTAGACACCCAGCGGACTGCCTTCCAAGCTTACCAATGCCAATGACAAAGCCGAAACTAAACCCAAACTTGGCCAAAAACCGAAAACAGAATTAGAAACGGTTGATGAACAAAAACTGTACATCCGATAAAATTATTACAGTACGTAGTCTACAGTATATACCAAAAAATCTAACACCCTCAACAACAGAGAATGGTTGGTCAGTCAATGAATTTGATTCTTTTTTTTTAATTATTATACTTGGCACTTGTGCACTGCTGGTTGTGAATTTCCCATCATTTAAAAAAAACTTCTGCCTCTGTTGTTTAGCTGGACCCTGCATATTGAGCAGGATATGGGTGGTGTCTAATGTCCCTCCTAGACAGACACTGTGAAACAGTTTAATGTGGCTGACTTTTTCACTGTTGATCTGCTGCTGCTCAAACAGATTTTGCATTGAAAAAAGGGCTAATTCCACAACATTTGCTAATTTAAATATTAATTAAATCTGAGCTGTTCTCCTCTGCAGAGAATGAGTGCAACGCTGTTTCCGATAAAAATACTCACAGTTTGCTCTCTCAGTTTGTCATAAAGGAATTCCAGCCTCTTGTTGGCATCATCCAACTTCCTCTTGGTTTGCTGTTGGGATGACAGAAAGTGTTTTGTTAGACATGCAAACAAGAGTAAAAGAGTAAAAAAATAATGAATTATAGCTGTAGATCCCAGGGAAGAGAAAATGAGGCATAGTACATTGATGAAAGGCAACAAATGAAATGATGAGATGAAATTCCATTTGATTCAACTAAACATAAATCATGACACATGGTTTAACAGTTGAGTTGACTAACTGGATCTGTGGCGGCAGCTAAGCACTTCTGGATTAGGCCCTCAAATGTGGTCTTCAGAATGAGGTGCTCATCTGGGATGGGCTTCTTCATAATCTTCTCAGCAGGCAAAGACTGCATCGGCTTGGGGCAAAGACATTCAGTCAGATTTACTCTAATTTGTTTCATTTCATTGCATAACGTTGATTTGGGTGCATATAAAGCATAAGGCATTCTCACTACTCCAATGTGTGTGTTTTGGAGCATTTAGGGTACCTGTATGACATCTCCAGTGGGTGCCCCTGGTGCCCCTTCTACAGTCATGTTGGGCATAGCAGGGTTTCTGACAGCAGGTCCCAGGGGCTGCTGCTGGATGGGGGTGAAAGGGGCAGGAACTCCAGCTGGCTGTCCAGGTAGCTGCTGCTGCTGCTGCTGCTGCTGTTGGGGAGGCTGCATAGGGGCCACCTGTTGTGGGTCTCCCAGCGGAGCCATGATTGGTGCTGTGATGGGAGCAGGAGGAGTGTAGTGTTCTGGGACCTGAAGATGTTTGCAACAGAGAAACAGAAATTCATATAAATGCTATCTGTTCATAGTAATTAACAAGGCAAGAATTTACACAGACCCCAGTCAAAAAGTAAGGAAGCAAGCAGTGATTATTTAGGTTTCACTACTTTTTTCATAGTACTGTTCAAAAATTTGGAGCATTTTTGACACAATAAATCCAAATTTGTTGCAGAAAAAATGACTATAATGTGCGAATCATGTGCCACTTCATAAGTTTTAAAAATTAGAAGGACACTAGGATGTATAATAAAATAAGACCTTTTATATGTAAGCAGAATGAGGAACCGAGCTGTATAACATTCTAAAGTGACTGAGAAAGCTGTATAACATCAAGAATGATGTTATAATAAAATTAAGATCCAGAATGGCTTGTTTCCGTAACTGTTTCAATTAATTCCACTGTTTTTCAAATATTTAAATCACTTAGATAACTTAAATCACTGAGATGTGTCCGAAGTTAGATTCTTTCTGATGGGAAACAGGAGCAATGATGTCTGCAACAAGAATATAGCCATTTTCTTTACTAACTAAGACTGTGCATTATTTCTTTGGGGGAGGTTTTCCAACTTTCCAAACTTTTGGCCTGAAGTGTAGTGCATTAGGCACAGCAATAACTTTGCACAGTGCTTCATCAAGCCCACCTTCTTCTTCTTGGGCACTCTGCTGAGAGCAGGAGGATCGTTCCAGCCATTCTGAGGTCCTGAAGCAGAGCAGAATAGAGTCTGTCATTATTCATTTCCATAAATAGCACAAAACTGTCTGACATCTCATCTCTGTCGGTTATCAATCAGTGTTCCATACTGGAGAATTACATATATGCATTTCATTAGTGCAGCACTCCAGTTAATGACAGAAATCAGGATAATGATTAGAATAGAAAATTCAGTAAAACAATGAATACTCTAAATCCAGTTATAGAGGTATACAGTACTGTGCAACAGTCTTCAAAAGCAGTAAAACTAAAAATACATAAATAATTTAAAAAAATGGAAATATTCAAAACTCTCAGCAGTAAGTGTTTTTTTCTGTAAAATACAATATAATACTAGTATAAATACATATAAACAGATGTACAATAATACATTAAAAATATTTTTGGTAAGCTGGTTAAAAGAATCTTGCCATTGTGTGGAGGTCAAATTCCGCCTGATTCAATTTAAAGGGCCCGTTTTGTACAAAACTGAATTTCTCACTTTTTTGTAATGCACTTTGATGTAGCATATTGCTAAAGTTTCAAAAAATGTGGTTCACTCCCCAGTCCATATGTAGAAACTAAGCTACAAAAACAGCCTGTTTCTGTGGTCATGAAAACCAGCATATTTACATGTCAGAACAGCATTTACATATATCAGTCTTCAAGGCACAGTAACAAAAAGAGCCTGTTTAATTCTAAGTGATGAAAAAAGAGCTTGGAAATGGTAATTTAATAATGGATTATGAGCGTTTTGTGTTGGTACAAAAGTGGACCTCAGGGGAAAAAATTAAGAAAAATGTATCACGTGCCCTTTAACAAAGGACTGATTAAATCAATGAGGTATTGAATGGTAACTATAAATACTGGGCTTCCAGGACAGCTTTGAAAATGACTAACACTGACGCATGTAAAAAACACGATGTGTTGTTTATTTATTTTATTCTAATGTTAGTGGTTTTATCTTTGAAAATCAAGTGTTTACTGCCTAGAAAAACAGTGTTACATTTGTGTGACTTTTGCACAGTACCACATATCAATGTTCTCAGAGGATTTCTAACAATCATAGTATTACAAGTTCCATTGATTTTGTATGCTGCTGTTACAATCAACATATACTTAAACAACACTGCTCTTTCAGGAAAACTGATCCAACTCTACACGTGGTGGTTAATGAACTGTATGGTGAGCTAAATTTAGAAGCAAGTCAAAGTGTATAAAAGTGAGAGCTTCCACAGGGCTCTAAGAATGGAAGCACTCTAGCCTGGCTGTTGACCTACTGCCAATTGTGCACCCACAGCTCCATTCTCATCAGGGTAATAGCTGACCTACATTGCTCACCATGCACAGCGCTGATCACTCTTCGGCATCTAATGATTGCTGCTCTTGCCAACAATGAATCTAGGGCAACTGGTTTATGATGGATTTAAAATGTATATACATCGATTTAAGCCGTAAACTGATTAAAGGCACTCAAATGCTGGGATATTACAAACGTGTTAGCTTTAATGTGTGATTTCTATTAGATTTGGCACAATTATTCATTTGAATAATCATTATTAATTATGATGATTATCTGAACTGGACGATTATGGTCCATTAGATCATGCTGCTGCTACGGAAATTCACCTTCCAAAAACCAGATATCTTGGGTGAATCCCCCTGTGGATAAGACAGAATCACACCGTTCTTTCTATGGACCATCATCAGACATCCATTTAACAAACTCTCTAACAACTAAATAATGAACCTGTCGACAGGGCACTGAAAGACCTTTGACTCATTCTTATTGTCAGACGCTGACGGCCACGTTAATGAATGACTAAATCTGTTTCCTAAGAACAACTACTTACAGGGTAAGTGCGCTTTGCTCACATTGCCTTCCTTAGCAACTTCCTCATTCATTAGGAAAGACAGAGGTATATTAAAACAGTAGCTAAGTGTGTTTTTATCATTAGTGAGGGTCCACTCCCCTTTACTGTTGTAACACTACATTCTGGCTCACATCATCCCTGTGGTAAGCAGCTGTTTGCTCTTTGGCCATTTCCTGTTTGCCCAACTGACTATAGAGGAAGCATGGAGATCCATAACTAGAGCTCCCCCTCATGTCCTTCAGTGATATGATTTAAAAAGAATCTATGCAACACTACCAATATGTAGACCATCTAAATGTGTATAAAAGCTGATTCTAAAGCCTGAATTAAATATTCCTGTAATATTAAATGTAAAGAGTTTTGACCCACAGTCAAATTACATGTTTTGTTGATTTTCTAAGTGAAAAGGTAACATATGTTCGGCAGGGAACAAACTTAAATATGGCATCTTTCTACAAATTTTAGTGTACAGTCTCTAAATTTTTAATACTGGGAAAAAAAACAAACATGTGCCACAGGCCACATTTTGTTCTTATTTTTCCTTTTCCAATATGTTAAATTTAACTAGCGCTGATTCTGTGTGGATCTACAACAACCAATTTTTATCTGACAAAATGATCAAACGTATGCTAATGTTCTAAATGCCATTTTCCTGCACAATTAAAAAATAAATAATAACATATAAATAAATATATAAATACAATGAGAGAGTGAGTTTAACATATTTTGGGAAAAAAAAAACGAATACAAAAAATATATCATACAATATGCTTTTGCACAGGCCACATCTTTCTCCCTAATATGTTAAATTCAGCAAACAGTAACTACGCATTACAATGTGCAGAAGTGTGTTTGATGTGTTGACTTTTTTTTCAAAGCAAATCATGTAACTAGGTCATGTAACCAGGGATGCCCAAACTTTTGCATACGATTGTACTTACAGTATATTACTTGCTTCTTGTTCACAGAATCCTTGATATATTTAACAGAACATCTGAAAGTACCTTTTGGCAAACAGTGTGTTTAAATCCACATTGTGAGTTTTATTGTATCAAAAATTTATTAAAAAAAAAAATGTACACAACAATCGACTGCTGGCAGTGGCAGTCTGAGGCTGTCTGTGATTAAGGGCGTTTTAGTAAAAGGGCACTGTGGTGCAGACCTGTTCTCTGTGAGGCTGGGATGAGGGCGGGCTCAGCCTGTGTACCTGAAGCTCCGGTGGGTGGAGGTGGGAGATAAGCGGTGGGAGAACCCGGACCGCCGTGCTGAAAGGAGACTCCGGAGGAGAAAGGTGGAGGAGAGAAGGAAGAGGTGGAGGAGTGAGGAGGAGGTGCAGAAGGAGCCGGCTGGCCTGCTGCAAGAGGAGGAAGAGGTCCGGGGAAGACCGGAGGTGCAGGCTGAGATGAAGCAGGTTGCATGAAATGAGGGGGGTAGAAAGGAGCGGGAGCAGAGGATGAAGGTGGAGGAGGAAGAGGAGAGGATGCAGAAGAAGAGTACTGGAGAGGCTGATAGATAGTTGGTCCCCCAGCACCAGGTGGGAACTGCTGGACCTGGGGGTAGGCTGAGGTTCACAGAGACAACAGAGAGAGCAGGCAAATGCAGTTAGACAAATTCTCAGAGGACATTACAAAGTCACATCACACTGGATCAGCAGCATACATTCAATATAAAACATGCAAAGATGTTTACCTCAAATATGTAACAGAGCTCTAGCATAATTAGTAATTATTACAAGGGATGGGGTGGTTATCACTAGATGTACTGTGGTATAAAACTCAATGATAATCTTACCGTTGCAGTTTTTTGCTCCCTGCAAAGCACACCAGGACCTCATACAGTCACATATACAGAAGTCTGTCCACCCCTCAAAATGACGTGTCTTGTTGATTTGAGTAAAATAAGTTAACATCCTGTCATTTCGACCGGTGTGGCCCAACTTTTGCATACAACTGTATGTTTTTTTTATAGTTATAATCTGAACAGTTAACAGCAGAACTTGGAGTAATTTTATGTACTGGTGACAATTTCAAATGTGCACCAATACTTTTTCACTACTTTCTAACAATATTGCAAAAACACTGAATGCCTTTTTAGAGTTATGACATCAATTTTATACCATCCCATCCCCAGCATTTAGCACCGGCATTTAATGAAAGTTCAGACACGTGTAGTTTTTACATCTTCAAAATCATGCAGGAGCTATTAAACAGCCAACAGCCATGTTAAAATGATAAGAGAATACAGCTCTTGTTCATCACAATAGTATGTACCACACTAGTGTGTATCTAAGTAAAAGGTGGGCAGAGTTAAACAAACATTCCAGAATGTTTGCAGTTTTAGAAGAGAACAGTTACAGAGGATAAGCCTGAGGATCACTGAGTGAGTGTGTGTATATATATATATATATATATATATATATATATATATATATATATATATATATATATATGTGTGTGTGTGCGTGCGCGCGTGTGTGAGAAACACAGACAGAGACAGAAGTGGAAGTGGACTTAAACACTTACTCTGATACTGCTGTGAATACATGAATGCACCGGGAGCAGTAGGACCAGCATTCACTGGGGACTGTGGGCCAAAGGGTCCTGGAACAGGCTCAGCCTGTGTGTGAAAGAGAAAGAGAGAAAGAGCGAGAGAGAGAGAGAGAGAGAGAGAGAGAGAGAGAGAGAGAGAGAGAGAGAGAGAGAACAGAATAACAGAGACAGAGAGAGAAAGAGAGAACACAAAGAGCAACACAGACACAGAGGGGGAGAAGGAGAGAGACAGACAAAAAGAGCGAGTGAGAGAGAGAGAGAGAGAAATCAAAGGATGGTGGGTGTGGTGGAGGAAGGCGGAAAAAGACAGGGACAGACACAGAAGACACAGAAAGAGAGGGATAAAGAAGATAAAAAAAAGAAGTAGGAAAGAAGAATGAAGGTGTGACAGAGAAAGAAAAACAAACAGAGAAGGGGCAAAAAGAGAAAGAAAAAGAAATAGAAAAATAGAGAAAGAACAAACAGAGACAGAGAAAGCGAGAGAAGGATGAAGGGGTGAAGGTTAACATTTCATAGTTTAAGTAATCAAATCATTTATTCTCCAAATCACAGCTAACATCAGCACTCCTACAAACAAGACACCAAGTTAGACGGTAATTCATAATTTTTTTGCTGGAAAATATTTGACAATATAACCGGCTTCGTTGTCAAATCTTTGTGTGCTTTAAGACATCAAAGGTTTGATGTTACATCAAAGTGATACTGTAACACAAATTAATGAGGTGATACTATAATACTAATACATAATATGATCTAGTTCAACCAATATCTAAGCTACTAATGTACAATGTGTAAAGAACTTAGGAATTTCATAAACTTACAATTTTTTTACTTTAAAAAAGTGCAGTTATTTATATGCTGTAATGACACAATGCCCGGATTTGCAACACTGTACTGTTTCATCCACAGTTTGCTTTGTTTATCACAAGGCTCTCCATAAAAGGCACACTAGCCTGAAAAACAAACCTGTGCAGGTGTTAAGTATCGATTGCTGCTCAGGATATTTATAGCATAACATGAGAAGCGAGGGTGTATATAGCATGCAGGGGAGACAGACTGGACAGCAATCAATGCTTCTCTGCAAAAAGACTGGAAAAACTCAGCGGGTGCTGCTGTGCAAAAGTCAAAACAGGGACAGTTCCGGAAAAAAAAGCAGACATGCAATACACAGCGTGTGGTGGGTAGTGGGACGGAGTGGGATCATGCATTCTCGTGAGTGTTTAGGGGTCTGTGTTACTGCACGGGAAAAGGGACGTGTGAGAGTAGGTAGAAAAGATTCTTGGTCCAGTACATGAGAATAACCTGTTTACCACATTAGCACAGGTAATTTGAGTCAATAGCTCTGAAATAACTTTCTTTTAGCAACTGGGTAAACAAACAAGCAAAGACAGACTAAGAGAGAAAGGATTCTGTGTAGAAATCAGTAGATTAGTGCATGTTATTTAGATAATATATAGCTGGATATTATATTATATTATATTATATTATATTATATTATATTATATTATATTATATTATATTATATTATATTATATGTGTTATATAAGAAAGATTTTTTTTTTCGAATGAAAGAAAAAAACGAAACAATGTAAAAGGTTTACCAAGTTTTTAAGCCCCTTTTACACTATACAGTATCCACAATCATTTCTTTTTTAACTTTATATGGCTGCCCAATCAAAAGCATACTGGGTAACTAGCAGGACTTCAGGTCATAAGAATGTGCTGCACTGTTTGAATACAATCACAGCAAGCTAGTACAGTGTGAAAGGCATGGCACAAGAATTACTGCATTATTATTATTATTATTATTATTATTATTATTATTATTAGAAATGGCAATCTGATAAGCAGGACCAGGCTGATACAAGCAAAAAATGCTGTATCGGACATCAGATAAATAAATAAATGATTAAGTGAAGTCTTTCAATTAAAGATTAATAAAGCACTCAAGGGAAAAAAAGATAATGTACACGTGTGTGTCTATGTGTATGTTCATGTGTGTGTGTGTTGTTCAAAACCTTGGAATATCAGTGCAAGTCTAAATGCTTCAGTGTAGCCTGGATTCTCTTTTTCATCCTCTTTTTTGTAAACAAATTTCTCTTGGAAGTGAAATTCCTGATAATAAAGTATAAAAAAACAACTCTGAATCAATCTTCTGACTAACATAAAAACAGTATGGTGGCAGATAAATGTTTATAAATGCATTAAATGAATAACTAAATGAAATAATTACGTGTCTAGAATAATTAACAGTGCTGCAGATGATTGCAAATGACTGCTAAAAACTGTATGAAGTTATTGTTACACTAAAATTAATATACACAATGTGCTATATTTCAAAAATGACATCTCCAGGCAGATATTCTGCCAAATATTGCGGTATATTTTTATTTGAATATCTAAAACTACCTGTTGTTGTCTAGTTTAAAAGAACTTGAGTCTGTATTATTCAGGTTGTTACTGTATTTAAAATAAAACAGAATTATTAATATGAAATAAAGTGGTTCGAAACATTTAAACACAACTTAACATTAGATCTGTATCAGCCAGTACTCAAGATTTCACTATCATATTGGAAAAGCACTTAATAGTAGTATCATGCCATCTCAAAAAAGTACAAACCAAAACAGAATATTTGTAAACATAATGCTTGGTTATTTTTCTGGGTGAATAACTCGTGTCCAGTCAGCATCAAAGCTCAATTTAACTAACAGTAAATACACACAGAAGAGAGAAAATACTGGCAATAATGATAAAATTCTTTGTTTGTAGTGTTTAAGGGGCTTAAATGTCCCTTTGGTGTGACCCTCCATAAGACTCCAGTTTCCTGGGCCAGAGAGCGTGTTTGTGTGTGAGTGTGGCGTGGGCCCAGCTCTGTCTGTACCTGCAGGTCTTTTGCTGGGGCTAGCGGACGAGGGACACTGGGCAGAACTGTTGGGGTTTGGTTACTCCAGGAAGTGACAGTAGAGGCAGCCCTACCCTGAATACAATAGAGACACACACACACTCACACACCGCCCACACACTGCCGCTGCTGTTGGATGAGGAGGAAAACTTGGGGGTGGAGGGGTCAATGATTTTTAGGGGATGCTGTAAATTCTGAAGATTATGTTTGTGAGGTTATTATCACTTAAGGTTCACTGATAAACTGCTGATGAAATGCGCCAACTGGTTTCATAACAATCCTCACCTTCATAACGGTGCTAGACTCAGTGTTAGTAAATCAAGAAATGAGCCAGTAACCCAGATTACACCATGTCCAAGTGAAAAGCATGCAAATCAACATTGCGTTTGTATGTCTGTATGAGAAATTACATAATGTAGCTGTGATGGTATTCCTGCACCCTTCCTGTGTCACTCTGTATTTTTAATTAGGTATTTATTAAGGATGTATAGGAATTGTGGGCTGGTGTCGATATCCGATATTTTTATGTGTGTGTATATATATATATATATATATATATATATATATATATGCAGATGCTGATACATAAACACTAAATACACCCTGATGAACGTTTCACAGAAATGTATTTATTTGCAGAGGGTTATAACTGTGGTAAAATGCAGTAAATGCAGGCAGTAACCCAGCAGAAGTAAAACCTTTTACTCTTCCTAAGCGCAATAGATACATCATCAAATATTAGTCAAATTAAAGCTTGTTGGACACTGAAATATATTTTAGGCAAATATCCTATCATCGTCCATTCCCAATATTAGTGAATGACAGGAAAGCCTCACAATGTTTTGTCCAAATACTTACTTACTTAAGGCCAATGCCAGTGCTCAAAAGGACAATCATTCTACTGTACATTAATCTTTCACATTTTAGGGGTCCTGCTATAAAAGGAGTCACTCAAATTGTTGGTAAAGGCATTAAGAGGGAAACGGTCACCCTTGTGACATTGCGCATCGGAAGCAGCCAAAACAAAAAGAAAAATATTTATTTTTGAGCATCACTTAAGCTAAAACCACAAATTATCTATGCGCATTTGCCAGACTTTACAAGTGATCTCAAATATGCTTTTGAAACGTTAGCTTGGCTATCAGTTTCAGCTTTATAGGTCTCTCCTCACTTAAGTAAACAGGATCCTATTCTTGACTGGGGGCATTGATAAGACAGACAATGAGTGGACAGACTTTCCTGCAAGAACTCTGATTTAAAGAAACAGATTTTCAGAAAATCAATGTTAAGGTCGTTATTTATAAATATATTTTTTTAAGAGTAGCATTTTAAGAAGATATCTGTGAGCCTTCAAATATTCTTATGTTGCAAAATGTATATCCATGAATACAGTGTTGTGCGAGTCTTAGGCACGTAAACAAATAGTTTAAAATGTGTTTGTGCCTGTGGAAACGTCAAACAATATTAGAACTACCAGCCGCAAACCTAATAGAGGGTTGCCACAAAGTGAGGTTTGTAAATGGTTAAATTAACGCACTACATATGTAAAAACACTACTAAGGGTATTGATGTAATTTGTATTTATTCTAATGGTGTTTTTCCTGACCAAATAAACGCTTACTATCCAGAAAATTGCTTTACTATTTAAATTCTTTGTACTGTATACAGCCCTGTATATATCCAGTATTTTGAATTTGGATATGTTTATTGAGTATACTGAGTATATAACTCTACTGCTGTGGCTTTGTATGTCTATGCGTGTGAGAGAGATCAGTACCTGCTGGTAGTACTGCTGTGTGGGGGCAGTAGGTGTGGGCTGAGGGGGCAGTTGTTGAGGCTGAGGCTGAGGCTGGACCGGAGCGTAGGCCTGCGGTGGAATGGCGGCAGGCACTGCTGGCTGTCTGTTCTGCAGCGGCACCGTGGAGGCTGCAGGGGCCGCAGCATACTGACCCAGAGCTCGGCTCAGACGCTCCCGCAAAAGCTGCACTGCAACCTACACAGAATAAAATAGAAAAACAGGACCTCAACCACGTACACGAGATGAAAACATCTAAAGACGATTCCAGCAGCAGTTTCACAGCTCAGATTACTCATGTTTTCAGGTTTCAGTGCAGAGCCAGGCAGAGCAATCCAAGCATCCAAATCCAAAACACTGACAGTGCCAAGACTAACAGTGAAACACTTGGCATGACACTGACATTGTTGTTCTGGCCAATATAGTAGATAATAAGCCAAGAGGCAAGGCTAGCTGTGTGAGGTAAGCCTACTGTGCTGCACCGTGCTACAGTTTGTTGCATTATGCTGTCAGAGCTAATAAGATAAGCTTTGTGCCACTGTACACTACAAGCTAAAACTTTGTAACAATAGAAATGAAAGAAAAATTACATTTTCAAGAGGTAATGGGCAGTAACGGGTTTATTAACACAGTCGGACAATCTGACTAAATGTCTGCAGCAATATTGTCCAACAAACTTATTCTTAATGTGATCTGCCTGAAGATGTTTACTCCTCTAATCAGACCCATCTGATTCTGATCATCTGAATCAGATGATGCCTGAAGACTTCATAAACTGCATCATCCAAAACACTTTTAATGAAAACTTGTTCAAAGTAAGGGACTGTTGTATACACAGAATGTGAAGGCCTGCATGTAATAAGTTAGAGTAAGAGTGCATGACTGCAAACTGATGAAATATTTAGTAAAAATGGACCTAATCATAAAATATTTATGGTCTTTTGTCCATGTATTTTTTTCTGAATGCCCTGTATTCTCAATAAATACAATAAAACAACTGACCAATCTTGAATCTTGAATAAATATGTGCCTTGTAAACCACTATGAGCAGACAGCATTCATATGGATTTCTACACTGAATGAATGAAAAATCACTGCATGTACACATGTAATGTACAGTCATGTGCAAAATTTTGGGTATCCTTGTTCCAATGATGTTTTGTTGATCTTCTAAGTGAAAATAAGTTGACACATCCTCTACTGAGACACACTTCTGCAGATTTTAATGCATGATTACTGTTTTTTTTGCTAACAAACTGGAAAAAATAAAATGTGGTTTGTGCAAACATTATGGCACATTTTATATTTTAGGTTTTATTTTTTCCAATATGTTAAACTCAGCAAGTAAACAGAAATTGTGCAATATGTGTAAGAAATTCCACATTTAAGTTTGTTCCCTGTGGGGGTTCTAAAGTTTAGAAGTTTGGAATCGCTGTTTCAATAATGCGAAACCAATTTGGTTGCAGAAAAGTACATAGAATTGTTCTAATAATGTTAAACCTCAACTTCATAGAGTTGTAGAAGATTCTAAAATGACTAAGAAATATGTTCAGCATGGAGAATTAAAGTGACTAAAATGAATATTCAGTATTCATCATATTTGAAAAATACTGTTCAAATATCAAGGTAGATTTTTTTGACAAAAACTGTGCATAAATGTTGATTATCTATCATTTAATAACATCACAAAATTCCAGAAATATAACACATTTAAATCCAATTCGTACAAGTCATTGTATATGAAATAAATTATTAATATGCATAGTGATTTCAAATTTTTGAATGGTAGTGCATAATGACAATAAAGCAGAACTGAACTATACTTGCCTGCTCAGTGTTGGTGGGCAGGTAGGAGATGGCGGTCTGCAGGCTGCCCTGAGAGGCCAGCAGGCTGGCGTACTGACTCATCTTCTCTGCCAGCATGGCGCCCACGGCGGGGGCCACACCACCCTGAGCCTTCTCCACTGCCTGCCGCAGCACCACCACCTTCTCAACCAGGTCCTACAGGCAAACAGAGAAGGGTCATCAGTCAAGTCAGTCTAAAAGTAGCCACAAACTCCAGGCGCAAAAACGTCTGAATGCTATATACACATAAAAATGATGCAGAGCTGGATTCAGACACCCAGCAGGCCAGCAGGTAAAAAATTGTGCCAAAAATTCCGACATTTACTGGGAAGTATGCCTATTTTCTCAGAAGCATTTTTTAAGTTGGTAGTAGGCTAATAACTAACTAAAAACTAATGTTTCAATCAATGATAAATACACAGTACTTTGTGTCTGTCCATAGTAGTAATGTGAATGAGTTTCATCTTTAACAAATGTTACAGACACTGCTTTTCTATAGGAGGCTAACCTCAAAAACTCCAGTTCAGAGAGTGTCGGAGAGGCTGCTGATCAAGTAAATACTTCATTTAATATTTGACCAGGGGTGTTTGGCATACAGCTAAATGAGCAAGCACCACTTTAGTGAAGATTTTACATTACATTTTTCTACAAAATTAGCCCCTCCATACGGTGTTATACTTCCACAAAGTGTGCTGAACAGATTTTCAAGGCCAGTTAAAGCCTGTTGAAAGAGACTAGTGTGAATATAATGGTGTAAATGAGCATATGATTTGTTGTAGTAGAGAAGTCTCACCTGCAGTGAGAGAGGGCTGCTGGAGTCCTGTGCTTTGGACCAGCAAGACACCAGCTGCTCCATGCTGCCTGCACAGATGTAACAGAGACAGGCCTGTGCCTGCAGGGGCAAGTCCTCAGCAGCCTCCAGTCTGGTACCAAGCAGCCCTAAACACAGATACAACCACACACAATTACCACCTGCTGAGACTTTACATTTGTGTTCTTTCACACTGTCACAAAGCTGAAGACATTTAAAGTGATCATTCGGTGAAAAATTTTGGGTTAAGGGAAAAATTGTGTAAATGTAACATATTTGGTTATGTAAAAGTATATGATTATCTAAAATTTGAGCGGTTGTTTTTCTGGATTTATACTGGAGAAGACTCCGATCTCCACTCCTTACTCACCACAGAGGGAGGAGAACTCCTCAGGTTTGGCATAGGTCATAACTGCAGCCAGAGCCTCCTTCCAGTTGTGGAGATCACATGTCTCCAGAATATCCAGCCAGTCTTTCATTACCACAGCACTGATGAGCTACAGGTTGAAAAGAAAACATTATTATTAAGCCCAGCACTTCTCAGTACCAAGTCCTTTCATGGTCATTCAAGTAGAGTTAAAATTAAGATAATGCAGTCAGAAGATGGTATAGTCAGAAAATGACAAGATGTACCAGGTGAACTAAGCTAGAACTTCAATTTTTATAGTGCTCCATGAATTTACCTTGCCAATTTTGCTTTGGGTTTTGGCCAAGTACTTCTTCTGGGTCTTTTCAAGCAGCTCTGGCCCACCAGCAATGGCCAGGATGATGCTGTCCGCCATTCGGTTGTCATGGAGACAGAGGTTGACGGCAGCTTCAAAGTCCCCAATAAGCAGTGCTTGGGTGATGAGTCTATCTACATCTGCAGCATCAAAAACATCAAAAATGCTAAGACGTGACTTATTTATTATTACCAAAAAAACCTGCATACTGAATTTCTAGATAACAGGCAAACACAGTATAAGATACTTGCCTTGGCTGGCTTTAACAGTTTCTGAGGATGGAGACGGAGTCTCTTCAAGTACAGGGATCTGATCAGCAACAGGTTCCTCTTCAACCACAGGGATCTCCTCAAGTTCTGGACCCTCCTCCTCTACCACAGGCCCATTCTTTTCCACCTAGGAGCATAGCAGAAGGGTCACTGAGGGTTTTAAAAAAAAAAACCCTACTCAACACCTAGAATATTATTTTTTCCTGATTTTCAGAATTTACTCCCAATAATTTTACATACAGTGCTTTGCAAAGGTCAGAGACAATCCTTCTCATTTATTTAATTTCCAGTTAAAACAGCCCTTAAGTGCAACTTATGCGTTTTGTAGTGTCAGGGGAAAAAAAAGCAGAATACAATACAATATTTGACAGAAAGTTACACAGAGGTCTCAACAACTAAACATATCATTTTGTAAGTATTAAATGTGCCCAAACTTTATTACAGTTTACTTTCTATTCAGAAAGAGATTCTAAGGTTTTTTTATTCATGTTTCTTGTAAACACCTCAGTTTTAGAAGTTGGTTGCATTTTCTGCTTCACCCAGTTTTAGTGTTCTAATTTCTTTTCTCAGTTACAACTCCTTGAAAGACCCATAGAGTTGAGTTGTCTTCACACAGTGGAACGACAGAAACCTGTGGATTTTGCAGGTCTGAAGCAAGAGTGGAGCTTCATTTTTTATCTCTCAAAAATGAAAGCTTTAGGTACTGTTTAACTGATAGTGAGAGTTTTGGTGGTCTACCAGGTCTTTTCTCTGTATTTTAATACTTTCCTGAATTCCAGGTTTGGTAACTCCTGTTTTTCTTTGACTTTGCCCTTCCTAATGCAATTACACAATTATCTTATATCTAATCCCCTCAAAAATATCTCTTTTAGCTAGTGCAGAAGCACATGAGAAACAATCTGAAAGTGTGATTGGCTAGTCGCTTTGCAAATATGAGTGTCTTTTCGACGGGGAACATGATGTCACTGGCTCTGTTGGGAGCAGCTTTTGTTGGGTGGACACGGCTGTGACTGGTTGGTTTTAAGATTGAAAAGATGGAAGAGAAAGTGGCAGTGGTGCGCACAAAAGTAAAGAGTGGACAAACTAAAGATAGATTTGATATTATACTCAGTGTTGGAGGCTTTTGTGTAAGTTTCTCTTCCTGCTTTTTTTCTTTACACTACAAAATACATAATGTGTACTTAATGGTCATTTTAACTGGAATTTAATAGAAATAGTGGTCTCTGCCTTTTGCACAGTACTGTTTACATTATTATATTAACTTTGGTTTACAATAATGAAGAAAAAAAAATCCCTTTCAATGACCACACTCAATTTAACCAATAACGTTCACCAACATGTGAGAAACTGCTAAACATCAACACAATCGCTGAATTCTTATAACTACCATCAACTTAGCCATTTTCAGATTGATAAGATTCAGCATTCATGTAAATCCAATCACGTCATTGACCAAAAACACAAAAGACTGTCACAGCATGTTGTTGCATCTCCAGATTAACATTATACACCAAAGAGCAATATTACCTCTTGATCCAAACAAAACTTGAAGCACCACAGTTGACCACCAATTTTCATGCATTACCTATATTACACGATATCTCTCCCAAAGAGCTAGAAAAATGATACAAAAAACTAGCTGCTGGGAAAAAGTCAATTAAAGAAGAAATTATGTCTACTAAGGCCATGATGTTATCAGCATTCCTGTGTGAGACTCTAAATGATGTTTCAGAGTACATCTTAACCTTAGTCTTTAAACCAAATCCAAAATAAGAGTAAAAATGAGCAGTTATTGTTGTGCAAAGGGTGAAGATTCACAAAAGCAGGTACAGCAATGCTATCACACAGGGATGCTGTGGCAGGAGGCCAGACTATGGCAGGCAGGGCGAAGGTACCTCCTCCAATGCTGCCTCCTCTTCAGATGTGTCAGCATTAAGGGCCACATTTCTGGGTTTCTCTTCATCCAAATGTACAGCACTCAGCTCCAGCTCAGGTTCTGGCTCACCGTTAACAGGAGGCACAAGGTTTATCGGCGGTGTAGTGTCCAAATCAACCGTTGGTGTCAAGGCCACCTCTGGCACGGGTTGTTGAGCAACAGTGGGGGGTGTAAACATGGAAACATCCTGTGGGTCAAGTTGGGGTAAAAAGCCAGGTACAGGTTGAAGGGCTACAGGAGTCACAAGATCAGCAGCAGGAAGAGACTGCTGTAGATCATCAAGAGATGCTAGCATTGGCAGAGCTGCCTGTGGGTCAGCTGGTAATGGTGCTAACAATGGTATGGACTGTGGTTGGTCAATGAGAGGTTGTACAGCAGGTGGTGATTCAGGAAGGTCATCATGGATGCCTGATGGGACTACCATGGGTTCAAGGTTACAATTTGCACCTAAAACTGGAGCAAATGGCTGAAAGTCAGCTGGAGGGGCAGCATTTGCCTCAGAATCTTGTGGAACCACTACAGGTGTAGACTGAGGTAAAGTCTCTAGATCTGGAGATGCCAAATCACATTCCGACTGCTGTAAAGCACTACAAGGTGCAAACAGAGGTGTGGAATCTGGTTGATCTTGTGATGTAAACTCAAGCATGAGCTGATCAGGCAGGTGCATTAAATCAGGAGGATGTGCTGGGCTAAAAGCAGGTTCCAATGGTGGAATGAGATCAATGGAGGACTGAAGGGAAGGTTCAGATTCAGCTCTGAGCTCTTCAACATGATCGGTACTTGTATCAAGCAAAGGATCAAACAATGGTTCCTTTACAGCTTCCAGGCTATGTTCAACTAGCGCTTGGTTTGCAAGCTTTCCAAGGAACGTGTCAGGATGTCCAAGCTGGGTTACAGCAGGAGGCCCAAGCTCAGGCAATTGAGCAATCTCTGGCCCAGGGGTACGATCACAAGTGGGTGCGGAAGCATGGTCGAGTTGAGATGCAGAGGAAGGCTATACATGCACACCAGGGGTAGGGATGAGATGTGTGGGCATTCAGACAGGATTCAGCAAATAAAACAATTACAACAAAATTCCCAATGACCAATTTGTCATTATAAGCATGCAGATAATTGTTGAAATGTCCCTGAAAGCACATCAGATATGGCTTTTCCAACAATCAAAAGGGCTAAGTGACAGTGCCAATCACAGATTGAAAATTCCTCCAAATTAAAGAAACCGATAATCTAGCAGGAGCTCAGAATTACGAAGAATAAACTTTTTAGAAAGAAGGCAAACTCCACAACAGACCAAACATTTTCAACCCACTGTAGATTAAGTAAATCATGCAATAAGCAGACTTTCCAATGCAAGAATTTGGTACAAAGAAACATCAAGTGAACATGAAAATTAACAAATTAAAATTATTATCGTAAACTGCAATTGCATCTTAATGTAATGCCAAATGAAAACACCACAAACTAATAAAAATGCATCCAACAATAATCTGACCTAAGGTTTCAACATGTCCCACCCAGAGGATGTCACACTAACTTCCTTTCTAACTGCAGAAATACTTTCACTTCTTCCTCAGAAGTGTCTGTGAAACTGAAAATGGGAAAATGAGGCAGCCACTGCTGTCTGATCACTCAAAATTAAAACTATCTTCAGTAAGACGAAGTGAAATATACCTATCCCTTAACTATTAGCACCACATGATTTGTAAATTTCACCAAGACTTACAAAGAAACTCTCAGATCTTGAGTCCAGAATTGATCTAATTAAACAGCAATTTATCTGATTAAGTCCAACAAATCAAAACTTCAGGTATTCTAGAAAATCATTTGTCAGGCAAAACTTGAAAGCATTCGTGTGAACGCTCTTACCTCAATGTTTTCATCTGACTTGTGGTCTTTTCCTTCTAAAGCTGATGCAATCTGAAAACCACACAAACATGTTTTAGGACCTGTCGTCTGAAAGTCTGCAGAAATTGCATGAAACTAAGGGCCAGGTTTAAACAACTTCGGCACACTGGAAGACAGTGCACTCTCAAAAATAAAGGTTCCTAAATGCTTCTTAGCTTAGATATAAGCTTCTAGTTAGTAAATAAAAAAAAATTTAAAACTTATGCAAAACAAAAGATTATCCACAAGAATGCATCTAATTTTCAAGAAGTTATTTAAAGAACAATCCACTGAAAGATTGTTTAAGCAACCAAAAAGGTAGTTTTTCTGCTTTACTGCTCCAAAGAATCCCTTCTGACATCTTTACTTCTTGGAGGGTAGAACTATTATATGATATGATTGAAAGTTACAGGAAGTCATCCAAGTTCTGTGGACATGCACAAGAATCACCTTTAATGCTAGTTCCTCCTTCTTGTATCCCAGAAGTTCCAAGTATTTCCCCCGAGTATCATCTTCAAAATGGACCTGAGAATAATAATAATGATAATAATAATAATGTTAATTTTTCCTATATCATTTTAGTTTTTTAATCTTTTTTCCCGCAATTTAGTTGAAGACAATTCAACCTACTGCTCCACCAGCTGTGCAATTTATACCTATTGTATAATTTAAGTGTGAAAAACCCAAATGTTGTCTTCCTCTGATTCTGCTTCCTTTATCTCTACAAACAGCTATGACTTCATCATAGCCATAATTTCAATATCAAAGGCTTACCTTGAGGAAAGCCCAAACAGTCTTCTCAAACTCATTCTCAGCATCTTCAATCTTTTTCTGGCAGAATTCCACAAAGGTTCCTGCAGTGAGGGTGGCCTGAAGTTGGTTTGAGCGGTCCAAGAAATCTGTTTCAGTGACAACTTGGCTAACGTGGACAACATGGGGCACAGGCTGCTGTGGTTGCTGAGGTGGTGGTTTGATATTCTCCCAAGACACGAGTTTACCACCAAACTGTCAATACAGTACATGCACATAACATCAGCTTTAATATTACTAAATCACAAGATGAATTCTGTTCTGTTTTAATGGTGGACCAGGTTCATACTCACAGCAAAAGAAGCTCCCACAGGTCTACGAATCCACTTGGGTGGTTTCTTCAGCGGTGTGATGGTACTGTTTGTACTGGTGGGTTGAGGCAGCTGCAGCGGAGGCAACGTCTGGCCCGTGCCGAACGGATCCATGTTGCCAAATGAGGAACTTATCTGTCAGGCCGAAACACATCAATTTGTATGAACATATATATATATACAAAACAGCACAAAAATTCGGGATATGGGCTAAACATGGCCACCAATATACAGAATAATATACTGGATACATTGCTAACACTAAAACTCCTGACACTTTTCAGTACCTGATCAGCCTGGGCGCTGTTGGCAACGTCATTACTGCCTCCCATGATGGAGTAGATACTGATACGTCCATCAAAGGAAGCCGCAGACAGAACAGCTGGGTTCCTGGGGCACCACTGGATGTCAAAGCACCACTGAGAGCTGGTAGGCAGCTCATATAGGACCTGGCCGAAAGCAATGATAGGACAGTTTATTGAAGGACAGATTCCATGGCCTTCGAAATTAGATAACACAGGACCAAACAGGGCTCAAGTAGAGTAAATATGAACTTCAAAAGCTTATGTGGTACCATAAGAAGTTTGCAATCAACATTTACCATGCCAAACCTTTTGGTTGTACATAAATGTGTAAAATGATTCTAAAATGCTAGTCCTGTGCATCAGGTATCAAACTATCTGAACGAAGTTAAGATGTAAATTTTGGCAAATCAGCTGGCTATTAATTGTAAAACAACAAGCTTAAAATCAAAGATTTTAATGATATCTGTATAAAAATGATAACATACACACCTATGAGCGCTCACATTAACTGAATTCTGTATGGGGGTATTTAGTTCATATATGACCAAAAATGGAACACTTGATTAAATGATAGGAATACAGAAAGATGGAATGCTGAAAAGTTTTATATTCTATATAAAAGTTATATATACACTAGCACAAATTAAAAACATAAATGCCATGACCAGGGCTAGTTTTGGCTCAATGGACCTCATTCATCAACTGTTCTTAAAAAGAAATTTCTTCTTAAAACCCACTTACAGAGTTTTCATGAAGACTCCGACATACACCATGGTTTTCTTTTTCGGGAATTGTTCTTAGGTAAGAACAGAATCCACACACACTCAAGAACACAAAGGTGTGAACAATTGTGCAGTTTAAAAAACAATCTGACGTAGACTTTTTCTTAGGACCTTTCCCAGCAACAAATTTGAGAAAAAAATTAGGGAAATATTGGTTAATGAAGCCCAATGTCATTAGTAGCTCTTAACAGCCACTGCAGTCCACCACGTTCTTCTTACACGTTTATACATCCATGTGTGATTTCTTCATGTCACAGTTTCTCTCATAGAACACAGTAAAAACAGTTGTCTGACTTATTAAATTAAAATACAAAATAATACTGAATTGAATGAACTGACTCATTGACTTTTGGAACAGTAGTATAGGTGAAAAAGGCACTACACAGTTTCAGTAATGTTTAAAATAAGGAAGCACTGTGCACAGAACACGGTGTAGTTCTGATTTCCTAAGAGAGCTGGCATCTGTTCTTATGGTAGCTTTTTTCTGACAGTCTCTAACCTCGGCAGTGTTGGGGTTCCAGCAGAGAATACGATTATCTTTCCCACAGCTCAGCAACAACTCAGGGTCAGCAAGACTCCAAGCAATGGCCAAAACACCCCTGATAATGTAGACACACACACACACACACACACACACACACACACAAATCCCTGTTGTTAAATAAAAAATATCCATGCAGTCTTTTGGAAAAATATGAAAAGGAAACAACAGAACTGAGTCATGAGCCAAATGCCTTACAGGGGAATTCCACATATTTTCAAAATTTGTACTTGATTATATCGTTAAGATGTGAACAAAGTTATTCAGAGTGGTTCTCCATTTTAGGGAATCTTACAGACAGAATAGTTTACATTGGTGGAGATAGGAACCAGATTGTCCAATGCCTCTAAAACCTCCCTCACAGAAAGTTATTAGATGAATTGGTTGTGAAAATGTCTGATGTCTGAGACATTGTTTTAGGACTGAGATTTTGAAACATATTTTCTAAAACATGCATGGCAGAGACATATATGCAGGACATTTTTAAGGCAAAGAAAACATTTTCTGATCTTATTTTACCACCATCAACATTACACTTAGCTTCACTTTTGAATAGTGAATAAAATGGCTATATGTATATCAAACCACTTGAATTACTAGATTATGCAGAATGTTTTTGAAAAAAATCGTAAAAATATTCCACACAATATTTCAAACATTCTTTCATACCTCGTGTGGTTCTCCAGGACTTTGAGAGGAGAAGTGGCAAAGCGCAGGTCCCACATTTGGATGACAGGCATGCGGTCATCCTCAGAGGCTAACGCCAGCTGAGTGGCCACCTCTGGGTTCCAGGCCAGCCCAGAGCAATGCATCTGAACACACATGTAACATCATATTAACCACAAAATTCTGCAAATGTGCCATTATGTGCATTATGTACCACATTTATAACTTGATGAACAAAAAGCTGACAGACCCTGTTGCTGTGGTCGCTGACTTTGATGATGAGGTCATTCTTCCTCAGGTCCCAGATGGATGCTCTCCCGCTGGGACTGGCTGAGGCTAGAATGTGCTGCACCTGGCAGTTCCATGCCACACAGCTAATGTCCTCCACTGGCTAACAAACAAAAACAGGAAAAACAACAGTAACTACCAACAAACCCATCAATCAGCAAAGCCAAAACATGCCACACATACAACAATCTGCACTGGCTAAACACGATTTCAGTTAACTTCAAGTTCATTAATGTCCACATCCTATGGCTTAATGATCAGTAACCTGGAAAACAAAGCAAAATGAGTTATTGTGAAGTTGCAGGAGTGAGTAAAGAAAGCCTGGAGGTCCTAGGGGCTTGTTTCACAAAGTCAGCAAGATAACTTGAGCATACTCAATAACAGACGAGATAATGGACATTCCTCACTTTGGGCTTAACTCCTCCAGCTTTACTGAAAAACCTACACTGTAAAACACCCCACCAGACATTATAAGGGTTAAACCCTTAAACTTCAACAGAAGTTCAGAAGTTCAAATCTGTAGGTCTACAAATGTTAAGTGGTAAAAGGAAAAAAAAGAAAGAAAAACAAATAAACAAAACAAACACTGACCATTCCAATATAATGCAGGTGAGCTAAATAAAAAATGTTTACCTGTGATTTTGGGCCTGGAACCATCGGGGAGCCAAAACTGTTTAAATCCCAAATGTAGATTTCTGATTCGTTACCACCAGAAGCAACCAGGTTTGTCTATGAAATACAGCACAGTTTTTAAGCAACTAAACTTTAAAAAAACGTAAACGTAACAAGAGTTTGTTCTAGGTGAATTTGAACCATTTCTGTTGGTCAATTCATCGTGCAGCATTCAAACAACATAAATGGTCAGGTGGTGTTTTTTAAATGACGTTATAAAGTTTTGATATGATGACAAAGACATAACAGTTGCAAAAGGGGAGAACAAGGCTTGGATACTACCTGAAATAAGTTGACGCTGAGAGATCGAACAGGCCCCGTGTGTTTATCACTCTGAGCAATGACAACTTCACTGTCACCGGCAATGATCTTGGAAGGGTCATAGAGAATGATGTTGCCGGTCTCTCCTCCAGCAATGAGCACTCCAGAGGGTAGACCCTGTTCATCAGTCCCCTCTGGGCCCCACACTAGTTTGTGATATCTGAAGAGAAAAGATTTTGAGTTTTATATTATTAAAATAAGATAACTAAAATGAGATAAAATGGTTAAGAAATGTAAGACAAGGAGGATTGGAAGAACAACAGATAAGCAGAAGGGATTATGGGAATTTTGTCTGCAGTAAGTCCTGTGATGTCCTTTCATAATCAATACAGTACAGGCAGATTCCAGAGCAAATCCCTTAATACCCTTAACACTTCAGTGACTTGTCAGTCAGAACCACCAGGCACAGGACACTAAACATTAAGGCTAGTTTACTGGACATAGATGAAATCTGGTCTTGCACTAAATTGCAATGCCAAATATGTCTCACTATGAAAAATCCTGTTTAGTTTAGGCTCAATGACAACTTGTTTCTGGAACTCCATTTCGGTCCAAAATTAGGCTTGACCTCTTTTGGAAAAACTGGTCATAAATATGAGAAAAGCACAGTCAGTTAACCAGCTCAAATGTGACCAGCAGAGTTACTTTAGCAAAGTGCACTGTCTTGCATTGCGGTCATTCAAAGCGCTTTAAAATGATAAAATACAAAGATAGAACTATCAATTCTGATGGCATGTATTAAAACCTGAAAAAGCATTTTGTAAGTTTCTTCTTTGGTAGTCCACAGAAACTTTTCTAACTTCTGTGTCTACAGCACTTCTGTAAAAAGTACAGAAAATAACAATAAATATTCACTTTTAGCTTCAAAGTGCTCCTGACTTGTTTATATATAACAAGCACAAACACTGTAGCTCAGAAAAACATAAGAAACTTCTAAAAATAAAAAAAAAAATCTAAGATAGCAGAGCTAAGCAGAGAAGTGTCTGAACTGCAAGGAAGAAGCTGCAGTAGCTGGAGAATTACACTGATGTCTCAACATTTCTGCATAATTCAACTTGAAATGTAAAATAGTCATTCAGAGTGGTTTGCTATGGAATAGTAAATTGTATGACAACTCACTGACTCAGATTTCCATTACAGTGGTGAGTTTATATAATGCGAATATGACCATTTTCTTTACTATCCAAAACGCATTAAATAGTTGGACATCTGGTTCCTATCACTACCAATGTGAACAGCATTTTACATCAAACCAGTCTGAATAACCATTTACATGTTAATGGCTGAATTACTAATTTTGAAAAACTGGTATAACAGCTCAACGCTATATATATTTCCAAAAAACAGCTAAAATGGGGCATTGGTTCAGTGATAGGACAATGACAACAGCCATAGATTAGAAGTAAGACGAGACCTGTGAGGTGAGGAGAAAGTCCCACATGACTTCATGGCCAAAGTGGGCTCAGCCAGATCCAGTTCAAAGATCTCCAGTGAGGCATTGGTGCTAAAGGTAGCGTCGAGCTGCTGGGCAGAGGTACCTGAACAGGAGTACAGAATAGCAGGTGAGAAAAATTTGTTTGTTACCACAAGGACATTTGAAAAGGCAAATGAGCTCAGGCAACACTAGCAAAGAACAGTGTTTCTCATATGAGGAAAAACAAACAAACAAACAACGTTGCTATTAGTTGCTTACACTAAAAGGAATAGGTGGGCATTTCCTCATCAACCATTATATATGAGTTTTTAAATTCAGGGGCTGTGATAATAATGGGGTGCGTGTACATGAGTTACCTGCTGCCAAGTATATCGGGTGGTGCTGTGCTGGGCTCCAAGCCTGGATGGCAGTGCGGTTTATCTCTTTTAGCTTCATCCTACAACAAAGACCCCACCACAGAGGTGTTAGCAACCAACAATATGAGGTACAAGAATCTTTATTAACAATGCACAAGTGTGATTTCGTACTATGGGCACCCATTCAGCTTACAGCACTTGTGTTAAGGTGGAACTCAAAATTTCTGCATGATTAAATTGTCAAGTTGTAAGCCTGGTGATTCAGAGTGGTTTGATCTGAAATGCTCCATTCTAGAGAAACGTCCTAACATCACAGTGAAGGTGATAAAAACCAGACATCTGAAGTGCTTGATGTTTCTAAAAGCTCCCTCACAGAACATTATTACATGTAATGGGTATGAATACGCTGCCTAATGTCTGAGACATTCTTTTATGATAGTTTAGAGATAAAGTTTTGATTTAAAACATATTTTTAAAACCCTTTCATGCCAAAGAAGAATATGGAGGATGCTATAAAGCAAAACAAAACCTAAATACTATTTTACCATTATCACCATTACATATAAAAATAAACATTCAGATGTGTGGATTCACTGGTGGTTCTGGATAGTAAATAAAATGGCTATATTGCTGTAGTGCTGTAGACATTGTGACCCCTGGTTCATATCACCACCACAGTGAAGAAATCTTTGAACACTCTGAATGACTTTGTTTCCAACTCAACAACTAGATGATGCATAAAATTTTGAAAAATCAGTGGAATTCCCCTTTAAGGTAGGCCCTAAAAATATCTGTTAGGTTTCATAACACAGGCCTCACATTCCTAGGAGTTCATGAACATGTTTTGGTGACAGACTGGATTATGAACGCTCTGATGGACCAGACCTAGCCTCAGGAAGAGGGTGAAACAGGTTTCTAAGTAATTGTGTGAGATCTAACTCGTCAAAGCTGGAGCTGATCATGCTGAAGGTTACGTGGCCTGTATGTTACACCAGCTGACACACTACAAATGTAGGTTTAGCAGCAGGGCTCTCAACATCTGGCCACACTTTAGAAGACTTTCGCTGATGCTGCAGGCTTAACAAATGACGTGGACTATTTTAGGTTCATGACCGAGGACCTATTAAACAACCCAACTGAAGCACTTTAAATGAATGAAAGAGTCAGAGACAGACAGAATCAACAGGACATTGCTGGACACACTGGAAGCAAAGCAAAGGAACGAGGCAGATGGGTAATAATAACGTTAACTAGGATTAAGGCTGCTGGGCTGCAGCCTGATCGAGTTACTGCAGCAGCAGAGCACAAATACAGCCAACACGGCATCAATGACTCAGTTAAGGTGGTTTGTGTATAATAAAGAAGATGTCTAAGAGGTGTTAAATGAGGTCAGCTTCTTATTTGAATTTTTCCATTCCACCTTAAATGGTGCAGCAGTTACATTCTGGCGCTTGAGGTAAACAAACGAGAAGGAGGCGAACAGGAAGCCGACTTTATCCTCGTTATTAAATGAACATTACATAACAATATTAATAATAATAACAACAATAATAACTGATAACTGTCTTCATACGACGCATGGAAGCCTGTCTGCAGTGTAGCTGAGAAGCTAACGGAGCTACAAAAGCTTCCGCAAGAGTCTTAAAAGTGCTTACCTTCCCTCTTAGCACTGGTCACAAGCATACAGCATGCACAAACTCATCCAAGCAGTATGAAAGGGTGAGAAACTTTAATGGTCAACTTTTAAAATGCCCTTCCTTGGCTGTGTAAACTGTGTGATGAGACAGAGTTAGCGGCTGGCCCGGTTCAACACAGGAACAGTTCCACGTCCCCACTGGCCTCCATCAACGTGGCACAATACTGCCCTCCCCCAAAGCGCTGCACTTCCGGTGAGGCAGCAGTGGCTGTGTCCTGAACTGAAGACGGCTGACTCGATGCCTTGCTGCATGTGCTGTCTCTAGTCAGTGCCTTAGCGATGTGATGAACGTACCTGCAGCCGAATCGCGTTTGAGACGCGCTCCGAACACAGCGATGCGTCACGACGTTGCCAAGCTACGACAGCTGACTGCTAGCTGTTAGCGTTAGACGTTAGCATCTTTTGCACCCCAAAAAAGGTATTTTAAGAAAGCTAACATGCAGAACTTTTTTGACCAAATTAAGTATTGTATTGTATTTGTTAATAAATCAGCCTCTCTCTCCTCCACTGAGTCAATGCTCGTGTTTTCTGCTATTTTGCTTTCCTAACCGCATTGCACAGAGGATTATGGGATATGTATGCGTTACAGAGGATCCATCTACGTCGCAAAACGGGGTTTATAACTAGAAACATTCGATTCGGACAGGACGGAGAACCTCCGTGGCTCAAAATACTGTCTGTAAGCAGCGTTTACATTTCAGACAGCCAGTGAGTGCAGGAGGCCGCATTCCAAATACTTCCATACTCCCTATGTAGTGCACTCAGTGCGTTCCTACTGCCTACGCAATACCATTTTTACAGGAGCTCGTGGGCCTAAGTAGGGATGGGTGATTGCGCTGATTTTCTTTGCGATCCAACACCAAGTACTACCAAAGCTAGTACCTCGATATCAATGCCAATAACGATACAGATACTTTGAAGTCTTCTTGAGCATGTAAAAAAAGGTCATTTCTACAATGAAAATGAGTAAATGTTCACAAAAGGGACACAAAAGCCCAAGGGACAAATGGAGCTGACAAAATGGACAATGAGTGTAGAAACAAGGTGTACTTTATGAAGCGACCGGTCTCCTTATATTCACCAGATTTGGGATTTAGTTAGCCTTGCTACCTCTTTGTGTTACTACCAAGCAACAGTTCACCCCTTGTGCTGCAACAGGCTTAATGGAATATAAAATGTAAATTACCGTTAGGCAATATTTAGCTAAAAAAATAAACTGCTCACTACCAAAACATGGTGTTATCCCCAAGCACAAATGGTATGATAAAATAAGGGCCTAAATTATTTGAGAATGTGACTGATTCTTACATACAAATGTGGAAACCTCTTTGAAAATGTAATACATTTTATAATAAATGTTATCACCTTCTCACCACACATTATGTGGTAATGTTACTGTATGATCACTTAACCTGTTCACAAATATAGCCTAATAAAAGAGATAATAAAAAGCCCAACACCCTTGGTTAACAATAGTATAGTACATATTTATTCATAAACAAAAATAAAATGCAAAGAAAGCACCTGAACACTGTTCTTAATGTTCTGAACTGTTTTCATTTTGTTTCCAACATTTCTTTTGGAGGCAAACTCATAACACACAAGAAAAAAGAGACAGTTGTGTATTCAAAAGCTTTATTTCACCACTCTCTACAGCTTTAATTCAGACATACTAAAAATACCCCAAAAAACACCCAAAGGATTTTCCAACAGATCTTGAGGTCCGGTCCACACCGCTGTGTCCTTGAAGATCTTCTAAACAATACAAAAGAGAAAAAGTGGGTCATATGAAGTGAGGAAACCTCTAACCTTTACTGTAACTACAAACCACCACACCCACCCACATGGACTCTGAGACTGAACCCTCATAATAAAGTTAATAATCCTTCCCATAAACAGGGTCAGATGGGTAGTGAGTTTAATCATTGGGTCAGTCATCGATTCATCGAGAACTACTAACGGAGGAGCTAGAGGGCCAAGGCGCAGCTGAAGTTGGCTTCTTATTCGAAATTTCTCGTTCGACCTTAAATGGTGCAACATTCCCTTTTTGGGGCCTCAGGCTCCATGCTGCTGCCCTTAGTAACTACTAACCTACATCATTTAAGGTGGAACGGCAAAATTTGAAAAAGACGCTGACGCACAGGAAGCCAGCTTCAGCCACCTGGGGCCAAGTCGCTTCCACGTGGTCCAGCCTCAATGTGCGAAACCTTAAGATTCATAATTCGCTGAACTCTTATTTAGTGCTCTGAAAAAACAATGTACGTTGGGTAGAGAACCTCGCTGCACACACTAATAAATAAATAAATAAATAAATAAATAAATACAACTGTTTAAACCAGACACTCTAATCGTGTCGCGAGCTAGCTAACATTAGCTACTGGCTGACACAGTAACGTTACACTTACGACTCACTTAACACTACGCTTTACTTTAGCAGCTCCAGCGCTACTTTAACGGTCTTAAATCTGAAATAATCTACTGAAAACATAATACCCTGCTACTTGTTTTATTTATATATATTTTTTTAATGTGTTCCATACACTCACCTTCATCTACAGCTACTGGAGCTTTCTGCACCTTCGTTTCTCAAGACGCTCGGGAGGACTGCACGACATCTGGAAACAGCTTACAGCAGTCCGAGCTATACTGAGCCTTAATCCCTTCAAAATAAAAGTCCGACGCAGACCTACTGGATAAACCGCATCTAGCACAAGAAATGCTTTATTTATTACAGGTGTTTTACAGGCATTCTATGTTCAAGCATTTCTAACCTCGGACATTTTTCTGCTTCAGTCACTGACAGAGGAAAGCCTAAAATGCGCCGCGTTTCTAGCTACAGTAGTATCAACTTTCTGGCACTGGGGGGACATCTTTGCCTACGTATTCCCTCTTTCATATCTGCAATGACTTATTCTCCTCGTTTTAAGGCTCTGTTATAGAAGATGTACAGCAGTCTTGCAGAGGGTTCCTGAGCAAAACATGCATATATATTTAGATAACAGACATATATTACTCTCCAGACATTGCGTTGAGAAGAACGTCAACGCCCACTTTACTCTAGAATAGGGGCGGCTGCAGGTTTTCACTCCAACAAAGCAGGAGGTCACCTGATGAAACGTTTTAAGACTAAGACCAACTGATTAAACAAGTAGAATCAGGTGTGCACCACCTGTTTGGAGTGAAAACCTGCAGCCATACCGGCCCTTTGCGGATAGTATTGGACACCCCTGCTCTATGACAAAAAATATCCCACTTAAGCACTTAGAGGCTATTTATAATCCTACTTAAACACTCATAAGTTATTTAATATCCTGGCTAAGCACTTACAGGCTATTTTATATCATACTTAAGCACGTATAGGGTATTTTTAATCCTACTTAAGCACTTACATGCTATTTTAAATCCAACTTAAGCATTTATAAGGTATTTAATATCATGGTTAAGCACTTACAGGCTATTTTATATCCTACTTAAGCAGGTATAGGGTATTCCATATACTACTTAAGCACTTATAGGATTTTTGTATACTTCGTAAGTATTTATAGGGTATTTTATATCCTACTTAAGCACTTATATGCTATTTTAAATCATACTTAAGCATTTATAAGGTATTTTATAACCTGCCTAAGCACTTTAGTATTTTATATCCTACTTAAGCATTTATGGGGTATTTTATATACCACTTAAGCATTTATAGGGTATTTTATATCCTACTTAAGCACTTATATGCTAATTTAAATCCTACTTAAGCACTAACAGGTTATTTTAAATCCTACTTAAGCACTTATAAGGTATTTTATATCTTGCCTAAGCACTAACAGAGTGTTTTATATACTACTTAAGCATTTGTAGGGTATTTCATATTCTACTTAAGCATTTATTGGTCATATCTTGCTGCTTAAGCACTATTTTATATCCTACTTAAGCACGTATATGGTATTTTACAACCTACTTAAGCGCTTATAAGCTATTTTGCATTTAGTGATTGCAAAAAATTAGAGAGAAACTATTTAATGCAGTATAAAAAGCACAACTGTATCACTGATATGTCCATTCTGTCTTTTCATTTACCGCCTTTTGGGGGGAAAAAAAACGTATTGAACCCAAAAATATCATTATAGTCCTAATAAAAACGTGGACGGACCACAGAGATGTGCCAGATCTCGAATCATGTCATGTGGCGTGGTACTATTTCCTGTGGAGGCTTGTTGTGTTTCCGGACCTGCGTTTTGGGAGTCAGCTGACAGATGTGCGCTGCTTTCCACGCCGCTGCGAGCTTTAAACCAGCCGAGGAGGATCTGGGGATTTAGGGATTTTCCAGCGCGCTCCCTCAGCCCCTTCTTACCGCTCGCACAATGAGTGCTGGCACCCCGAAATCGCTGCCCTCGTCGGGGCAGAAATCCATCCAAGAGATGTGCCATCCTCTGTCCGCCGAGGAGCCCGTCCTCCCTCCGAGCCCTGATGGAGGGAGCAACACTAACACTAAGGTACGCGAGCAGATACGCACAGACTCAGCCGGGGCGGCTGCTGCTTCACCAGCTCGGTAAATCATACGAAGCGCGAGGCTGAAGTCGGCGTCTTACTCGCCAGCGTCTTGTTCGAATTTTCCCGTTCCACCTTAAATGGTGCAGCGGTTATTATTATAACGCCTCAGGCGCCAGAATGTAACTGCTGACCATCTAAGGTGGAACGGGGAAATAAGAGCAGAGACCTGGCGAATAGATAGCCAACTTCAGCCTTGTGTAAATCACAGCGTCTCTGATTTGCCCTGAATGAAAGCAGCGGGATCAATTCAAACTCTGTGGGTTTTGTGGCTGCCGAGCTCTCCTGTTACGAGCTGTATGAACCGTTACTTTTTGCGGTTCTTGTTTTGCGTTTCTGCTGGTCAGCCGTTTGGCTACCTACACGGCCTGATAGGGGTTTAATGTTAAAACAGTGCACATCGCTAAACTGACTCTGACCTTTGTCCACTGGTTTTGTGAGCTGTGGCTGTGTAACTGGAAGGGGCTATTAAAGGGCACATACCCTTCATTTTGCTTGTATCCCCACCGAATGGCTTTGTGCACCATAATTCATGTTTGCATGACAATTTTCTAACCTCTCTTATCCCTTACACTTAAACAGGCTGTTTTATTTTTTAACGAGCTTTTAAAGCTGACATATGTAAATGAGCTCTGTCATGATTGGCTGCCCTGTATTGTGCCTTTTTCAGAAAGCAGGACCACAACACTCCAACTTCAGCATGAGTAGGCAGGGCTAGACTGCTGTAGACTAAATAAGCGGATAGAACTGCATTGGTTTTTGTGACATCACAAAACCAGAATTTTTTTAATAGGCTGTTTATACTGCTTAATTTCCGTATATGGACTGTAAGGACTGGGGAGTGAATGGTGTTTGAATGGTAAAGGTACATATACATATAAAATACATATAAAATTAGCCAACTTGGTACCATTTCTAGGCCTTGTTTTTATGTGATGTAATGGAAATTAAAAATACTGTTTTAAAATCTAAGAAAAAAGTTAAGAGTAAGACCTAGGCCTAAACGGACTGGATTCATGGTCATAGCTCTCACAATAGCACTGTGTTCAGCTGGTCATCACATAATGAGTTGCTTTTGGAGCCCGTTGTTGATTGTGCGTGGTTCGTAACAAAGAAGAAGATTCATCAAGACCCTCTCTTCTGCTCCTAGCTGTGGCTGAGCTGTTATGTGTATCCTAAATTACATGAAATAAATGGGTTTGTGAACCATGCTGACGAAGAACAGGAGGGCTGAAATGACAGGAGTAATCCTAGGAGAATGATTATAGATTTGAAGATAACAGTTTACAGTGATATTTCATGAAACTTGGACACTCCTCGTTATGGTGTAGCTCATGATTTAGTGTTGGTTTAAAAAAAAAAAAGCTGGATGGGTTTCAGATTTGCATCTCCCCTGTTCTTTGGATTCATATTTGGGCCCATATTTGTTAAACTTCTTATAGTAAAATGCTGATCTTGGGCCAGTTTATGTCGTTTACGTGGCTCTGAACAGTATTACGTGAGGGTCATTCTATACCATCTCACCTAGCCCTCCTAGTTCATGTTGTGGATTTTAGACCTTGGAAAAATCGTTTAGTTCTACTCCAAATACATTTCAGTTAGGAATTTTGAAGTATGTCTCTTCACCATGTTTCTGGTTCCTTGTATTTGCGCTCTAAGGCTCACCAGTTATTACTTATTTTTCACTGAATTGGGTTCAAATTTGTACTGAACATCCAATAAACCATAAAGACATTTTGCAATGTGCATGCAAGTAATCAAAGTATAAAAATAAATATTTCTTTACCCTTAAACAGTGTGGTGTTTACACACTACTTGAGGACATGTGAATGAACCCGTAGTACGTGAAGAAGCTTGTTGTTGCAACACGTTTTGGAAGTTGATATGTTGGAGTACTTTGACATGCTTTAAAAGATATTCTGGATTTTGGCATACACAGAGCCTGCATCAGTGGAGTATAGCTGAAGAGGCCATACTTAAAGCCAGCTAAATCTATGGGACTTAAGAATGACTGAAGATGACATACTTAGAGCCTTCGGCAAATAGACCTATTATAGCTAAAGAACCCAGATAGACTGGCATTCAAACATGCTTGTTGTGGGACAGTCTCACAATAACACTTGAGTGTATTTTGAGGTGTCTCTGTTGTTGTCTCTGATATTGATGTAATCCATAGTCAGGATGAAGGGGGTGGGAGTGGGACACAAGACACCACTGTTAAGCTTTCTGGAAGTTTCGTGGGCTAAACTCCACATGATGCTGTCAAAGGAAGGTGACCAGTTGACAACACCTGTGAAGGCCATGAAGGCGTTGTTTTAGTTGTTGACGAGTACCAGTAAAATAGTCATAGTGCACCCTGTTGTGTGAGCCTTGGCTAGGTACTTACATCTGACAGGGAGAGGTTTTGCCACTGTGGGAAGTCCCCTACCAACAGCACAAGGAATTTAACATCTTTTCCTGTGTATAACTAAAAATGTCCACACACATGGAACAATATGACATCATCTAGTATGCAGCATATCAAGCCGTTACAAGCTCTAACTTGCAGAGTTCCCCAACGCAATGCAACACAGGCATAGAAAACCTTCAAACCAACATAGTACAAATGTCCACCTATGAAATAAAACCACTGAATGTAATATTATAGCAAGTTAAAAGTACAATAAATTAGCTATTTTCAATAAATTATTAAATTGATGGGGTAATATAACAACTTTAATTTGTTTTATATCTGCAATTAATTATTTAAAAAAAAGATTACAGCAAATTCAAAAAATGCTTCATGGGAAATTATACAACAAAATATCTTAAAGTGGGTTTTCAGCTCCGAAGTTATATTTAGAAAGGTCTGTGGTTTTATGCAGTACCTTATATTAATACTACACAGAATCAAAATTTTGTTGCAAGAAAATGAAACTAGTTTAGATCGTTTTTGAAAATTTAAAGATTCTTTTTTTCCGGTGAAAATATTTATTTTTATAAATCGGTTATTGTGAAATATTCAGCAACAATATTTACATGACTATATGTTGCAGATTATCCCTCAGGTTTTTGGATATTCAGTACAAATTTTAACCCAGTCCAGTGAAAAAATAAGCAATTAGTGAGCCTTCACATGATCAAATCTGACGTCAACTGTCTGACATCAAGATCACCATAATCCTGCTTGGTTAAAGTATTAGGTATATAAGCATTAGTGGTGAACTGTGACTGTTAAAGCCAGGCCTTCAGTTCAGGTCATAAATGTCAAACCTCTGAAAAAATCTCAAAAATGAGTTAAAAAAAAAAAAGTTTAATATTATTTTTGCTGTAGGAAACAAATCCTGTGTCTTCAAAATGGTAACCTTATAGGAGAAGAGAAAAAAAACATTTACTTTTAATGCAAGTTAGTGAAACAAGGTTTTATGCCAAGTAATTTTGTAGCATTTCTATAATTCAGTTAATCATGAAATGTTGAAACAATGTAAAGGGCGATTAGTGAAGTGTTAGCAAGGTGACCAGTGAATGTTCTTTCTGTGTTCTCAGTGGATTTGTTTGATAATTCTGTCCATTTCTTAGTCCTAACACTGTATGTCTACCTCCATGTGAGGAATGAATCCACAAAGGCAGATTTAACTATCAATCAAAGTTAGAATAATAGCTAAGTTAATTACAGCTGATAACAGCCATGTCCATTCAGTGTGCAGCATTTATATCAGATTTTCATTTGAATGGTTCCTTTTGCATGCAGTGCTCTATTTTTGCTTTTAACAACATGAGCATGTTAACAAGATTTAATTCTGACTAGTGATTTTGGAGCATTTCTACTGATCCATTCATCATGAAATATTCACAGTGCAAAAAGGTGCTGGCTTTTTTGAATTATGTGGAGAAAAAAAAAACTATGCTAGTGACCCCTGTAATTTAGTATACCGCATTATTAAACATGCATGGTAACATGAACACTTTGAAATACCATCTCTGCATTCCTGCTAGCAGAAATAATCATTCTGATTGCAGGTGTTTTTGGTAAACGAAGGCTACTAATAAAGTAAAGTTTTAAACATTAAGCACTGTTATATAATGACAGGTACAGCATGTACATGATGATTATGATACAGCGCAGTATGTGCCATTTTCATTGTGGTTCATTACAGGTACTAGTAGTTTGTTCTAAGCTGTATTTATGTTGGAGCAGCTTCACAGCTTTTGGTAAAGGTCTCAGCGCTCTGAGTGCTCAGAGATCTCAACTCCAGTTGTAACTGCTAATATATATATATATATATATATATATATATGTATGTGTATGTGTGTGTGTGGGTGTATGTATATATAAATGTATGTCTACATACGGTGGCCAACAAGACCTCATTCTCAGCATAATTAAAAACGTTGCAAACTCATAAACATGCTGCAAATAAAGAAAACACTTTCATCAACATGACTACATCGGAGCTACAATTTACAAACACCCTGCAAATAAAGAAAACACATGCAACATCAGAAACACTGCAAAGTAGAGGTCTGTGTGGGACTGTTTTTCATCCCGCTCCTGCCCACTCCTGCAGAAAATCAGAATCATTTGTCCCGCTCCCACCAGCAACTGAAACGTTTTGTCCCATGCCTGCCCATGCAGTCCCATCAAGGCAAACTGACATCCAATATCTGACACAGTCTAATCACAAATACAATGTCCTCTGCAGAATTAACACGGCAGTCATGGTCGTTAGGCTTAGTGTGAGTAACTTCACCAAATGACATTTATTCCTAGCAAACACAAAGCAGGAATTAAACCATACAGCGGTTATTTTTGGTATTTTGCTGGGCTCAGCAGCTGTGGCTGTCAGACTGAAAGCTCCACCATCTCTGGAAGCTACAAGAATTTGCATGTTGTTCACATGATCAGTTGCTTCGCAACTCTTCAGAATGACTTCTTTAGTTTGAATTGTTTTACCGTTATTCTTTA